CCCTCCCCTCGCCACCATCCGAACTTTGCAGCGACCTCACCGTCAACTTCGCCAGCCTAAGGGACTTCAGAGCCTTGGTCGCCTCCTCAAAGAACTCGCTGCGAGACGTAGTGTCCTCAGGAGCCGAAGCAGGAGCCGCTGGTCGGGAAGCCTCCTCCGCGGGCGTCTCTTCTTCAGCTTTTCGCACAGCTTCCGTCTTGGAGCCACGATCCTTTCCACCCCCCTTTTTCTTCGGCCTTCGAGCTGGCTTCTCCTCGCTTCCACCACCAGGTGTCCCAGCCGTAGCCGCCGTAGACGACGAAGAATTTTGAGCCCCAGCTTGTCCATTCTGGGCCGCTCCACCTTGGGCTGCTCCACCGCCGCCCTTTCCAACTCCGCCGCCACCAGAAGCCTTCCCCCCTTGCCCGAGAAGCGGGCACTGCGGCTTCAAGTGAGCCTCCGATCCGCACTCCCAGCATCGGCCTGGACCAAGGGGAGCGTGCAAGAAGAGGCAGTTTGCACCATAACGGCAGCCCGTGCCGTCCTGCCATCCCCAACATGGCTTTTGGCCCTTTGCTTTGCCCTGGCCCTTCGCATTGCCCTGGCCTGAGGAACCCGGGACATCATCCATACGGGCCACTCGAGGCTGGGACGGCAGTGGCTGCGAAAGCTGAGCCGCCTCCAACTCACCCAAGATCAGGTGCGCATAGTCCTCGATGTCACTCGCCGTGGCCTTGTAGTCCATTTGACGCTCCAACTTGAAAGAGGCAATCCGAAAGGAAGCCGAGGGGTACTTGTTGCCCGCAAACAAAGTGTGGATCAACTTGTCAAGGCCACGGCACAGAAGCGAAGGGTCCGGAAGCACCAACTGAAGTTCACGACCTCGGCGGAACAACCTGAGCCACTTTCGCGCAAGATCCAGAGTCGCCTCCAGATTCGCCCCAGTGTCGGGCGCCGTCAAGAACTGCAACAAGTGCGCTTTCTCCCCCGCTCCACCTGGCTGGTAAGCGCAGTGAACCATGAAGATCATCGCCTCCACCGTGACGGCCCTTACTGAAATCACCTCGTGCCGTAGTCCTTCAGGAAGGCTGTCGAGAAGAAGCATAGCCGCTCTCTGCTCCACACGCTGATGGCGATCCTGAGGAGGTCGCTGCGACAACACACTTTGTCTCAAAGACAGCCTCGTCACCGGAGCGCTTTCAAGCCAGGCCGTGTACAAACGAGTCACGCGCGCCATGAGGTCCATCCACCATCTCGCCGCCGAGGGACTCAAGGACGCCATTGACGGCTCCAACTGCGCCAGCCAATCTCCTGCAACCACCGCCGCATCACCACCTTTGGCCGCAGCCAGCACCGGAAGCTTTGTCACCAGCTTCGAAGGCTCCTCCACACCGCCATTGAAATCCCAGGTCGACGCCGAAGGAGGCGGCGGAGGGGATGCCGAAGAAGGCGGCCACGGAGGCACCGGCGTGCCCCCCGGAGTCGAAGACCACCCACTGCTGGTCCCAACCTTAGGAGTCACCGGAGGCGGAGGCGGAGGAGGTACAGCATTGAGATCCATCTGTGGAACATGCCCTCCGCCCGCACGCTCATTCGTAGAGGCCCGCTCATCAAACACCGCAGCAGGTTTGTCAAACTGAACCACCATCTGACCCTGAACCATCGTGTAGTTACGCCACACACCATTGACGCACACCATACCTTGAGGCTCCGCATTCAAAGTCAAACCAACAGCCCGCTGCTCCGCTTCTCCAATCCTTGGCGGTGCCAAATCCACAAGAGACATAGGAGAAGACACCAGCTGCTGACCCGCACCCAAACACGGATTCCCTCCGACATACTCCCCGAATGAAGTCGCCCTCGCTGCCCTTTCCGCAAAACTCACAACCCCCGGGTCCTCAGACATAGAAGTCCATCGTGCCGGAACAGGTAAGGCAGGACGCCCAACAGTATTACTCGGCTCCCTTGGAGGCCGTGACTCTGCAGCACCTGGCGAGTCCACTAGCGATCGCTGCCTGGCCGAAGTAGCCAACTCCATTGAGGCTTGGGGCGGGGACATACTAGAGGACTCCATAGAAGCTTGAGGTCTTGACATATTCAGGGACTCCATAGAAGCTTGAGGTCTTGGCATACTCAGGGACTCCATAGAAGCTTGAGGTCTTGGCATACTTGAGGACTCCATAGAAGCTTGAGGTCTTGGCATACTTGAGGACTCCATCGAAGCTTGAGGTCTTGGCATACTTGAGGACTCCATCGAAGCTTGAGGTCTTGGCATACTTGAGGACTCCATCGAAGCTTGAGGTCTTGGCATACTTGATGACTCGAGCCACAGGCGGGAAGGCATGTCCACCTCCATTGGCAAACCCTCAAGCGCCAGTGGACGATTGCCCTCAGCAAGAGGCCCAAGCAGAGCACCAGGGATGCCCCTTCCAGACTCCTCAAACCTTCGCCTAGCTGTGTCACTGCTGTCGCTGCTAAAGGTGCCGGCCATAATCTTCGACATACTCGCCAGAGGCCGAAAAGGCTCTTCCATTCCCGGCGGTGGGACAAACAGGCCAGGATCAGCACCATCGCTCAATGCTACATCCGCGAAGCGCCTTTCCAGTCTCTCCATATCGCCCCAGCCGGGAACACGGGTTCCACCAGTAGCTGCCGACGGTGTTGGCTGCGAGCCATCCTCCGTACTCGCCGGCAAAGCCCCTGCAACAGATCCCGAAGCCGATTGCCACTGCTCCACACGGTCCACTCTGCCCACCAAAGAAGTGAGCAGACCAGTCATGTACTGAAGAGACCGAGAAATCTGGCCGACATCCTCTCTTCGCTGATCAGCTGAGCGATCTCGCTCCCTCGAACCGCCCGCTTCAACATGCAGCGCTAGGTCTCGGTTACTTCCAGTCTGAGTCGGCACGACAGAATCAGGCAGCTGCCTACCAGAGGTTGGATCCACAGAGCGCTCTGTAGACCCAACTTGGCTTCCCGGGCTTCCGTGCTGCACTTCTCTCTGCCCCGCTGAACTCAAACCTCCATCATACTGAGGCTCCACGATCGCCTCATCCACACGAACTTCTGCTCGGTGCCTTACATCCTCCGGCACCACATGGTCAGATCCTTCCTCCGCCAAGCCCGCACCTCCACCGGCTCCCGACCCATGGTCATCATCGGGCGACGGATCCATGACCTAACACACACCAACGACTTACAATGCCTCGAGAGGCAGAGCGTTGGGCTCGTAACCCCTGTGAACGGAGAAACGCCTTTTGAGCTAATAAAAGCCTTCAGAGTGATCGCCAATCAGTCAGCACTCAAACGGAGTAATTATTAAGGCCCATGCGGTAGACCCCTCAAGCCCTACTTGGAGGTTCATGGGAAGTTATATAGTGGGGTTATAAGTAGGGTCACTATACTTATAACCCATATTGAGCGGACGTATAACCCGACCTATAACTACCCATGAGCCTCCAAGCAAACCCCTAAACTGAAGTCCCCTTGGTCTTGGGCAAGGGCTATCTGAGCAAAAGAGCTGTCAGAGGCATGGAGTCGTGAAAATACCTTATGGTGAACCCCAGAAAGTTGGAGATTAGTGCTGGGATTCCTCATTCTTTAAGGGCATGAGGATAAAGATGTTCTAACTTTCTGGCTTCCACTGTATTGATGCCTTCCTCGACCTGGCTCCTGTACTGTCACAATAAGAAAGTTCGAACCAAGTAATGTATGTCGAAAATGAACTTCCGATCGTGGAAGCAATCATCTACGCAAGCCAGATGACTTCAGAGCCTATCTGGTGTTATGGTATTGGCGCGGTTCTGCTCATCAAAACAACTCCTTGTCCGTCATACTTGGAGGGTCTTTAGGGGACTTAGTAGGTAGGTAGTAAGTAGACTTATAAGTACCCCAAAAGGGACCCCAAATGGGGTTATGGTACTTACAAGTCCCTAAAATAGCCAGTTACTAAGTCCCCCGACCCTCCAAGTAGTCGGACAGGGGTGTGGGGTGGTTCAGCCCGGTCCTGTCGAGGTCTTGTTTCTAGGGCCCAGGGCCTAGGGTTCAACCTCCGAAAGCCACAAACACCATCGTCATGGCTGTATAGCGCATGTTTTAGCAGGGCACAGAGTGCCCGAAGAGTTCAAGAGATAAGTGGAAAGTTTCACAACAGCATCCCGAGCGTTGTTCTCAGACCTTTATCAGGGGCAGGCGAAAGCAAATGTAGATGCCTTTTGTTTTTTATTCTTATTCAGGGCCAGTGGCGGTTTGGCGAGTAACTACCCCTGTCAGCCCAAGCTACACCACACAATGTGGTGTCGTAGCACTGTGGGCCTTTTTCTTAGCGTCCTTATCTCAAGATCCCTTTGAGTCCTACTTGGAGGTTCATGGACTCTTATAAGTGGGGCTATGAGTGGGGTAACTATACTTACTACCAGAGTGTGGTCCTTTTCTAAAGATCCCTTTGAGCCCTCAGTTCTGGGGCTACGAACCTTCAAGCTAATTTAGGGGCCTTTATCAGTACCTATACTATTTTTGGGGGCTCCTTTTTATAATGACAGTATAATAGGTCCCAAAACCCTATTCTAAGTATTGAGGGCCCTATACTACGAAGCTTCAAGCTCGCGTACTGCTGGGCCTGAGCTGCAAGTGTCCAATATTGAAGCGAACGCGAAAAGTGAAACAACAATGGGCGGAAGCCTGGTAGATTATGAATCTCACAAGATCACTACGACAACCTGGCAGAAGATAGCAATCCGAAACAACAATCAGCAGCGGCTACTTCTTCCAAGAAGAGTGTTTTTAGGGAATCTGCTATCGTCCTTTCTTAGCATGATACTACAATATACCCTAAAACCATTCCGGGCACAAACGTGCTTTATTATGAAGCTTGCCGATTATGGCCCTGTGCACATCATTCGGTTCCTGAATCCCTAAGCCTAAACCATGTTGAACTAAACCCTAAACCCCTAAGCCCTAACCCTTAAACCGAGGAATCGTGCCCTTCCCCGAAGCCCGGGAACTTCACCAGTGCTTCTCAGGCCAGGATACCCAGAAGAGGCGAGAGTCCTATGCAGGTGAACCTGGCATGCTTGACTTGGGGCGTGCCGGGGTCTAACTCTGTCATCCTTGATCCTATCTTGCGCGTTTCCCAATTCTTGTGGAACTTTTATACGACTGAAAAAAGTGATGATGATGTCTGTGTCATATGCATGCTGCATGCATGCATTCACACACACAAACATGCATATGCTGCATCCAGCCAGCCAGCCAGCCACCAGCCAGCTAGATTGGCAGGCAGGCATGCATGGATGCATATGTATCTAGATATATACACATACACACATGCAAACATGTTTATGTGAACTTATATGTATGCACAGACCGTTTTACATGTTCATGCTTGTCGACAATTACTGTAACCACGACCACCAGCGATTGCTTGTGCAGCTACGACGACTACAGCAGCAGCAACGACTAGCATCACTTCTGTTGGGGATGCTGGTATGCTACATAGTGGTCAGACCCTTGCACTTTGTGCACGATGCTGTTTATGGACCGCCGGAGCCTTGCCACTTGCGTTCGTTCCGACAGTCGCAAGCATCGCACTTGCTGGTGTCCGAATGTAGGCTTGCGTTACCCGAGGAGTGCTCTTCCGGAGGCTTCTTTTTTGCTTACATAAAGTACATGGCTTACTAGTACTATGCCTATTATCTTATTGACTTGCGTTAGGACCGGCGAACTGTTTGCACGGGTGGGAGTGAGAGGTGATAGGTGACTAGTTCCTACAGATCGTCCCGGCTGTGGTTTCTTTAGGGCTTTAGGGGTTTTGTCCCGCAGAACTCGACGCCGAGGGCGTAGTCTCCAACCCAGAAGTCCACTTCTGACAGGTACGACTTTGAATGGGAGACGATCCAAGAATGCCCCAGGCGCTATTCCTCCTAAGTGAGGTAGGGTTTCTTCCGGGTTCTGGGTGAGTGTGTATATCGGGGCTCCGTAGCAACATGCTGACTGTGCATGCTGTGTCTATCATGAGGAGACAAAAAGTGTAGTTAGTAGCAAATGACCATCCGTTACATGCATCATGCGCAGTCTCGCCAAGTCAACATATCCTCGAGGCATACTTTCTGTGAAATACATATATAAGCCTAAACAATTACTACTAGTATTCCTAGGGCCTTAGGGTTCCTTATTACTCGCACTTTAAAGGAGCCCAAAACCCAATTCAAAATCATTAAGGCCCCTACGTTACACAGTGGGCAACAGAGCTTTCGAAGGGCGAAAGTCAGAGTCTAGAACCCGTAAAAATCCTAAGCCCCAAGCCCAAACGCCCAAGCCCTACACACACACACTCTCTCTCTCTCTGTGTCTATCTATATATATACATATATACATATATATATATGTATATATCCCGGAACCCAGTTGAGGGTTCCCGACTTCTACAGCACGAGAAGCTCCTTGAAGCGTGGATCAGCTTTACCTGGAGGTTCATGGGTAGTTATAAGTAGAGGGTTATAATTAGGGTGACCATACTTCAAACCCATATTAAGGGACTTACAACTCCACAACCACGAATGACCCTCCAAGTAGGCTCTAAACCCTATACCCTTACAGAATCCCTCTAGATCCCTTTGAAGGGACCCTTGAAAGGAGCACTTACAACCACCCCATGAACCTCCAAGTAAACTCGCAGACGACGTATATCTCAGGGAAATAGCTAACAACTGTGAACCGCCTTTCACTTGTAAGGCCCAGAGTCCCAGAGCCCGATCACAGGCTTGTCGCAGCGAACGTCCCGATCATCCTCTATGCTCTTTGGTTCCAAGAGCGTCCATATACTACGGTTCAGGGATTATGGCTTAGGACTTTGGGGTTTATATGCTCTTTGGTTCCAAGAGCGTCCATATACTACGGTTCAGGGTTTATGGCTTAGGACTTTGGGGTTTATATGCTCTTTGGTTCCAAGAGCGTCCATATACTACGGTTCAGGGATTATGGCTTAGGACTTTGGGGTTTATATGCTCTTTGGTTCCAAGAGCGTCCATATACTACGGTTCAGGGTTTATGGCTTAGGACTTTGGGGTTTATATGCTCTTTGGTTCCAAGAGCGTCCGTATACTACGGTTCAGGGTTTATGGCTTAGGACTTTGGGGTTTATATGCTCTTTCGTTCCATGAGTGTCTACATACTACGGTTCAGGGTTTATGGCTTAGGACTTTGGGGTTTATATGCTCTTTGGTTCCATGAGGGTCTATATACTACGGTTCAGGGTTTGTGGCTTAGGACTTTGGGGTTTATATGCTCTTTGGTTCCATGAGGGTCTATATACTACGGTTCAGGATTTATGGCTTAGGACTTTGGGGTTTATATGCTCTTTGGTTCCAAGAGGGTCCATATACTACGGTTTAGGGTTTTTGGCTTAGGACTTTGGGGTTTATATGCTCTTTGGTTCCATGAGGGTCCATATACTACGGTTTAGGGTTTGTGGCCTAGGACTTTGGGGTTTATATGCTCTTTGATTCCATCAGGGTCCATTTACTACGGTTTAGGGTTTGTGGCTTAGGACTTTGGGGTTTATATGCTCTTTGGTTCCAAGAGGGTCCATATACTACGGTTTAGGGTTTGTGGCTTAGGACTTCGGGGTTTATATGATCCTTTGGTTCCAAGAGGGTCCATATACTACTGTTTAGGGTTTATGGCTTAGGACTTTGGGGTTTATATGATCCTTTGGTTCCAAGACGGTCCATATACTACGGTTTAGGGTTTGTGGCTTAGGACTTGGTGGTTTTATGCTCTTTGGTTCCAAGAGGGTCCATATACTACGTTTTAGGGTTTGTGGCTTAGGACTTTGGGGTTTATATGATCCTTTGGTTCCAAGAGGGTCCATACACTACGGTTTAGGGTTTGTGGCTTAGGACTTTTGGGTTTATATGATCCTACCATGTATGTAACGGTTAACCTTCTTGGGTTAGGGTACTAACCCCTGCCCTAAGTTGGTTGAGGCCTATTGTATCTTAATAGCCGCGGAAGGTTTGATTTAGTTGGTTGCACTGAGGAGTGTTAATGTACGATAAATGAGACTAGAGGATTACATGGAGTTTTAGTACTGCATCTGAGGAACTGTGAATTTTGGTTCAGGGCAGTTTCAAGTAAACGTAGTCTATCATCGCTCATAGCTCCAAGATGTAGTTTTAGCTTCCTTCGAGCCTTCAAGCACCCATTCGTGCATGCTTCGATGGTTGGAAGTCTGCTGTTTGAGACGTCGGGTGGAAGGACAGGTTTCAACAAATCCCCAAGATACCGCTTTTAACTCCCAAGGCCAGGTATCTCTTTTTTGAGGGCACTTTGGGACGAAAGGTTGCTTTGAGTACTTTAGGGTCTTTGGGTTGACTTGGAGGTTCGCGGGTAGTTATAAGTAGGCTTATACGTCACACGTCCCCGAATATATGCTTATCCTACTTATACTTGGAGGGTCGGGGGACTTAGTAAGTAGGTAGTAAGTAGACTTATAAGTACCCTAAACGGGACCCTAATTGGGGGTATGTTACTTATAAGTCCCCAAAAAACCAGTAACTAAGTCCTCCGACCCTCCAAGTAACCCCATTTAGAACTATACCCATGAACCTGCAAGTAGGGTTCCGAAAGGCCCGAACTCTACCGGAAACCTAGTTCTGGAGATTTCGCCTAAGGGGTTACTTTCAGGTAGCAGGCTCACTATAGTGTCCTGCAAGGATTTTCAAGGTTGTATAAGGATCCTTTAGACAGAGGGCATTCTAGGACAGTTGTTTGCAAATGCAGCTGCGAGCACAGTGTGCAAACTATGTCTTGGGCATAAACCCCTTATTGCGCTGTTCACAGAGCATCAGCGCGAAAAAGGGAGATTCTGTGTAACGGGAACTCAGCCCATCCGACGGGGATTTGAGCTAGAGTTGCTTGGCATTTTCCTGAGCCATTATTTTACCTACTTTGGGGGGTTTAGGTAAAGGGCTTCAAATCCATGCTCCACGAGCAGCATGTCCTGGGATCTATGTGCTTCCGTAAGGTTTTGAGTTTGGAGGGTTTAGAGTCTAGAGGACTTGACTGAAGATCAGGACTCGCACTTCAGAGTGCTAAACCCTGACCCTAAAACCATCTCTAATTTAATGACCTCTTACCACAGCGGTAATGTTTCGCATGTTTTTGCTCGCCCGCGTTCAGACTGGACACCAACATGGCCGAAGAAGAAGAAGACCCTAAAAGCAATTTTAATGTACCCCAGCGGCGCAAGGTCGGGATAACGGTGGGCAGCTGCTGCTGCTGTGCCTTGGCTCGTTTCAAGGGTGCCGCCCCTTTTCCTGTAAAGGGCGCACAGCCTCTCGTTTTGTAGAGATTGGGCCGGGCTACATGTAGGTATGCTTTTCTCAGGTGGTCTGACTGGGTGGTACGATCAGTATGACAAGAAGCTTGTTACAACCTGCGTTGAGAGCCATGGTACGAACAATCACGGCTGTAAGCTTAGGTTTTAGAATGCCACCCCGAACCCCGAACACCGCTCAAGACCTCAACTGAGCAGACTCTGTCTGTGCGTGTGCACGTGTGCTGGCCGCGATCTATCGTGCCTGGTCGGCTGATGTTACGTAAGGTGATGAAGGCCACCCGATCGAAGCCAAACTATTGCAAACTGCTCTGGTGGCATGCCAACCGTTAGCCTAAACCCCTAGAGCCCTAAATCCCTAAACCCCTCCATCCTCTGGCTTGTTTGAGTTGCGAGAGCGTAAACCCCTCAACCATACCCCCCGAAACCCCTGAACCCTAAGCCTGGAAAGCCCTTATATAACCCTAAACCCCTAAAGGTTTAGGGTTTAGGGCCCTACAACCTTGAACCGTAAATCACAAATGTATAGCCTGCTGCAATAGCTGTATCTCGGGCCTTCAGGGGCAAAGGCTTGAAAAGCTGTTCCCCTTACACTAGAAGGCCTAAACGAAGACCATGGTTATAACAAGGGGCCCTCAGGAATACAGTCATATACTAAGAGCCTTAAGGGATACCATAATCATAAGAAGGAGCCCTTTGGAGGATACAGTCACATAAAAAGATCCTCACGGCCTATAGGGTTTAGGGTTTAGGCTTTAGGGTTTAAGGAGCCCTGGAGGAATACAGTCATATACTAACAGCACTTCAATCTCAGGGTCCCTGTGCCCAACTAGTATATACTTTGGCCCTAAAGTGCTCCCAAAGTGGCTCCCATTTGGGTGCATGGACCCAAAGGTCTTCAGGGATACCATAATCATAAACTTAGTATACAGTCCTATACTCGGAGCTCTTAAGGACTCATCTATTTATATGTTTGGGTAAAGTCGTGTCGGCTCCTAGGCAGCCCCCAAGCCTCATGCCACTTCCTCGTGCTCTCGATCTCCTGTCCCAAGTGCTCCGAAGTAGTATGGAGGCCTTAATGCTTACCAACACCAGTTCGGAGGGCTCCTTATTTTAAATTGTGAATTAATTACGACTCTGGTGCGGGGACGTGTCCCGCATATAGATACTTAGGATCCTTGGGGTGTAGGGTATTTAGGGCTTTCGGCTGTTCCCTGTAAGGGTTTGGAGTTTTTTGCGTGCGAAAGGATGTAGGGCTGGGACTAGGATCAAACTGGTTTTGGGCTTTGGAGCTCCTGCCGCTGCTCCAGTTGGAGTCTCACCTGTTTGCCCGTGTTCGGAGTGATGTTTGGGAATTGGGCCCGTCACAATTACACGTGAATGCAGACCCGGATTCAAGCATCCTGGGATCCTTGTTAGAAGCCGCTGAAAGACTAATTGGATCCTTATTCTAAGGCCTGAACCCTAAACCCTAAACCCACGCCGACTGTGCACCTAAGAACCTCGCCTGGCTGTGTCCGAGTTGTGAGAGCGTAAACCCACACAGTGCCCGCTCCAAGGCGTGATCGTTTTGGCCGTGCTGGCCTACCATGCCAGGAGGCCCTTCAATTGAATTGCTCTTAGGCTATACCCATACGCCCCATAGTAGTTCTGGTTTGGGGTTGATATTTATAATTAGAATCCTGTAAGGTAACCCCAACAAGAACTACTATGGGGCCTATGGGTAGCCCCCTTAAAGTCTCTCTAGATCCATGTAAATCCCGATCAGTCCCTTTTTCAACCCTTTCGTAGAGTTTTGTTGGGTTCTTAGCCGTCTCAGGCTTCTTAGGGCTTGCAGGGCTCGTGGGGTTCTTGGATTGTTTAATAACGCGTTTCCGGTTCCCAGGGCTGCTTTTTAGGGAAGCTGGTTCTGAAAGCCATAGGATTCTTGTTCGGGTTCTTAGGGGTTTAGGGCTAAGGGTTTGGGGTTCTGAGGGTAAACCCGAAACCTCAAGCACTCAAAGCCTGAAGCTAAACCATGTAAGCCCTACAAGCCCTACGCCCTCAACCATGTAAGCCCTCAGCCCTTAGCCATGTACGCCCCGACACCCGCAGCCATGTAAACCGTAGACCCTAAACTATGTAAGCTCTAAGCCCTCAACCATGCAATTTCTAAGCCCCGACCCATGCGAGCCCTACACCCCTAAACCCTCAACCATGTAAATCCTAAGTCCACGGCCATGCAAACCCTGTAACCTAAACCATGTCAACCCTAAGCCCTCCAACCATGTAGGCCAAACACCCTCAAACTTGCCAACCCTAAACCATGCAATCTCTGAGCCGCAAAGAGCAGCTTGTAGACGGCAATGAGCGCTTTCCGAGAAAAAGGCATGTAAACCCGAAACTCCAAACTATGTAAACCCTAAGCCCTCAGCCACGTGAACCCAAAGGCCTACGCCATGTAAAATCTCAGCACCTGCAGTTCATCCATTGATCCAGGAAGCCCGCGGCAGTGTCTCCGGACGTCATCGTGCTTTGGCTTGCATCTACGTTGGGGTCTATTCCGCTGCAATTACCACGTTGCCAGTGGGGTCCTCATGGACAGCAACAACGATTAGAATCCACTAGTGTAGGTTTATTCATTGTCCAAGAACTCTTCACATGCACCTGCTGCTGGTGCGGTTCCTATCATGAAGCAACATGGCATGTTGACTACGCCTCCTTTTCGCAGCAGTTCTCCTCGTAGCCGTTCATTTATCCAACATGAACGTAGTGCAGGATCGTACACTTCGGTTCGGGCTCCTAGCGTCTCCCAGGCTTTTGGACTGAACATGCTTTGGTGTGTGAATGTGTGTGTGAGATGTAACTTCGCGAAAATGCAGCCGTCCTTGATCTCGGTCGGGTCAGGACAATCTCTTTCGACTGGAGCTTCAAACACCGAACACCTGAGACATCCCGAAACTGCTTGAAACCCGTCTTGTTTTACAGAATGGGTTGCATGAGAGGCCGCTGCCCGGATGACCTCTTTCCTCCAATCTTGCTAGCTCTAGTTACCTCAAACCCGAAACTCTGAACCTGCATAAAACACTTGCAAAAGCACACCTGCAACAAGCCCAACGAAGCTCTGTCCCGCCCTACAGCCCATAAAACGAAAGCCTTCCAACCGCACATCCTAGAATGATATTGCTAGTAGCTACTCCTAGTTAACACCCCCTGTCAAACCGAGCATCAAGTTTACAGAAGCCTCGTGAAACCCTGGAAGACCCTGCCGGACAACAACGCCTCATCCGAATTTAAGAAAGCCGACAGAGCCCCAATTGGAACCGCTCAAGCCATAGGGCTATGTGAGCTATAAGATCACCGTACAGTTATCTTGTACGGAACCCTAACGAATAATGTGTGTACTTGTTCGAACTCAGGCTTGTACATGTAGAAACCCTAGACGCTGAACCCTTAAACCCTGTCCTAAACCCTAAATCCCTGAGACGGTTGCTGAGGCGAGGTCGACCTCTTCAAAGATCGCGGACTCTCCGGTCCCTTCCATGAGTTAGTTTATTGTTAAGGGTTTTCAGGGTTGCCGTTGTTTCAAGCAGAGGTTTAGGGTGGTATGCATGGTTTCGTGGATTCTTCTATGAAGATTTGCTAAGGGCTTGTAGTTGTTGTCAGAAAGGGTTTCATGCAGGTTTTGGAAGTCCCTGCAGTAAAAGCTTTGGGCTCAGGAGGTTGGGCGGATAGGAAATAATACATTGACTGTATCTTGAGTCACATTCCCGATGTCAAGCGAGACTTGTGGAAGACGCATAATGTACTTATCAGTTTCTCCGCTTTTGAAACTAAAGAGGTGGAGTGGCTGCGATGCTTTGCTGACATGCAGTAGTCATGTTGGCTGTCGATTCCCAGCTGATGATGGAACAGAGCCTGGGTTCAACAATGAATTATTTCCTATTTTTCTTCCATTTCTGGGAATCATGGTTTCTCTAGACTTAGCACTCCTGAGATTGACATAAGTTTAAGTTCTTGCACCAGCGTTGTCATACAAACGGCGCGCTTGTCCATGGTTGTGCGTCGAAGGTTGGGGTTCGTTGCATATACTTACAGAGACTGAGATGCTGATTCCAATTTTCGTTCACTCTTTCTGAACCCTTATAAACTTATAAACCCTATAACCCCTAAACGCTATTCAATTCTTTCCAACGGAAATCTGAATCCTCAGAGCCCATGCCTTTTGCACTGCTTGACCGTAGCTGTGCCGGGGCTACCGAAAGACAGCGTTCCCGAAGCAAAATCCCCGAAGCTTTTCCGATTTATGGCTTAGTGGCTTTGGTGTTGTTCAGGGGTTCGTCGTAATTATAGCACAGGCTAACTCAATACATAGCCTCATATAGCTCATGGTCCAATGTCACAGTTGATCTCTTAGAGGTGAAGCACCTAAACTCCTGAACCCTCGACCCTGAGACCTATGGACCTAAATCTTGAAACATCAAACCATTCTAAATCCTGTGCCCCAAAATCAAGGCCACCGCACGATTGAAATATAACCAAAATACTACACCACCCCTTAACCCGTGAGATTTAAAGCGGCTCAACTTGAAGGTTCATGGGTAATTCTAAGTAGGGCTATAAGCCCCTTAATATGGGCTGATTTATAGTTACCCTACTTATAACCCTACTTATAACTACCCCTAAACCCCATGATCCTACAATCGTATACCTTACACCCTAAACCCCATAGAGTTTTTTAAAGGAGCCCTACGTATAACTACCCTGAGCCTCCAAATAGACCCTAAATCCTAAACCCATATAGAACCCTTACAGGAACCCTTAACAAAGAACCCCTAAAGGAAGACACAAGAAGCTGAGGCTCATACGAAGAAGGCTTTCGAAGCGCCAGACTCGGAGACTGAGCCGGTTGAGGAGCGGGCAGTTCGTCTTCAGCAGGAACTCCCTTCAAGGGCTCCTTTGAGGGCTTCTTTAGGGGCTCCTGCAAGGGCTCCTTTAAAGGCTCCTTTAGGGGCTCCTGTAAGGGCTCCTTTAAAGGCTCTTTTGAGGGTTCTACCTTCAAGGGCTCCTTGAAGGGTCGGTTTAGGGTATACCTGAGGTCCATGAATAGTTATCAGCGGGGTTATAAGTAGGGTGACCATGATTATTATAACCTATGAGGGGGCCTTATAACCCCTTTTGTAACTACCCCTGAACCTCCAAGTAGTTCATGTTCTAGCAGCTGCAGCTAACAACAGCAGCAGCAACATCGAACAAATGAGCCACATGAGCCGCAGCCACAACCCAACCAGAACGACGACGGCGACGACAGAGGCCAAAGCAAGTGGTTTGCAGGACTAGTTGTGAATTCTTGATTTCCGCACGTATGTGCATGTTGCATCTAGCATAAAGCATCTAACTTCAGTGTACACACATACATGACAGGTTCATTCTTATAAGATACTTATACTCTCGAGTCGAAACCAAAAGCACTAAATCCTAAGCAGCTCTTCAATTCTTCAAGCACTTCTCCTTTGTCATAGTTGGGCAACATTTCAAACTCTTATGGGTAGTTGAACCCCAAAAGGAAAAGGATGGATTGTTTAAATCCTATCCCGACCATGAGCTAGTCTCAAGCGACCAGAAGAAAAGTAGACCCCGACTCTATGAAACTAGGCAGTCAGGGCGGCGTTTGAACACCTTGCCAACAAAACCTGAATCGCTGTATCTACCCTCAACCCGAAACCCCTGGGTTCTTTCAGTCATTTCAACAAGTCGAAAAGGAACCGCAGACAAGCCCAGAATTTCCGAAACTTCGTATCTACGAACCTGAACACTTCGAGGAGCCACCGCAGCCGCCGCCTAGCTTGAACCTGAAGCTGCCAGAGGTCGGAGCACTGTCACTACCGGGTTTAGGGTTGGGGAATTCTTGCTGCCATGTAGCAATCCCTAAAGGTCCATGTTTGGCCCCGAAGTACCTACCTCCAAACCCGAATCCCAAGAACCCAACCCGAAACCCTAATCCCCCAGAACCTAACCTCCCCAAAGCCAGAAGCCACCACAAGCTGCTGCGGATGATGTCAAGTTGCCTCGGTTTGCCCGCTTTGCGAAAGACTAACTATGAATTAAGGCCCCTCTCAGAATCACGTTTCGTATTTAGCTCCCATCCGAGGGCCTAGCAGAGGCTGGCGTGACTTCGGGCCGAAGAAGGTCCATACCAGTCTCCGACGGTTACACAATGAAAGCGCTCGGGCTAGGAAGGATACTGGGAGTTCGTAGTTGGCCCTTTGGCCCATCATTGGCTTGATGCCTTAGTAGAAACAGGCTCTGTGATTTCATCATCTGCCTTCACCCGACACCTCTTAAACCCAAGTCCCAAACACACACAGCAAAAGCCCTAACCCAGATCCCAAAGCCCTAAGCATACAACGCAGGTCCAAGCTCCGAGCTCATCGGCTTCTGATGCCAGCGTGCGTAGCTCCAAGGATGTTTGCGGTGTTTTTGGCTCCGGGTTTTTAATCGTGTTTTCTTAGTACAGATAATGCTGAGTGGTAATAAATGGGTCCTGGTAGGAAGAACATGTACTGCGGCGCTTTGGGAAACGTTTTAATTCCCCTTATGGTTCCTGAATAGGTACCTAATCATAAATACTTCTAAGGGCCCCGAAACTACCCAGATAAGGTGTATGTTCAGGTGCTATGTGTTTTTTGTTTAAGTTTCATGCCTGGCTTTAGTACCCTGACCATGAACTGGCTCAGAACTGTGCCGGCGCATGATTCATATAGGTGCCTGAAGAGTTGCCAAGTTCTTACTGCAATCAGATTGTTCTAAACCGCAACCTGGTTGTTTGCTGCCCTGAAGAATTGGAGCATATTGATTTAGATACCCGAACTCTTTAAAACGTAAACCCCAGCGCCCTAAGCTGGCGAAGTTCCAAACAGAGGTGTTCCACCGGCTGATCGACAGTTCGCGCTTTGATTAGCATATAAGTCAAAGAAGAAGCACATAAGTGCCTGTCGGGTTGAGGGCAAGTTTCGGGGTTTCGTTTCTGCCTCCATACGTGCACATCTTCGATACAGTCTTCTGGCACGGGTGTGGAACATGTTCCAAGTGTGGCCACCATCCACAGCCTGTGCCTAGGGCCTAGTCAGAGTCTATTGATCAGCTGCCTGTGAAGCAATATTTTCAAGATCTCGCTCTTGCCCAGCATGTATACACATCTGACTGTGCTCACGTGCAAATTTACGCCGCATGTATGAGCGTGTGTATGCATGCATGTCCCCAGGGCTCCCGTTACTTAAATAATTAGTAGGTTGCTGGGGTATATAATCTATGGTTAGTAACCTACTATTTTACATCACTAGAGCCCTAGGCTGTTTATATCATGCATAACCCTAAACCCTAAAACCCTAAACCCTGCATGTTCTGCTGCGCTGGCGCAGGAGAGGGACATTCAGCAGTGGGCGGCGGGCTTATCTGGTACAGCCGAGCCCGAAGGCCGCATCCCGAGCCCAAGAAGGAAAGTAGTAGTAGTAGTACTAGTAGTACTAGTAGTACTAGTAGTACTAGTAGTACTAGTAGTACTAGTAGTACTAGTAGTACTAGTAGTACTAGTAGTAGTACCAGTAGTAGTACTAGTAGTAGTAGTAGTAGTAGTAGTAGTAGTAGTAGTAGTAGTAGTAGTAGTAGTAGTAGTAGTAGTAGTAGTAGTAGTTCGTATTAGCAGTAGTAGTGGTAGTAGTAGTGTAAGTAGTAGTAGTAGTAGTAGTAGTAGTAGTAGTAGTAGTAGTAGTAGTAGTAGTAGTAGTAGTAGTAGTAGTAGTAGTAGTAGTAGTAGTAGTAGTAGTAGTAGTAGTAGTAGTAGTAGTAGTAGTAGTAGTAGTAGTAGTAGTAGTAGTACTGGTAGTACTAGTAGTACTAGTAGGTAGTACTAGTAGGTAGTACTAGTGGAAGTAGTAGTAGTAGTAGTAGTAGTAGTAGTAGTACTAGTGGTAGTAGGTGGTGTAGAGGTTACCGTCCCTAGATAGCCAGAGTGTGCTAACTTATGTGGCTTCTTTGGTAGGGTTGGGTTCCAACTAAGCCAGGCCTGCTTGCGGTTTGGATTCTACCGGTTGGCCGGCTCCAGGATTCCGGGTCTCCAGGCTTGTCGCAGCTTTTAAAAGGTGCCATCTCGTTAAAAGGGTGATGGTGGCTCGAAAGATGTCGTCGATATCGGTGCTGTAGGATTCTGTAGGATTGCACGGTTGATAGAACCCTTAAGATAGCCCTTATGGTACCCTTAACGGAGCCCTATGACTTTTAGTGTTCCTTAGGACCCTTAGGCAAGTTGTAATTTCTTGCTGCAGCCTCCATCATCGTCGCCTCGCCTACGGCGCACGAATACGACCCCGAGTTCTGGGCAACTTGTCACAAATCTGGTGTTCAAGGTTTAGGGTTTAGAGTTTAGAGTTCAAGCTGAAGGGTTTTAGGGTTTAGGATGGTGTTCAGAGAGACCTCGTTCGAAAAAGACGTTTGTTCAGCAGGCTCAAGGCGATGTTCTGGGCCGGTTGCATGATCACGTGTACCTTTATGACTCTGAAAACCCTGGCCCAAGGCCCTAAGCTGGGAGGGGTCTTAGGATTTTGAGAGGAGTTGAAGACCCTCATCTCCCAGATTCCTAAATTAGGAGTTCACGATAGACGGCAAACAAAGACGCTAGAAACCCTGCAGCTCGAAAGCCTCAGGAGCCTCAGAAACCTTAGAAGCGCCAGAAACCAGGGTTTAGGGTCTAGGGGCCGTTAGAAACTGAAACCCAACGCCCCAAGCTATCCCAGAAGCTCCAATACCCCCTAATTGAGGAAGATTTACCTTAAACCATGGAGTAGGGTTCCTAGTCTAATTTATGGCAAATTTCTTAATGCAGTGGTTTTGGAGTCTCAGGTTAGATTGAAGTAATTAAATACGATTTGGCTACATGGACCCTTAAACATAGAGCCCTTATATAGAACCCTCAGAGAAAGGAATCCTATTCCCCCGTGCAAGGACTGGGCGAATCAGTTCTGGGACTGGGCCAACCAGATCCAGAGCTTCGGCAGACGGTTCTGGAATGTTTCCCCTAAGCATACCATTATGATACGGTTGATGATATAAATCCTGCATTCCCCATAATACGGAATACACCATAGTTCCCATAGTTTAGAGTCCTTAGGGTCATGCAGGATGACTCCTCAGATAGTGAACGGGGGAACTTTTAAACTTTATGGCCTTATATATTAGCTCTATCTTACAAAGATTGAACTTTTTGGGGCCCGGTTGTTGAGGAAGAGAGTTTCAGGGTTGAGAGTTTATCGAGTTTAGGGCATAGTTATAGGTTTGTGTGCAAAGCTTTGGTAATTTTACATCACAAAGATGTATAGACTGAAGCTACGCCTGAACTTTACAGCGTATGGAGACGAGTGCACGCCACTGCCATCCAACAGTTTCGTTGCAATTGACTTCCGAAAACCTTGTGGGCAAACGGCAGACTTCACAGAATAACACGGGAAGCTGAGTACTGATTTCCGTAATTATATCCCTGTACCGTCCGTGCAACATTTACCATAGTACTAGTATGCCACTATGTCCGGGTCTCATGTCTGACCTGCCACCTTCAATTCTCCGAGTTGCGAGAGTGTACTGTGGATGATACAAATCCTGCATTTTCCATAGTAAGGAATTTGCCATAATTCCCATAGTCTAGGGTCATTAAGGATATACATATCATCAACCGTAATTCTAAAGCCTGACCCGTCTAGACCCATGGAGACCCTGAGCCTTGAACCTCTAAGCCATATTATAAGCCTTAAAGCTATAGGTTCCAAACCCCAAGCCGTACTATAGGGGCCTTGCTAACTGCCTACACTATTTTTAGTGATTCCTTACTATAGTTATAGTGTACTGGCCCGCAAAACCCTATTCTAGCCGTTAAGACCCCTATATTACACTTCTGAGCTTTAAACTGTTCTTAGGATCACCGGTGGCGGTGTGCAGTCGCAGCTACCTCCACCACCACCGCCCTTGCCTCCCTCGACAGCGTCAGAGGCCAGACGACAGAGAGCAAGAGAGTTCGGATGTGAGGGCAATGTAGGGGGCCTCAAAAACTAATCATAGCAGGATATTGGAGTTTTGGGGGGGTATATTTCACTATCATACCCTAAACCCTAAACCCTAAACCGTATATTTCACTATCATTTAATATTATGATGAGGAACACCCAAGATGGTATTGATAATTCTTTCAGGCCCCTACGTGAGGGGTTCGGTCTCCGGGGTTTAGGGTTGCGGCTTAAAGTCAGGCTATGGTTCAGGGTACAGTCTAGGTTCCCACGGAAACGTAGTCTAGGGTTCAGTTCAGGGTGTACGGTTTAGGTTCTGGCAGTGGGGCTTAGGCGGAAGCTTTAGCAGGGGTTGGTTTGTAGGTGGGGCAGAATTTCCTTTTTTTCCGGGTTTGGAGCATCTGATTCTGAAGCCCAAAAGTCCCCCAGGTCAGTATCACCACCGTTGCGGGGCCCACTAACTGTCGTGGAGCATTGCAAGGGATGAGAGCCTTGAAGGGAGCGCAATGTAGAGCCATCCCAATCCGCGATGATCGCCTGAAGCGCCTGAACTGAAATCACGACATCAGGTTCTTGTAGCGATCAGTTCTTGGCGAATGATGCGTTTCTGGCGCCAGAGTCGGTGACATTGCGATGAAAAGCTCATTCTGCTGCACTACCTCTCAGCATCACATTCACCATCCTTCAACCTTTGCTGTCCATTGGTCCTAAGAGCTGTCTACTCCCCGAAGGTTCTGATTCGTTTAACTCCTTTCAGGTGGGTCCTGAGGTCTGCAGTGTAAGCGGCCTAGCAGGGCTCTAGTCAAGTTGGCTGTATTTTGCGGCCTGTCTCATGCAGTAGAAACAGCACAGGCCCCTATGTTAGGTTTAAACTGGCTTTACGGCATTTGAATAGTTAAGGTTTCAGGGTCTGCACAGCATGCCCTTGCCGCCAGTCGCAGCTGCGAAGCATCGCCGTTCCGACCAGCAGTGCGTGCCTGGCCTCAGTGTTTATCCGCTGTAGAAGCCTGAGAAACCGACCATAACAACAACCGTAATATACCAACTAATGATTAGCTAGGAAGCTTTAGTGAATCGAATTTAGCTATGAAAGGGTTTTTTTAAGTAATGATGATTAATTATGCTAACAGCTCTTCTTCCTTTGCATAAACCCTTCCTTTGCATGAACCTCTCCATAGCTGTAACCTCCAAGTATCCGGTGCAGAAGCGCTCTTTTTTTGGTCGTCTGTGATGCAGGGTGGCTGAGGTCAGCCTGACCAACTGTTTCTTCATCCCACGGTTTGTGCTATTTACATGTTTCGGGAGCAGGCTGACTCTTCGATTGTCTCAGCCTGGTTTTGCATGGCTGTTCTGAGGGACTGTGCTTGCCTGCAGCATGCTCAACCTGTGCGTCTCCCTCTCAAGGTACAGCATGGAATAAATAAATACAGGTACAGCAACGAGATGTGAGGTTCATTGCCTTGACACACTGCTTCAACGCACTTCCTACAAACCGCAGACAAAGCTGACAACCCATCTACAGCCATGGCGGCAGAGGATGTCCGTCCTGACCCCTTGCGAGCTTCTAACATGGCCAAGGACGATCCTTGGCGTTCTTCTGGATGGTTCTTAGGACTTTAACTTTTAGGGTTTCTATAAAAACTATAAAGGAGGCTAAAAGTGTAAGTTTTAGGAGGGGTTCCGAAGTCAGCCAAGGATCTTCATGGCCTAACTCTGGAACTCGACGGTGTGCAGCCGGCACCATTTCAGCTGGCAGGTGCCAACGGGCCTAAGGAGAAAAGGCACACCAGATCGGAGAGGCCAACCTTCGCAGAACCCCTCGTTTTGCCTGTGAGCTCTTGGGTTCCCAAGTACCCTTTTGCTCTTGTTTTTCTTTTCGTCTTCCTTTTTGTTACAACCAACTAGAAGGAACAAGGGCACCCCTGTTATCGGGGAGCTGCTGGGGAACCCAAATTATCATTTTGGGGTTCCTGGTGATTCGTGTTATTCCTATATTTCTCATTGCTATGGTTGTTCTGATGAATACTTAGGGGTACTTAGAAATAATGTTTAAGTTTTGGTTAGTATAACCCCTAAGAAACAGCTAAAGTTAGGGTTCTAAAGTTCAGTATAGAATATTCGAACGACCGAGGCTCACAGCCCTCCGATCCGGCTCCTCTAAGTCCACCCGCTGTGGCGAAGCCTCGGCCGCGGCGGATGTCGGCTCTGGGCGGAAGGGGCCGCGGCACTCTGGTCCAAAACATAAGATTCCTAAAGCCTCAACTAAACTCCAAAAAGATCCCACGAAGCTTTCGCTAAACCTAGCAATCCCCGATCCCTGGAAGGCAAGCATGAAGCCAGGACTCAGGTCCTCAAGCCGCTTGGCCTTTAGGTATTAGGAGGTTTAGGGGATTTAGGGCTGAGGGTTTTTGGGGATTTCGGGTCTAGGATTTAGGGGATTAGGGAACTACGTTAAGATCGGGGCTTTGGGTGGGATAGTACACGTTACTCATCTTTATTCACTAGATAGCTTTCGCTGTATTTTGGACTAAATATTGGACTTACTAGGATCGGAACTGATACCTGAGCTTCCGCACCTGCGCAAGCGAGAGAATGAGCTGAAGATTCCTCCTGAAAGCTTGTAGCTGGTAGCCGCCGGTCTACTCAACTCCTAAACCATCCTAAGCACAAACATGCACAAACCCTCAACCCAAACAACCCCTAGTAAGCCCTAAACCCTAAACCCTTAAACCTGCTTGAAGCACCAAGTCAAGGTCCCGGGTCTCCGCAATGTTCGAAGAATGCATCCAGGCTGTTCAGTGGTACACTTTTTTACTTTCAGGTTTCTGGTTTCTTATTATAAAATAAGAAGCCCGAAGGTTTTCATGAATATGTATCTTCTTATCCTTTATCTGAGAGTTGGCTAAAAAAGTATATGCTGGGTTACTGAACAGCCTAGGCATCGAGATCGCCAACTACCGGCTGGTGAAGAGCAAGCTTGAGACGCAGGCGCAGTGCCTGGGCCGCCCTGGAGTTACAGGGTGCCCACGGTTTAGGTTTTGTTTAGGGTTTAGGGTTTTAGGGTCCCGCAGCACAGTCGGCGCCTCAGTTCCTGGCATATGCGTAGTCCAGGTGTAAAGGGGTTTAGGGTTTTAGGGTTTAGGATTTAGGGTTTGGGGGGGGGGTTAGGTTGACGCATAGAGATCAACATCAGCAGATGCTTTTGGGTTTGGGGCGCGGGCGAACTAAGAGACAACCGAGCAATCAAGCGAGCAAGCAAACAAGCAAGGACAGACAAAGAGACTGTTGAATTATCACATACATGTAGGCACGTTACACATTTATATGTGTGTGTATATATGTTATCAGCTCTTAACCATAAGAAAATCATTTAGGCCAATCCTAGGCCTCCCAGTGGGCCCTTATCGCTTTCTTGTAGTCCTAGGTTGCCTATAAAGTTACCCAGTACCAAAAAGGGAGCCCTTTCTATTCCTGGGTTACTGGGCATCCTAGAATCTGCCTTCCAAGGATTCAGCAGCCGACGGCCCGGTGCATCGCATCAGCGTGGCCACTAGGATGCTGTTGGAAAACTGCTGCTTACCCATAGGCTTCCTAGAAGTTCTATTTGGGGGGCTCATATTTAGGATCCTATAGGGTAATCCCAAGAAGGAACTACTATGGAGCCTATAGGTAGGGCGGTTTTTTAGATACAGCATCTGGGACAAGGGAGGTGTGTATTTCTTTGCATGGCTCACTTTGTCATTGCTCTGACTGTCCGGGCGATGAGCTGAAACATCAGGGTTTAGGGTTTAGGGTTTACGGCTTAGGGTTTAGGGCTTAGGGTTTAGAGTTCAGGGTTTAGGGCTTAGGGTTTAGGGCTTAGGGTTTAGGGCTTAGGGTTTAGGGCTTAGGGTTTAGGGCTTAGGGTTCAGGGCTTAGGGTTCAGGGTTTGGGGCCAAGCCCAGCCAAACAAAGCAACAGAGCTTAGGCCCCTTATAGTTCGTAACCTTCAGAGAACCCCCCTAAAAACCCGTCAAAGGAACCTGCTGCAACCTATTATATGAGGGTTTCCGAAAACTAGGGGTATCTTGTTTTGGGGTCCTTATAATAAGGATCCTATTATTTTGGGTACTATGTTAGGGTCCCCCATTTCGGAAACTCCCATATAAGTAACTACCATGGCCCTGTGTTGAACCGCAAAGAACAGAACCCTAAACCCTAAGGCCGGGCTCGGTGCCGGCCCTTCAGCGGTTGCTGCCGCTGAAGCCGAGCCAGGACGAGGTAGCCTCGGAACCGCGCAGCTGGGACGGGTTTGAGGGTTTAGGGTTCAGGGTTTCGAAGCTTATAGGGTTTAGGGCTCAGGGTTTAGGGTTTAGGGCTTAGGGCTTATAGGGTGTAGGGTTTAGGGCTTATAGGACTTATAGGGCTTATAGGGCTTAGGGTTTAGGGTTCAGGGTTTAGGGCTTATAAGGTTCAGGGTTTAGGGCTTAAGGTTTAGGGTTTGTAAGGTTGTTCTGGAATTTCTTCCGGTGGAGTGTTCATTTCAGGCTGGCTTCGTAAGCAGGACTATGCAGGGCCCGGAGGTGTGTAGCATCAAGCTTGTTGATCTTGCTGGTTTCGGCTCGGGTTTCATGGGTCTTTCGCATCTCGAGGTGGGGTGCTTTAATTCAAGTGGTTCAGGGCTTGCGCGGATTTTCGGACCTTGCCAAGGTCTCACAGTGAGACCTGGTTCCATGTATCGTCCTAGATTCTAGATAGAAAATGGGAGCCCTCTTATTCCTATGTTATTGGGGATCCCAGTTACAGTCGTTCATGTGAGACGTATCAGATCGAAGCTTCATCTCTCCAGGTGCAGAAAAGGTGGCAACATAGAAACAGAAAACTTAGTGGCAGTGGTCTCTTGTAGCCCCCTGGCATAGGGTTGAGGGTTTAGTATACAAGTCTGTGCAAAAGGGTTCTGGGAGTATAGTCATACTGTCATAGAATTACCCCAAAGCCCGATTCCAGGAACGGCCGTCAAAACCCGAACGCCAGCCAAGGAAAGGTCACCAAGAATCGGCAGACCACGCTCCCTTTGCAGAGGATCGAGACCTCAGTCCCCAAACCCTGAACCTTACCACATGGGAGTTTCCGAAAGTAAGGGACCCTAATACAGTACCCTAAATATAGTAGGATCCTGATTATAAGGACCCCAAAACAAGGTGCCCCTTACTTTCGGAAACTACCAAAGGCCTCGCCTGGATTGTCCGAGTGTGTGCACCGAAACCCTGAACCTTACTAACTCCAAAATGTTTCAGCTTTATGCTCCATACCTTAAGCTGCGAACCCCCATGCCCTAATGCGAGAGGGCAAAAATGTAGATGTCTGAAGAACTACAATATTCTGCCCTTCTAGTTCCTATGTATATTTTAATCTCCGCCCAAATGCCACGCCAAACCCTAAAACAACCCTAAAACCCGAAACCAGGATCGAGATACCTACGGGCCGATCCAGGCTTTTGGATGGTGTGCGGGTCTTGCAATGCGGCGACGGCTTGGCCACCGATGATGTTCCACGGAAGCCAAAGAAAGCCGTAAGCGTAAATAGGCCCTTTAAAGGAGCCCTTATGGTCCTTAATAGTGGGTATTCTGGGTTGGGGGGTCTGGGTGGGTCCCAGGTTGATGGTATAAGTCCTGCATTACCCATAATAAGGAATATGCCATAGTTCCCATAGTCTAGGGTCGTCTTTAAGGTGATGCAGGGGTATAGTTCTCAGTGTTTACGAAGATCCAGGTTTTGAGCCTTGTATGGTTGCGACATGCTGCTGAGAATCTCAGCATACATTGGGGCGAAGCGGAACATTATCCACTTGTTTGTTAAGCACTCTAGAACGACAGTCTAAGCGGACCTTAAAACAGCTTCACAGAAGCTGTGACAGACTGACTTTTGTTCTAGTTGCATCACCCTGAGCCCTAGACCCTAAACCTTGCCTGGATTCGTCCGAGCGTCGCCAAACCCTAAACCCCAAGACCCGAAAAGCTCTAAAGCCCTCTCGAAGCCTAAACTCAACCCTATGAGCCCTAAAAGCCCAAGCCTTGTAAGCTCCTGACCTACAAGCCTAAGCCGCAGACTAGACCCTAAATCACCACTACCCAGACCCCCGCAAAAATCCAAAAAGTAGATCCCTTAATGGGGGTTCTCATACAGTACCCTTAGTAGTATAGGGCCCCAAATTAGGGGATCTACTTTCTAGATCCTCCCGGGGGTCTGGGTACAGGAGGGGGAAGAAAACACACTAGCCCAGGCTGAAGTCCTTCACTGGACCTTTCAAGAGGCGATGGCTGAGGCCAGGCGCATCCAAACTCAAGCCATTGCGGCGAAGCACGAGGTGCGCCTTGGGGGATCGAGTTTGGCGGAAGTTTGGTGCCATAATCCTTAGGGTTGCAACAAAACCTTCCGTTTGCTGCGGACGCCTGGTTCAGACCCCTAGCCGTATACCTTAAAGCCTTAAATTATAGGGGCCCTAGTCGCTCCTTGATTAAGGGCCCCTTTGGGCTCTCTGAGAAGCAGAGAGTCACGAACGCAAGGTGAAGCGCCTGCAGAGTGCGATCGCCGCCCTGCAGCGCCGTGCCAAGTCCCGGGCTTCTCCAAGAAGGCCGGGGCTTGGCTTGGGATAATCACCCGGAGACTCCAATATTCCTTAATCAAGGAATATACCTTGAATCATAATAGGATCCCGAATATGATTTAAGGAATATTCCTTAGTTAAGGGATATTGGAGTCTCTGGGCAGCGTGGAAAGAAGACCCTGTTGAGCTTGACTCTAGTCCGACTTTGGTGAAAATGACTTAGGAGGTGTAGCATAAGTGGGAACTTTAGGGTTCCAAAAGGCCTCCTACAAGTGCTCCCATCAGGGCTGTTTTCCCTTTTCCTTCCCCAAAACACAGTCTTATCAAGTCTGGTGCGGTTGCAATAATTTCGGGCACCCCCTTCTTGCTGTTTTCGGGATTACACCTCGACGTGCCATTGCGGGCTTCGAAAGCTCCTGCCTACATTCCGGAGAGCGCGGAGGGCTTGGGGGGGCCTCGAGGCTGAAGTCGTTGTAGATGCTATGAAATGTTCATTCATGGTCTGTTCCCATACCATGTTCCTCAAAGCTTGAACCTCAAACCTATGATCTTATAAGTATCGTGCGCTATGGATTCATGACGCGGGGCTCGAATGGCCTTGGTCATGAATGCACACCTTTAGTTAGGAGACAATGTTTTCAAGAGGCCATTGTCGGGTCCTTGAAAGGAGCTCCGGTGGAACATGTTTGTAAACTTCCGGTGTCTAGGCAGAGAGGATACCTGTAAGGTCGGTATACGCCTAATTGCCATTTTAACTATAACCCCTAAACCCTCAACCCTAAACCCCAAAGTCCTAAACCCCTAAACCCTAAACCCTTATCGCCCAAACCGTAAACCCGAAGCCTGAGCCTTGATTTTCCAGCTGCCAAGGCCTCGCCCTGCACGAAAAGGATCTCCGGATCGGCAGCCTCCTCTCTTGCCCAACATCCGGTGAGGGAATTGCGGAAAAAGACGGCACCAAATATTAGTGCCCAAACATACCAGGGTCCTTACTTATCAATTTTCGGGATACTACTAAGAGGCAGAAGAGATCCCTGAACATTTGCCCGGAAATTCTGACATATCCGATGAGTGGCCGCTGAAGAGAGAAGCTCGAAAGCCTAACCCTAAATGCTCTAAAGGGTTCCTTGAAATGATTCGTTTAAGGGTCCTGAGGCTCAAGTAATAGTTTGGTGTCTAGGAGTCTAGAGGTTCTTACTACTAAGGTTTTATACTCACGGTTCTGTAAGGTTTTAGAGGCTTGAAGTCGTTTTAGTGGTCCAACGATCAAAGAATTTGGCTGCGTAGGCTAGTATTTGGGACAGCATATGATTACTATAGATGTACCTGGACGCTTAGGCCAAAGGCACTGCTCACGCAGGGGCTTTGTTTTTTCGAGCACGGCTCGGGGATATAGATTAAAATCGAAACATGGCACTACGGAATGATATTGGTAGTCATCAGGACACCTCCCTCCCTCATACTTCACCCTGAGACCCCTGTGTCGTCTTTTCGAGAAGCTTATCTCCAGTCCAGAGAAGCCCGGCCGAGCAGCTTGAGGTATCTTTTAAAGGTCAAATGGCCACGCGTTCCGCCCCGCGGAATCAGTAGAAGCGCTTCGCAAATGCCTCGGCTAAGCCGTGGTGCGTCTGATACATCACCCAAGCCCGCCTGCCCGAACATCTGCAAGCTGCCTTAATGGACAACGGCATTCCTAAGACTTACATTTGCTCTTTCGTGTGCTGCCACCTACCGGCACCCGTATAACTTCGCTTGCGAGCGGACGGCTTCTGTCCAGCCGCGAGTTTCACTCTCGATCAAACTCGGAGACGGCTCCGGAGGCGTCGAGTTTAGTGCAAAAAAAACTTGCGAAGTTCCGCTCCAAAACCCCACGAGGAGGTGCATCGAATCTACAGGTCGGTCATTGCAACTTTACATACATGACCAGACACCATGGTCGTCACGGTATTGGAAAGTCCATGACATAATAACCTGGGATTTCAGAACATAGGGGACTTCAATTTAGACCATTATTAGGTGTTAGTATCCGTAGTACAGGATCCTGAGTAAGGTACCCGTATCTTAGCAGTAACAGGCGTCTTCCAGGGTCTCCCCTACTTCCAGTTACGTTACTTCAAAAACCCACGTATCATAACTCCCTATGAACAACTAAGTACAAAATACACGCAGAGATGAGCCATTGCGGATGACTAGGATTTAGTCGCCGAGGTTTCTTCGTAGACCGAGTCTTCTCCCACTGTACCTTCGAAAACCACAAGCCTCCCCGGCAAGACCCTACGAGTTCCACAGAGTAGTCGAGTGCATTGCCGTCACCCCCTACCAGCTTACCTTGGGTTTGTAGGGAATGGAGGAATGGGGTACAATTATAACTACTATTACTACCACTCTTCCATTCCCTACTAACCAAAGGTAAGCCAGGTTACTAGCTCCACCACAATGACTAGCCCAGAGACTCCAATATCCCTTAATTAAGGAGTACACCTTAAATCATATAAACGATCCTACTATAATTTAAGGTATATTCCTTAATTAAGGGATATTGGAGTCTCGGGGAGCATGACCGCAAACGATAGCGATCATTGCCCAAAGCATCCGCAAACCAACCCCACAGATTGGTTTAGGGTTTAGGCTTTAGGATTTAGGGCTTAGGATTTAGGGTTTAGAGTCCGGTGGCAAAAAAGGGTTTAGGGTTTAGGGACTACTCACCCGAAAGCTTCTTCGTATCTCAGGAGCCCGCCCCCGTTGCCGCCGCTCCCATCGTCCCTGGCGGCATCTCCCCAGGCTCGAGCTCAAACTTTTGTTCAGCTCTGCTCTTAGAACCCCTGTGACAGCGGGGAGGCTTTTGTATCAGGGTTCAACAAAAGTAATCTGACGAGGTCATTGACACATAACATTTTGAGTCTTCTATTGTTGGAGATGACAGGCTTTCTTGTTCGTTGATTTGGTGGAAGCTTCAGCAGGCTGGAGAGAAGTTGGCAACTACTTGAGCAAAGCATCATCGGCTTGGAAGCATCATTGCGAAGCACGGTTCGGTTCCAGTTGCAAGTTTATTTGTTTTGTTGTAGGGAAGCCCTTACACTATACATATATATATATATATATATGTACATATATACATATATATATATATATATATATATCAAAGCAAGCGGACAGACGTGACACTTGCCCCGTAGTTAGTTCGTGTCGTGTGCATTCAGTTGCATGCCACACCCTGATTCGAAGGTGTCTGCGCGTTATCCTGCTCTTCCTCCCCAGCCTACCTTCGCAACATGTCTGCAAGCGTGTGCTGCAGGCTTGTTGAATTATGGGCCAGGCTCTGATCTTTCAGACAACCGGCAATCGCCGGACAAAAACAAGTATCGCGGTGTTCTTTGTGCCTTTGTAGCTGTTGCTAGTCTTATTACTCTAAGTCTGGCCGAAAGCTGAAAATCATTGCAAGGAGTGGTGATAAGGAGAGGAGCACAGTCCTTTGCAGTTACTACCGAAATCGTGGCGGGAATCAAAAATACGTTCAGCGTGGTTTTATATGCAAAAGAGACAGCGGCAGCCACTAACAAACCCCGCAACAAAAAAACAGCTGTGATATCGCATTGCTGACCCTGCATGCATCACGCAGAACCTATCCCCGGCCCTATCCGTAACTCCTCGTGCGTCAGACCTTCCCTAGCCTGTCCGAGTGCGAGCACCAGAAGACCAAACCTCCTTATACAGCCGTTTAAGGACCCCTTATAGTAACACTTATGATACCCTTTAAAGGAACCACAATCTAATTATTAAGGGGTATACTCCAACCCTACTGAGCTGAAGCCCCTCGTGGGGACGCTTAGGCGGAAGACGGTCTGCCTTCGATTGACCTCCCGATGTCTATGCCACTTCCTGGCCAACGTCCCACTGGCATGGTTGGTTACTTAGGGTTCGGGGTTTGGGCTAGAGGGTTGTAGTGTTAGGGTTATAGTGTTCAGGATTTCGGCGATTAACCTGTGAGGTTTACTCTTACAGTCAAGATGGCTGCAGGTCCTCAGGTCGTGGTCTGGCTAGGGGATTTTGGGGTTTCCGCTTGTTATTTTTGCGTTTGGAGCTTTTCGGTTCAGGGTTTGGTGCTTTGTAGCGTTAGGAACCTGCGGGCTGCTGGACGAAGCACTTGTGGCCGGAGCCGCTAAAACCTAAAAAAGCCCCAAGCCCAAATCCTACATTCTTTATAAGGAGTTTGTCATACTCGTTGTCCGAAAGTGGCTGATGTGGCTAGGTAGGTGCTGATTACGGGGTCTAGAACGTCTGAGAGCCGGACTTAGCGCAGGGAACCCCAAATATTCGCCATCCCGAGCGCAAAACGCAAAACCCGAAACCGTAGAGAGCCTAATACCAGTTAGTTGGGGAGTGAATATACTGTAAATCATACTATTCACCCCCCCCCCCCACCACCATCCACCATAATTCGAGGCGTCTCCAGTTAACCGGTATTGGGCTCTCTGACTCTGTCCCAGAACCATCCAGAACCTAAAGTAAACCCCTAAGTGCGATCTGCTAAACGGGGTGTGCAAAAAAAACATGGTTTTAACACAGAGACCCTGCACCTCAATTTAGCCTTCAACCCCCTAGGCCCAAAACCCTTAAACCCAAACCACAAAAATGAAGCCAACAAATCCCCTAAACCCCTAAGCCCTAAACCCCAAACCCTAAACCCCAAACCCTAAGCCCTAAACCCCTAAGCCCTAAACCCCAAACCCTAAGCCCTAAACCTCTAAGCCCTAAACCCCAAACCCTAAGCCCTCAACCCCTAAGAGCCCTAAACTCTGAGATCTTCTCCAGGAGACGACGTCTCTCCTCCCATCAGGCCATCTCCCTTGTCTGCACAGGGTCGGGTTTAGGAGTTTAGGGTTTAGGGTTCCCTTTTTTGGCGCAGGGTTGGGTCGGAGGATTGAGGGGTTCAGGATCTTAGGTTCACAGAGGTTTCTACTTTTCAGGTTAGGTCAAGTTGATATTGGGGTTTGGATGAGTCTATTTCAAAGGTTCGGCGGAGGGGTCGGCAATTTTGCAGAAACCCACAATCCGCAGCCGAAAACGCAAAATCGTCGGGGGTTTTGGACCATTTTCTGGGAGAAAGGAACTTTCGACTACTGTACCGTGAACTCTAAACTTGTAAACCCTTAACCCTAAACCCCCTGCAGGATTTCTTGGCCTTCGGATTTAGAGTTTAGGGTTCGTGGGTAGTTGTAAGTGGCATTATAAGTAGGGTAGCTGTTGTGATAACCCATGTTATGTGATGATATCCCGACTTACAACTATCCATGAACCTCCAAGTTTCACCAGCCATTCTGCCACGGCATGCTTGCTGAGCTGTTGCTGGCGATCGTAAGGCTGCTGTGGTTGGGACCAAGCGTATCTGAGATGGAACTAAAGCACTGCATGCGGCCGTGCAGACCGACAGTCAACGGTATCTTTGTTGCAGGCAAGACCCAGCATGACCATTGTTGGGAAAGTTACATGCGCGCTTAAACTGAAGCTTCCATTGCCTTCAACAACGAAGTGACCGCCCCTGTGATTTTATCAGGAAACCGGACAGAAACAAAATCGTCTACAAGTAACTGCACCCCGACCTGAAGGACACCCTAAGCCATAATCTCGAAGGAGGGGAATCAGAGCCTGGAAGTTTGAGCCCCGCGAGACAAAAAGCTTTCACACTCCGGCTAGACATGAGAATACTCAGTCCCCAAAAGCCCTTAAACTCTAAATCCCTGAACCCCCAAACCCTTAAAAAAACTCAAAACTTACACCCCTAAGCCTCTGCTTTTCTAGTTTCGGACTACAGAATCGGACGCCTTGCCATCCGAGAATCTCGTGACACGGCTACTCCTAGGAATCAACCTGGGAGTTTCCGACAATAAGGGGCTCCCTTATTTTGGGGTCCTTATAATATGGATCCTACTCTTTAGGGTACTGCATTAGGATCCCCTGTTTTCGGAAACCCCCACATCTCCCCATTGACCCTGGACCTTTAAATCCTTCTGTAACACCCATCCGTCCCCACCTGAGAGCCTTGCGTCAGGCGACATAGGCTGGAGGATGCTCGCATCCAGGACAACTGAGCGTCATTGTCTTCGTAGTCGGCAGCCTAAACCCCTAAACCCCAAAAGCCCAGAGAAGCGACAGTTCGTTCCCCGAAAGTTGTCAAGCAGGCGAAAAGGTCCAGTTTGGGAAGTCGCAGATGGAACGTGTATGACTTGTTGATTTCAGGCTCTATGCTTTTGAGGGCTATAGTACTTGGAGGCCCAGGGGACTGAGTAAGTCGGTTATAAGTATGGCTATAATTGGGGGAACTCCACTTAGGGTACTTTTAACTCCAATTATAACCTACTTACTATGTCCTCTGGGCCGCTAAGTAGTTCTCATGGGACTGATTGACGAGTTTGATAAATGCCAGAAAGTAGGATTCCAGCAGGAATCCTGTATCCCGCCGCTCTCGACTCGCAACCCTTTTGCCCTGCTTTTGTCTGAGGAGATGTGTTTGCCCCTTTTCATTACGGCAGAGTCAGGCTTCGGGGCTCTTCAACAAGCTGGGCAAGGGATAGTGGAAAGCCTGTTGCAAAAAGGTGGGTTAAACGTTCGTTAGGTTTTAGGTTTATGATCGGCCTGGGGGAAACAGTGACGGACATTGCCGGACTAGGAGCAGAGGGAGGAAATCCGGGCTATCCTTACCGAAATAATTACCTGTACTATTTTTTAGGGGGATTCCTTATTATAGTTAAATAATAATGGGCCCTACAACCATATTCTAATATTAAGGCCCCTATAGTATGATTCTTTGGAGGTCCCTTGGTTTGGTAAACTTGAATGTGCAGGCACTCGCAGGAGGAAGCAATCCGGTTCACAGGTGTGTGACAAACTCCAGAGGTTCCAACGCGCATGTGTCATGCTCCCCGCGAGCATATATGGGTAGTTGTCAAAAAGGGGTCCCTTGTAGAGTACCCTGAATAATAGGTGCCGTATTATATTAGGGACCCAAAAAGGGGACCATAATTGTGACAACCAATCATATGCAAACCAGCTTCGCGTTTGAGCAGACCAGGGCGACAAGCCGTCAATCAACAACAGCCCGATCGGACAAGCCTTAAGCGCACCCCATGCCTATGCCCCAATGAACCTTTTTTGTAATTAAGGATTCATATAAGACATGAAATCAGAATAAGGAGCCTTAAAAGAGAGGTATGCTCGGATCCAGGTAGCCCTGCAAGACGCCTCCTTTGCTTCAGGAGCACTTCGACTTGCCACAGCAGCCGCCACGCAGACAGAAGCCGGAGTCCTAAGCTTCTTAGGCTAGGCAGGTGGGGACAAAGGGAGGCTGTAGGGTTTAGGGTTTAGGGTTATCGTAGCTCCAAAAGGCTTACATATAAGGTTCTTGGGCGGACAGACTGGCGTGTTTCAAACCGTGGCCAGGTGGCGCTTGGAAGATTCTGCAAAGGATCGCACTATTTGTTGTCTATATCATTAGGGGATCCAGTTGCTGGAGCTCTCATAACTTTGGGCATCGGCTGCTTAAAGACCAACCCTCAGCCTCAAACCGCCCCGAATCTTGCAGGCCTTGCTGTTCTGGAGCGTTCCCTCTCCACTTTCCCAAAGGGTCCTATGTACTGTTATGGGGGATACTTTCCTAAGTCATAATAGTAGTTCCTAATATGGAAACCCTACATTCTACTATATCGGTACATAGGACCCTTTGGGTTTTTACAGGTTCAGCTCTGCTTGCTGCGTCATCGGTAAGTTTTAGGCGTTTGACGCAGCTGCGTCCAAACAGTTGTAGACGGTTGAAAGTGGCCCCAGAATTGTCGGAAACGTAACTTCAAACGGTTGCGGCATCCTTATGGTCCCTACATCGTTGTTCGGTGTCGGCGTTCCCGCGGCCTCTCTCCATGAAGGTTGCAGCCTCGATAAGAAGAGGAGCCCCTTAGACTCTCGCGGCTCAGCGCTTTTGGGAAGTGGAGTAACTCCAGCATGAACAGTCAGCTTATGCATGCAGACTCCCCGAGCGATTAACAACTACATACAGGTTGGACCGAGGGCAGATGTTCGTTTGAACCTCGCGAATAGGTACCCTGTGTAGTTAATGAATGTCAGGCTCTCTGTTGGCATGTTTCAAGTGACACCAAGAGGGACCCCAACGTGGAGAACTAACCTCATGTTTGTTTGAGACCACAAATACTAAACCCCTCAAACCCTAGACCCCCTAAACCCTGAACCCCCAAACCCCTTCAACGCCAGGCCCTAAACCCTATGCCTCTGTAGTTGAGATGCTGTGGACTATGCGGAGCCTTGCCTGCCTTGTGCGAGTGTGAGCGTCGAAACCCCATGCCTCGCCAGAGGCTCCAAAAGCCCTTAATTAAGGAATGTACCTTAAACTATAATAGGAATCCTAAGATGATATAAGGTCTATTCCTTAATTAAGGGGTTTTGGAGTCTCTGGGTCGCCTGGATCGTCCGAGTGTGAGCGCCAAAGCCCGAAACCGCACGAAAACCACAAGGCCTCGCGATGGCCACAAGAGGCCACAGAGAGCCGATGTCTCAGATTTCGGTGAGGACAGCTGCTTAGGGTTTAGGGTTTAGGGGTTTAGGGTTTGGGGTTCTGGATTTGGGAGTGGAAGGTTTCCAGTTGAGATGGTCGTTTCGAGTTTTAGTTTAGTGGTTTCAGGTCTTGGTTTTGGTGTCATGTTGTTGTTGTGTTGGCTCTGGGTTTTTGCGGCTCTGTGTTCGGGGTCACACGCTTCGGCCAACGTAAGTTAAACTCGCAGCCGTACAGGTTTACGACTGTTTGTGTGGTGGGCGCATCCAACCGCACAGCGGCTGTAAGTCTTCAAGGAACACCGAAACGTCAGGCTTCCCTACTGTACTTTCTTGATTCTCTGCACGGGCCTTCGGCGCATCCCTTGTCACGTCCTTCGACATGTCGGAGCAGACACTGCGCATCGACAGAACATGTGCACTGAGGTTCCCTAAACCCTGGACCTTCTGTCATCCCTAAACCCTCTAAACCCTACGCCTTAAACTAGCGGATGTGACCTGAACTCAGGTGGGAAAGGTCATAGCATCTAGCGGAGGAGGCTCATTAGTGGGTAAAGCCCTTTACCGGCACCAACGGGACTTGACTCGATTCGTATGATATGCTTAGGCCTATGCTGTAGTTACTGTCATCGTTCCTTGCAGAAGCCCTAAACCCTACACTGCCGAGCTCTCCCTGGCGCCAAGACGCAGCGACGGCAAAATCAGTTTCGATCAGATTCCCAGGTGCCTTGGGCCAACAGATCACTTGTGACATACTATAGGGGCCTTCACAATTACTATTTTGGAGGGTTCCTTATTACATTTATAGTAATTATAATGGCCCCACAACCCTATCCTAATTCAAAAGGCCCCCATAGTACTCTCATGACATATCGTATAGTAAATAGGTTTCATACATGAAATACTATACTAATGATTCAGACCCGAAACCCTAAGGCCCTAAACCCCAAACCCTAAACCTCCCATGGTATCGGGGGCTGGGGTCCCGGGCCTGCTTTCACCAGCTGTGAGTCTACTTGGAGGGTCGGGGGACTTAGTAAGTAGGTAGTAAGTAGACTTTTAAGTACCCTAATAGGGACCCTAATTGGGGTTATGGCACTTATAAGTCCCTAAAATAACCAGTTACCAAGTCCCCCGACCCTCCAAGTAGATGATGAGTGTCAACAGGACGACGGGGAGAGGCTGCTTAGGCTCGAAGCCCCAAGCCCTGACTGGCTGAAGTAAAACGGGAATTTCCAAAAATTCGGGGCTACCTTATTTTGGGGGTCCTGATTTTTTTTGATCCTATATACTTTTTAGGGTACCATATCAGGGTCCCCTGTTATTTTTCGGAAACTCCAAAAAAGAGAGATCGGGCTAACATTATTAACAGTATGCCTGTGGTGCTGCTCCTCGGCCCAGGGAAGGCTGCCGGAAGCCTGTGTCATCCAGAAATGCCATGCCTTTGGGGCTCTCTGTTTTCACACCAGTGTGCACTTATAAAATTGGTTGTTTTAGCGACTTATAAGTACCATAATCGCAATTAGGGAGTAATAACCACATGCCGCCCGTAACCCTATTCTAGTTAAGCAGGCCTGTCTAGAAGCGCAGCCTGACTGGTTCGGCTGATCTCACAGTGTCCAAAAAGGCCTAGCAAGTAGTGAATCCCATATTCTCTGTGTATATATATTTATATACATGCACATGTAGACGTTAGCAACACCCCACCATGTTAATAATCACCACATCTGCGCCAGCCCCGGCAATTGTCATCGAGAGATAAAGATCATCACCAGTCCAGTCATCCTCAGGTTCATGACCATCACCTTCGACCATTTTGGCATGACGCCAGCCGACACGACACAGCAGGAAACACATGAAACAAGACCACACCCTTACGATTCAACATCTGCGAAAGCCTGGCCTTCTTATCGTTCAAGAGTTTGACTGTGAGGCACTTGGCCGGGAGCACATTCGTACATACGCCTTAGAACTTCGTTGAACCACTATCGTTCCTGCCACTTTTACGAGGATGTGCAGTGGTGTTGGTGTCGATGGTAGGGATTTTATTATCACCAATTAATTATATAATAAGGGCCTTCATGGTCAGGAGTCCGGATAGGGTTCGGGCGGTCGGGGGGGGGGGGGGGGGGGGGGACATTCCAGGATAGCTAATATAGGGGATCTTGAAGAAGATTACTAACTACCCAAGGTCTCCGATTTTGTGGCAGAGTCCTGTCCCGACTCTGAGGAGAGGGAGGAGGACCGAAAGACGAGCCGAGCTTCAGACATGCTGCACGAGCAGGCGCCATCTACTTGAAGATACTACCCAGAATTGGGGCCTTTGGGTAGTAAATGAACTTGGAATCTTGCATTTGTTTGTAGATACATGAGCTTGGAGATCCTGTTTTTACAGACCTTGGAAGCCTGTCCTGTACTTTGAGTCCTTGCAATACGGATCCTACCTTGAAGGGTTCTACAATACAGGGTTCATGTTTCTTAAAACTACGAGACTGGCTCATCTGGCTCAGATTTCTGTCAAGCTCATCAGCAATAGCTATGCTAACAGTTGTTGTAGTCGTAAGAGGATGCGCGGGAGTCTTGGTCCTAGTATTGGTGATAAGCTAGTGCTTCCGGCGCTCCTGTCTACTAGTCAGCACAGTCGCAGCCCTGGCTTGTGAATCTTGCTGCATTCTTTCGTGTGTCGGGTGCAGAGTCACTGGTATGCATGTTGCAAGGTACTTTGATGCACTATACATAATAATGTACTACCATAAACTACCGTGTACTCCTAATAATGTGCATTATACTATAATGGGCCATGGTAGATTGTATTGAACTGTCATACACCACATGGGTGTCGGATCTTCGTTTGCGCCCGCTGGGCAAGGATTTTTTCGTTTCTTGGTAAAGTCTGCCGGAGGGATTCTAAGGCTTACGGATTGTACGTTCCGGCCTTTCCCTACTATCTATGTTGCAACCGACTGACGGAATCTGCTGCATGTATATTCACCAGGACACGTGCACGGTACTGCACCTTTCTCGAGACATGCAGGTCTATGGTTTGAGGTGAAGGGTTGCAGGTCTTGCGGTTGCATCTTTCCTGAATTTCCGGCAGTGGGTTTCGTACTTGGGGGGAGATGAGTCCGGGCAGACTTCGCAAATTGAAACTCAAGTAATAGTAAGAACATGACGAGAGAGTAGCAAACTCTCAAGACGAGAATGAGCAAGGGTCGCTGCAGCTGCATGCGCTTTTGGGGAACCCGCTGAGCACAGGTACCCAGACTCTACCCTAAAGTCCCCCACAAGCCTCGCAATTACCTTGAAATGAGGCGGCGTCGAAGGACCTGCAGCTCTTTGGCTGAGGATTCATACTATGCCGTGCGAGAGGGGTACTGTGCTCGATGGTTGCTATATGCAAGCTGCTGTAAAGAGTACAAGTCTTACAGTAATAATAATCCAAGGTTGCTACGGAGGTACTGTAACATAAGTTTGCTATACGATGGGGACTACCGGGGCAGTCCTAGCATAAGGTTGCTGTAGAGTCAGTATAACGGTACTATGAAAGCGGGTTAACGGCATGGCTAAAGGTACTATGAAGTTAGCATAAGGATTATCATCAGGGGGTACTATAAGAAACTCCCTAAACCTCATCTCAATGTCAGCACCATGGGAGCTTGAGGAGGAGGGGATCCCACCACAGATCCCTAAGAAGGCAGGCTGCTTCAAGAAAGGCCCCCAAGGAATAGGGTCATTTACTTCTTTTCTACGTTATTTAGAAGGGTACATTGATCACTTGCTCTGGGTAGCGCTGTCATCCCAATAAAAAACCAAACTACAAATCCGAAAAGACATAACAGCTGCTCCAAACATATCTCTGCCAGATCACGCACAATCCTAACTCCAAGAACCCTCTGAGCACGAGCTGTTCACGAGCTCGCTTGTGTTCTGCCTTTTCCCTGTGCAGCCTGTCGCACGTGTCAGAGTTGTGGATATCGCAGTTCTCTGAACTCTAAACGTATGTAGGCAGTTCATCGCCTTCGGTTTGCTTGATTTGAAGTCCTGGCTTCTTCCAGGCTTCGGAGGAACGCAAAAGACACTAGGACCCTATATCTGAAATTTTCCGAAAAGCAACCTACATACCGTAATTACCCGTACAATGTGAGCTTTTTAAGGAGCACTTATCCTGAACGGAACCTGTAAAATGGGAGCCTTTGTTTGGGGAGCTGCTTCAGCTGAGGATGTTCTCGCTGAGGCCTCGATGCTGTGAGGGTTCGGGGTTTAGAGGCTACGGTTTAGGGTGTAGTGTTTAGAGTTTAGGGTTCAGGTTTCGAGTTTAGGATGTATGAGTTTCCCAAGCCATGTCACTGGTTGAGGGTTTCTGGCAATTCGGGCTCAGTGTTTAGGGTCGGCAGAGTCTGGGTTCACGAACGGGTTTGTGGTCACCTCCGCAAGGGCGGCGACTGAGACCCAAAGGACCTAATGTAATCAATACTTACCAATCCTTTTTTGGGTTTCCGTATTGTATATATAGTCGAGCATACCTTAGAAGCTGCCCCCACCCTGTAATAGTGGTATAATGGGAATATAATAGGGCCCTGATATAAACCTTATAGTCACTACTGCAGCAGCTTAAAAAAACATACCCCTAAACCGTCCCGAAAAGCCCTATGAGCCGAAGCCCCTGTAAAGACTGAACTTGTCCAAGCCCTAAAACACGAGAGGCCCGACTAATTGTATCTATACGGATTCTATAAGGGTATAGGGTTTAGGGCCTATCTTGGAGGTTCATGGGTAGTCAAGAGTGGGATTATAAGTTGCTTAATATGGTCTTTTATTATTGTATTGTTACCCTACTGGTATCTGCACTTATAGCAGCCCATGAACCCTATTTAAGCATGGACTTGGAGTGTATGCCGGCAGCGAAGCTCTCTAACTCCCAAACCCCATATCCCCACCTACCACTACCTATGAGCCTCCAAGCAAGCACTTGCTGTACCAGGGCAGATGCATCCGCCCCGGCGCTGCCTCCCATGCCCCCGGCTTTAGCGTTGCCGGATGTGGTGGAGCACCCGGTGGCTTCGCTATAGGGCTTCATGGTTTATGATTCGCGTCCAGGGCTTAGAGGTTTTGATGGTATGTGTTTGTCGTTTATCTCCAGATAGTTTGAGCCGCTAGGGGTACCAACTAATTACTTGAAGTCTGAAGGGTGCTTGTCCATGGTTACTCCCTCTTTCACAGAGCTCTGTTTGAAAGTACTTCGAGTCTTAATAGCCTTGTTGATTGTGTCTTCTTCGGTACTGCGGTTGGTCCCATGTTGAAATTCTCACAGCATATGAATCCATAATTAGCCTTACACCTAGATGGTTCTTGTAGTATGTGAGCAGTTCCTTGTCATCGTGGATGTTTCTGCTATTTGCCCAACCAGGAACTGGAAAGCCCGAACCCTGCACCCGAAAGGCAATCCCTCACTTCCCTGATGACTCGGTGTCTCACACATGCCCTGTGTAGCCTGAGCCACGGCACCGTCATGATCTCCCCGAGCCCTTAAAACCCTTTAATTAAGGAATCTACTTTAGATTATGGTAAGATCCGTAACATGATTTTTGGAATATTCCTTAATTAAGGGATATCGGAGTCTCTGGGTCTTCCAGGCACAAGGCGCAGATGCCTCTGTTCCTGCGCTGCCTCCCATGCCCGACGCTTTGGCCTTGCCGGAGGTAGCAGGGCTGCCAATGACTTTGCCAACAGTAGTTCCCGTACTTCTACTTAGCCTAGCGGCCTAGCTTTATATGGGAGTTTCCGAAAATAGGGGACCCTGATATAGCACCCTAAATAGTAGGATCCTTAATGTAAGGACCTCCAGATAAGGTACCCTAATTTTCGGAAACTCCCGTATCTATGGTGCCAGCGAATGTCAGCGATGATGTTATCAACCCGCAGTCCAGGATTCTTCTTCCTACATCAGCTTGAGAGTTCCGGCGTTTGGGTTCCGCCCGGCGTCCATAGATTGAGAGGGCTTTCACGGGCTTTCGGGCTTGTTTGTGGAATCTAGCTGGCTTTCAATTTGGGCTTCTGGCTTCAGGAGAGTGTCTCGAGCCTAAAGCCGCAACCATAGATCCTACTGTAGGGGCCTTCATGAATACCTATACTATTTTGGGGGCTCCTTAGTATAATTACAGTATAATGGGCCGCAAAACCCTATTCTAATTATTGAGGCCCCTACATTATAGTACCCGTATAGACCCCTTATAGTAGCCCTTATAGACCCCTTTAAAGGAACCCTATTCTGATTATTGAGCACCTTGAAGCCTGGCGAAACACACCAAAGCCCAGGCCTCAAGCCTCAACATGCTGGGATAGGGGTAGGTACTTGGAGGTTCATAGGTAGTTATAAGGGTTCCTTAAAGGGATCTATACGGGTTCTATAAGGGTATAGGGTTTAGGGCCTATCTTGGAGGTTCATGGGTAGTTATAAGTGGGGTTAGAAGTCCCTGATATGGGTTATAATTACAGTTACCCTATATACTTGTAGCACCACTTATAACTACCCATGAACCTCCAAGTAGGGTTGAGGGCCCCTTATCTCAAGACACTCAGTCGGGTTTCCCACACTTACTACCCCAAACCTCCCTTTTGATCCTTGAGAAAACTCGAAAACACATTCCTTGATCCTGCACCTTAAACTTAAACCTTCTAGGAGGAAGAAGGGCCGCTGACAAAAGCAAAAGACACAACCCTCAAAGAAGCCCTCATTCCTCTTCTGTCTCTATAGTAGTCCCTACATAATTCCCAATAGAAACCCATTCCCCCATTCCCTACTAAGAAACAGACTTTCTTTTGCGGCAGGGCTTTGACCAACCATCACCAGTTCGTGCTCGTGACAAGCAATCGCAAAGCGCTTCGCGAAGCGCCTTGCCTGAGTTGAAAGTCTGAGAGTGTCATTTGGGAACTCTTAACTCACGTAGCATTGGGGCGTATGGGGTATTTCATGGTACATCTTGTCGTTATACTCTGCTGAGGAGTCGTTTTGGGTGGGTAGTTGGCCTTGTCATTATATAGGGCTTCGGGTCTGAAACACCTAACCCTACAACCCTACCTATGTCTTTTGTCTGGTTCTTAGAAGGGAATGGGGGAATGGGTTACTGGGACTACTATCGGGGACCTTACGGGATTATTATAGGGAGCCATCCCCCTATTCCCGACTAAGCACCAGGCTGTCTTGCTGGAAGGAGTCGCAGAGTCTTAGTGACACGACATGTTCGAAGAAGTTGATGCTAGCTTCGAGTCTGCCATGTAGGGTTTAGGGGACCCTGAGCCCTAAGAACCCTGAGGCCCGAGTGAGAGCGCCGAAACCCTGAGGCTTGTAATGGCTTAGAGTTAAGGGTTTAGGGTTTAGGGTGGTAGGGTTTATGGCTTATGGACCTTTCGGGCCTGCGGCAAGGTTTGATTGATTCGGTCAACCCTCGACCAGAGCGGCGAGCTCTGGACCTTCAAAACCTAAGCATTAAACTAGTAATGTAGGAATCGGATGAACTAGAATTACTCAGAATTACTATCCCTTTATACACTTCCCTACACTGTTAAAGTATAGCCAAGCCCAGGACCCTATATATATATATATATATATATATATATATATACCCTGCTCTAAGTATGAAGGCTCGATGCAAAAGCTTACTTCCTTCAACTCATTTCAACCCTAATCAATCCGCGAAGTCAAACCGACTTAAACCCTGAATCCCTGGACCAAGAAATTGTTTAAGCCGCGCCTATTTTGTCGAGTCTGCGCACCGTGACCAAAACGTCCCGATTCCTGAACCCCAGTACCCAACCTGTAAGCTTTTTGGGTTCTTATTGTTGAGTAGGAGCCGAAAGTTTAACCTTTCATTTCTGTGGCTTATTGGGGAAGTAAGAAACCCTGAACCCTACACCTTATAAACCCTGAACCCTAATCCCTGAACCCTAAACCCTGAACCCTAAACCCTAAACCCTGAAGCCTAAGAGAGAAGAGACCCAGGAACTCCCCAGGCCAGCAGCGGGGCGAGTCGAACGCTGAGGCTCACGGGGACATGTTTTCCGGTTCAGGGTGTAGGGAATTAAGGTACTTATAAGTCTACTTACTACCCACTTACTCAGACCCCCGACCCTCCAAGTAGAGGACGCTTCGTGCCACCAAAGCCTACTCTTACGGTTAGGGGTTGGGAGCTTCTGGGGCTCTGACTTCCTTCCGTGTTTTTTTTTTTTTTTTTTTTTTTGGGGGGGGGGGTGTGGTTAGGGCTTCAGCTTTTTGGGTGTATAGGGTCTAAGACATCTTGCTTGTCTTTCAATTATGTTATAGTTCAGGGTGTCGGGACTCAGACAATGTTTCAGATGATTTCCTGCTTAGTTCGAGCCGTAAAGGGTACAATGGATTCAAGTTTGACCTATATCGGGCTCTAACGAGCTTTAGAAGAGGGGAGATCGGGTATTCTGAGGTGCTCTTAGGCTTTTTGTTTGCCTGAAGTTTTTGGCGTAGGGGCGTGATGTTCAGGTTTCGAGGTGGCGACGTGTGCCCCTACATATCCCGAGTCAACCACAAATCACTCTTGATTTTCAAAAGCACGAACCCCGCGTTGAGCTTTTCATGCTGTTTCAAACTTGTATAGGCCTTCCTTAGCCCTGAATAACCTACATTTTTAGGGTTCCTTATTATGATTTCCTTATATGAATCCCTACAAAGGTAGGTTATTTGGGGGTAAGGTAGAGTTGAGGGGCCCACTGCTCCTGACCCACACGATTTCTTTGGCATGCCCTGGGACTGGTGCCGAGGCCCGCGAGGTTTTCAGAGGCCTAGCACAGGTTTCCTCGGACCTGGTAGATGCTGGGATGTGTGTGAAGCGCGGAACGTATCCTAAGCCAGTGCTGCTCTGCAATTGTAATCATTGGCATGCACTGAAGCGAGGGACGACAGGTTTGCCCTTCGAGTATGTGGAAAACCCTAAACCCTACGACCAGTCTCACAAGAGGGGGGTAAATCAGACCCACAGCCGACAGGGTTTCCTGCTGGCAGTGATTCCCAGGTCTTCTAGTTATTTTCTTAAGATTCCCCCGGCTGGTTGCCGAAGATTTCGCAGCGTCTCATGATCTAAACTGCTATTCTGCCAGAAGAGCTAAATGTCAGGTGGCCAAGGTGCTTTTTGCATGAATCTGCGGCCGAAGTAAGCACCCAAACCATGAGATTGCTGGCCATGTCAAGCAGCTACATACAGAGTTGTAGAGTAGCTTCTCTTCCGTGCCACACATCGGTTTCTGGCACCCTGACCCGACCGCTTGGCTTGGAAGCTCGCACAGAGCAAAGTCTCTCACAGAAAAGTGTGCTGCAGGCAAGCGGCAAACCCACATGACGAGGTGGGCGTACGAGGGCTTGGTGGCTTCTATTTATGAGCTATCGGGACAGCAATGGGTATCACCCTCTCGCAATTGAGCGACGAATTTGTTTGGTCAGGTAGTTGCGGTGGGTTCAGGACTGGTGTGCGCCTACTTGCAACCCTCAGCTGTAGAGGCCTCGACAGGTTTAAGGATTCTTTTAATTTAGGTCTTGGTGACACTCAATTCCTTCAGCCAGTCTCCAAGAAGCTTGGGCCTGATCCTCTCTGACCCTAAGGGTCCATGTACTCATATAGTATATACATTCGCCTTAATGTACTCCCTATATAGGTACTTTGGGGCTCATGTATCTCTATATGGGTACACGGACCCTTAGGGTGACTGCATTCCACTCCATTGAAAGTTCTGCCTTGCACTCTTCGCTGCACTGGAAGTTTCCAGGTGGTTGTGCACATACAAGATGCAAGCCACTGGTAAAGGACGTGGCATCACGCACCCGCCTCAGCAGACTAGCGTGCAAGCAAGGGCTCGCACTGAAAGATTGGACACTAAGACTGAGGCTTTGAGCGTGCTTCTTGTGCAATGTTGAATTTTGTTTCGGTGGGAGGCTTGAGGACGCTAGGGGTTGCAGGGGTTCCGGACACTTCTGCTGGGTTGTCGCTATCATGATGAAGCAACTGGTTCTGCAATGTGCCCCATAGCCCTAGCCTCACTATTCAGGCGCCCACATTTGTCCGTACAAGATCTGTATAAAGCCCTGCAGAGCCCTGAGCATGACGGCTTTCTGAAGCTTCTTTTGGAACAGATGGCCCCCATAGAGATTCCAGGAGGCTGCAACTACAAAATCCTACGGTTTCTCGGGGCTTTCGGTGCTTATGGGGCTTACTTGGAGGTTCATGGGTAGTTACACCTGGGGTTATACGTCCCCGAATTCGGATGGACCTCCAAGGTTCGGGCTGATTCATGTCTATGAGCTTCTGGTATTTTCCAGGAGTGCGGCCACGAGCTCTGCCTTTCAGAGAGGCTTGACGTTTCGAATGCCTCCGGGAGAGAGATTGGGCTTAGAGGCATGGTTTCATACAGAGGCCTTAATAATTACCAGTACCTATACTACTTAGGAGGCTCCTTGTTACAACTATAGTATAATGGGCCTCAAAACCATATTACGGCTTGTGGACTTCACAGTGCTAGCTGCTTAGAGGCGCCATGCTCAAAATATCTCATGATTATCACCGCCGTCTCTATGATCATGATGACCATCCCATTCACATGATGCCCACACTCACGAACCACAGAAAGAGCCAGGCAGGGAAATTGCATCTAGCCGGCAGCGAAGGATCCATAACTAGCCTGCGTTGCCTTTCCAAGGCCTGCTTGCCGGCGCATGTGAGTGAGACATGGCGACGTATTCGGATACGACGCAGCTCGCAGATCCTTCAGCGGTTTTTGCCAAGTACAAGTCAAACTTATGCAGCCTCGACCTGCAGTGTGTCTAAACCCTAAACCCTAAAACCCTATTTTAAACCCCTAAAACCCTATAAACCCTAAACCCTAAACCCTAAAACCCTAAACCAAAAAACCTTAAAACCCTAAACCCTAAACTGATGTTCGAGTGTATGGGATTCCCATTGAGACCGTGCGCAAGTTTGCCAATCTCTGCTCCCCAAGATCTCATCCCGGGCAGATGAATAATTCCATAAAGGCAGGTTGCACCACTACACCGACCCTATTGCATAGTGAGTGTGCCTTTCGAAGGTCTTCTAGGTCTTCTAATACGGGCCTTAGCTCAACAAGCGCGCACGCGCGCTAATTGTGTCGTCTCCGCTTCTGTCGATGAATTGCGCCCGATTTGAGATGACTCCGGTTTCCCTATGGCCAGAGCTCTAAACTTTCACTGGCCCTAAGCATTTCAGCGATGATGGTGCCTATTCCAAAGTTTCTCTCTCTGTGAGCTGTCTCTCTGATATGACATAAGCCGCAAGCTGGAAGTGTCACTGCTTGCTCCTCCGTATTTTCGCAGAGACTGGGAGGCCCAGAGCTTAAAAAGGGGTTACAGGTTATATGGGAGTTTCCGAAAATAGGGGACCCTAATATAGCACCCCAAATAGTAGGATCCTTATTATAAGGAGCCCAAAATATGGTACCCCTAATTTTCGGAAACTCCCATGTTGTTCAGGGTAGCTTGCATTCGAAACCCTACGCTCCAACTCCCGAGGCCCCGAAGCTGTGAACCCTGGAAGCTTTCAGCCCTATCAGAGGCCCTGCCATCGACCCGTACTATGTTTGGTTCATTGTTCAGCTGTCTTGAACCAGAATCGTCACCATATCTGACCTCTACTTATCATGATAAGCTCTTGGTTTGGGCTGCACCGCTACAGGCCCAACAAAACACCTACACCCAAAGTGTTTATCCGAGTTGCGACAGTCCAGGCTCTAATGTGTCGCTTATAGTCTCCATTGTAGTTACTTTGTTTTAGCCGTGTGTATGGCCTGGATCCTAGCTCCTAAAATTGGCCCGCAAAAACCAGGAACAACCACCCACAATACATACTCTCTCTCTCTATATATATATATGTATGTATGTGTATATATATATATATACACATATATTTGATGCATTTGGAAAAAGTGTATGTGTGTATATGTTATACACATGTATACATAGACTCTATAGCTCCTAGAAACTCAAGCTTCATAAAGGTGAGCACGAAGGCCACCTCATCACCGTGTCGACAGGAGGTTTTAGGGTTGAGGGCTTGGGGGGTCTAGGGCTTCAGAGGTTTAGGGGCTTAGGGGCTCAGGGTTTAGGGTTGGGCTTGAGGCGTTTAGGGAAAAGGGTGTCGGCTCGAGGTGTGTGGACGTAGCCATATTCATGATGATCCTTAAGGGATTTAGCGGTTTAGGGTTGAGGGGTTAGGGTACTATACTTCCTTCAATGAGCAGACCCTCACCAAGTCCATATTAGGGCTGCTAAGGCCCCTTAACCCTCGTCCCCGTTATGTCCCTAAACCTCCTTATGACATAGTATAAGGGCCTGAAAAAGAGAAGTATTCCCGGCTGTTCATATCCTTAAACCTATTCTACCCCGAGACTCCAATATCCCTTAATTAAGGAATATACCTTAAATTATAGTAGGATCCCTTATATGATTTAAGGTATATTCCTTAATTAAGGGGTACTGGAGTCTCTGGGTAGTTATTGAGGCCTGCAGATCACAGGTCTTTGGAGGCATCTTAGATCCTGAGTTTAGCGGTTCAACAGTTACGTTTTCGGGGTAGCATTTTGTGGGAACGCCAGGCACATTGCGTCCAAACCCTGAACACTTAAAGCCTAAACCCGAAATCTCAGACTCTAAACTCTTAATCACTCCAAGTCCCATGCGCCCTTGTAGAACCCTCACTTGGAGGGTCGGGGGACCTAATTAGTAACTGGTTATTTTAGGGACTTAGAAGTGCCATAATCCCAATTAGGGTCCCTTTTAGGGCACTTATAAGTCTAGCTACTACCTACTTAGTAAGTCCCTCGACCCTCCAAGTAAAGGACCTCGGTTCAGGCTAGAAGCAAGCAGAAGGGCCGACCTGTCCATTACGGCGCTCAGATTCTCTGCCATATCACGAACACGAAGGCTTTGGTTCTAAGCTCGGGGCCTTAAGGAGTAGAATAGGGCTTCTCTACATTAGAATTCCTTCCAAGGTATTTTAAGACAGAAGGCATACGGATGTACTGTATTCGTCTGAATAACCAGAGTAAGGGCATGGAGTATGTCGAAGTACACTGATAGAACAAGGATCCCTACGGAACAAACTTTTGTTATTTCCGGGCTTCGAACAACATTCTATCCAGGTTTAACTATCAGTTTGCGTGTACGGTCAGAATACGCACGGTTGAATGTGTACGGCTAGGGTCTGGGATAATTATTTCCAGCTTGTTTTATGCATAAGCCGTGGGATGATGTTTTACGATCGGCAAAGCCTTCTTGCAGATGAGCTCGCCAACGTTACAGCTCCACCTAAGTAGCTGCGCCAACTTCCGGGGCATCAACTCGTTTCAGACCAGTTACAGCGACAATGCAGTTGCAAGCGTGAGCGATGATGTTTATTTGCCGGCCAACATTACGGATGTCTGACTTCGGAGCAATATGTATGTAGCCACTACTTAGGCTCTTAGACAGGAACCAGGGAATTGGTACCTCGTGCACGGCAAGCGTTACAACTTCGGACCTGGATGCCTGATTTATGTACTGCCTTGATGCAGCTGCTTGCTTTTCACGCCATTTTTGAAGAGCGCTTTTGGTTCATCCTCAACTGGCTGGGATGCTGGACAAAGATGAACGATCCGTTCGCAGGCAGTCGCTTGCGACTGCCGTGATAATTGCTGAGCAGCCAGTTCAGACAAATTCCCTCCCAATCATGCTGGGGCCTCAATAAATACCCATACTACTGTGGGGTTTCTTGTTATTAGTATAGCATAATAATATACCGCTACATCGCCGCTAAACCCTATTCTAACTCTTAAGGTCCCTCTATTATAGAGCCTATTCTAGATCCCTTTTAAGGATCGCATTCAAGGGAACCCTAAACCCTATTCTAATTATTGGTACAGGCCCCTATATTATTCTCTATGACCAGACCAATCCAAAGCTTGATAAAGGCATAATTGCCGAAGATGCCAGTTTTCAGCACTTTAGGGTTGAGGGCTTAGGGTTTAGGGTCACATTCCAAGCCCATGCTGAAAAAGGGATTCATAGACAGGAATCAGAGGAGGCGTTTGGTGGAATGTGCACCCCAGCACCATTTCGCGCCCTGTCAGTCCGTCCATGCATCCCTGCCGAAAGTAACGACGCCCTCCAAACGGAGAGTTCTTGCTACCTGGCTCTGAAAGGTGCCGGTTCCTGTTTGTACTCTTCGGAGAAAGCCGAAAACATGATCGCGAACCACTGGAACTTCGGGTGATGGCATGTTTCTGTTCAGGGTTGAGGGTCGAGAGTTAAGGGTGGCCCTAGACGAGAGGTTTGGGGCCTCCAGGTGGCTTAGAAGCTCTTCTTGTATATAAGTGCTATGCCAAACTTATCCTAGGTGCGCAGGATTTCAAGATAAAGGGTCTCTCTTTTGCTCACATTATTGCTGCACTCGAAGCGGCAGCCAGGGCCCCGGGCCAAGACATTCTGCCTTTCTTGACCAAAAGAGCTTTCTTGTTTAGTTTCGAGCTTCGGAAAACAACCCTCGTGAGGGCAAGAGGTTGATACTGGCAAGTTTACAAACTCGCGCCTGTGAGACCAAGACCAACATACCAGTCATATCGCAATGTTTGTTGTTGTGCTCGAAGTTGCCGCGAGTGCGAGTGCATTCTGCTCTTCTTGCGGATATGGGGTGTATATTCCCCACAAGGACACACAGGTTGAGATTGGCCAATTTGCGAATTCACACTCGTGAGACACAAAGGATCATTGTGCGGCTGCATTGTTTGGCAGGTCACGAAAGATTCATCAACACGCGGCCTCTTGCCGTGTCTGATAAATTTCCGAAGGCCTCTCCCAAACAAGTTTGACATGGCAGTAAGTGTATTTCTTCTGCAAATAGTAGGTCAAGTGGCCGACAAGGGGGTTGTACAGTTCCGCCTATTCACTTAGGCTTGTCTGTACTAGCTGGTGCATGGTACTGGAAGCGATCCGATGCAGTGCCCAATAACTACCTTGAAAGCAAAGTCTGATTTTTGCGCATGGCTTGCGGGACCAATGCTGCAGATTCATGACGTCATGTCCTGTGATCCGTGGCTTCTTCAACCATCTCAGCTCGAAGGACTTTAGGATTCCGTGTGTCCCAAATCCTGTTGTTATTTCTTTGCGGCAGAGAATTCAACAATGTTTGGGCCTTTGGCAAACAAACCCAACATGAGGCTCTCAGCAATTTCGGAACTGTAAGGACCTAAAGAAACACTGCAGGCCCAAACGCAACTCCATATCGTAAGCACTCCAGCAGCTGTCGCCCCCTTGGCTTGGCTCTCCCCATCTCTTGCCAGTACAGATATCAGTTTAGCCTTGCTGGCTTACTTGGAGGTTCATGGGTAGTCATAAGTGGGGGATAAGCCCCTTAATATGGGCTAGAATCATCGTTACCCTGCTTATACACCCAGTTATGCCTACCCATGAACCCGTTTGGGGTATTCGGGTTTAGGATTTAAATTCGATTGATTATTCCCTTTTCTCTCATTGCCGAACCCTAAACCCTAAACCTAAACGCAGCAAGACAGACCCGAAGCTTACGCAGCTGTCACCCCCCGCTTAGCCTCTGCAGCTCCATGCAGGACAAGGCCGGTGTTGGATTCCGTGGACCCCCAGAGTAATAAAGGGGCCTTAATAATCATCTATACCCTTTTCAGGTTCCTTATTCTAGCAAAAGTATACATAATATACCCCAACACTAGAAATATGTGAGTAAGAGTAGGGTTTACGGTCTATAGGGCTTGGGATTTAGGGTTTAGGGATCAGAGCCTTTGTATAGGTGTTCGGCCATTTCTTTTTCGACTTTTCGGGTTCAGGTCCGGCTTAGGGTGAACATAGGGTCCCTCTCGTTACAGAAGTGTAAGGGCAAGAAGCACAGCCGCAACATCCTAGCTAAGCTCACGCTCATCACAGTCATCGTCCTTCATCGTCATCTATGCCAGCAAATACCCAACCAACCAACTAACGAACCAACCAATCACCCAATCAATCAGCCAGCCAACCAACCAACCAAGCACGATCACCCACTGCAGCTCCAACGCCGAATCCGCGTCAGCCTTTGCAGCAATTTTCACGGTCAAAGGTTCAATACAAGATGCAAGCCAAAGTGATGCACACAATGTGCTTTAGGGCCACAGAAGTGACACATAGGTGCTCCGTAGCTTTGCAACGTGTTTGTCTTTGAGGACGACTGCTTGAGGGCACAAGTTTGTTCGGAGTTTGCCGTGCCACTATCGCTCCTGAGTCTCGCCTCCACAATTTGTAATGGAGCCCTCTGGTAGTAACAACTCCTACCTGGAAGCCTAAAGAACATACCGTTGTACGGCTCCTTGTCGCGATTTCCTTAATTGAACCGTCCTCAAGGTTGTCGACGTAAACCATCGTTAAATCGAGGCCCGACCACAATAAGGCGCCTACTACAGAACCCCATTATAGATCCCTTATAGAGCCCATTTAAGGCTCCCTTTAAAGGGACCCCTATTCGAACTATTAAGGCCCCAATATTACACATGCTTGCATCCCCCAGCAATCAGGGGCCGAGTGCCGAGGAGAACTTGGAGCTGCAAGCCAAGGCACGGCCCTTAGGGTTACCTTTGGTTAGTAGGGAATGGAGGAATGGGGTACAAGTATAAGTACTATTACCACCATTCTTCCATTCCCTACTAACCAAAGGCAAGTAGGGTTTAGGGTTTAGGGTTGCCCTGAGCTTCTTCAGCTCAGGTTGTTTTTCGAGATTTGTATAGGCGTTGGGGTTTAGGGGTCTGTTTTCGGCTTTGGGGTATTGAGGGTTTCAGTAAGGTGCTGCGCTCAGATATGGAGTTTTCAGGAATTAGTGAGCCCAAGCAGAAAGCCCTAAATCCCCGGATCCTTGGAATCAGGACCCCGGAAAGGGTACCCTAGTCTTCTGATACTCCCATATTGGTGTGGCGGCAGCTGGCGCCAGGTCCCCATCCGCCTTGTAGGGCGCTCTGCGAATCGCGTGGAGATCTTCCGCGACGGCCAGTGGAGCACCGTTACCGACAATGCTGCTTGGCTACGCCGGTAGTTGGCTTGCCAAGCTGACGAAATTTGGGAAACAGAACCAAACAGTCCTGACACCATAAACCCTAAACAACAGCTTTGGCAGAAGACTTGTCAGACATGTGTGATGTGCCAAATCAAGGATTTGGGTTGTAGGCTGACAGGTATCCTGATGGTCCTACTTCTGAGGGTTGATACGAAGGTCTGTATTGGGGGCGTTGGTACTCCCGAGATGCATCGCCGATGGCGTGTCCATGTTTGCAGTGCTTTCATTGTTGCCAAATGCAACATGATGGGCTTAATATATGTAGTGGCCTAAATAATTACCAATACTATTTTGGGGGGTTTGTCATTATAATCACAGTGTGATGGGCCCCAAAACCCTATTCTAATTGCTCAGGCCCCAATATGGGACTTTCCGAAAATTCGGGGAACCCCAATGTAGGGCACCAAGTAGTAGGATCCTTATTATAAGGACCCCGAAATAAGGCACCCCTATTTTCGGAAACTCTAGACCCTAAACCCTTTATAGAGCCCTTATAGTACCCTTATTATAGTATCCCTTCAAAGGAACCTTAAGGTACCCCTAATTTCGGAAATTCCCATATGATAGGGTTTCGCGATTTGGAGATCCTAGGTTAGCCCTTCAGAGCCTTGTTTCTTAACTATGGGAGGTTTCCGAAAGTTAGGGGCTACCTTATTTCGGGGTCCTTTTAATAAGGATCCTACTATTTGTTAGGGTACTATCTTAGGGTCCCCTATTTTCGGGAACTTCCATATGATCCTCTTATTTATGACCAAGGAACCTGTGCAATGTCCCGCAGTCCAGCGACGGCTTTTATTTGCGTTTATACTACAGTACTTTGAAACGAGATACCTTTGTGCAGTATTTTTGTTGTCGGAACTAGCCCTACTAGGGAACCAGATAGGGTCACCGCTTCAAACGAGATCAAGTATATCTAGTACTAACGATATTTGAACGAGATCGACTTTTTCTGCCAGTACTTAACATGATGAAACGAGATGGGGGCACCGCTTCGAGATAGCGTAATTAGCCCAAGCAATAAATAAACGCAGTGGCTCATATGACCATATATATATATATACATACATACATACATATGAATCTTATACTGCATACCGTACAACACTAGTTGTACCGTTAGGCATGATCGCACACTTCTCCAGGGTTAACTGAGCAGGGCGCTTGGAGGTTCATGGGTAGTGGATACTCAGAGCCGACAGGTTGAGGGTTGCTTGGAGGGTCTTTAGGGGACTTAGTAAGTAGGTACTGTAGTAGGTAGGCTTACAAGTACCCTAAAAGGGACCCTAATTGGAGTTATGGTACCCCGACCCTCCAAGTGGTTTACCCAGAGAGCCCAATATCCCTTAATTAAGGAACGTACCTTAAACCATAATATCAAGGCCCCTATACTTTAAGGTAAATCCTTAATGAAGCTGCATTGGGCTGTCTGGGTAGTTTCGGGTCAAGATTTGGGGACTATATGGAAGTTGATATCCTTGTTCCAACTCGTAAGGCAGATCACGAACCGGGAAGAAGCTACGGCTGCTGATATAAGCCATAAGCCCAGCGTCACCCATAAGATGGAATATACCATAGTTCTCAGAGTTTAGGGTCCTGAAGGTACTGCAGGTTTTAGATCATCAACAGTCAGTCGTATCAGAATCCTGAACCCAAAGGGTCCTATGTACCGATATAGTAGAATGTAGGGTTTCCAAATTAGGAATTACTATTATGACTTGGGGAAGTATCCGCCATAACAGTACATAGGACCCTTTGGGGTAGGATTGCCCCAGATGCGGGCTGAGCACATATGTCGTTTGTAGTAGAAGCCCCAAAGTTGGAAACCCAATAGCCACAATCCTTAAGAGTAACCTGCAATGCGGGCTTCGTCCTTGCTAGGTAGGAGGGAAAAAAATCCTTAAGAGGAATGAAAAGGGAATCCCAGCACTACTTGTATTAATCCAAGCGAGTCCGACAAGTGGGAGCCAAAAAAGCAGGTTTCCAACTTTATGGGGCCCACTGTAGCGACTAAAGCAAACCCTAATCCCCTATCCCCCTTTGCCCCCGATAAGCTTTTTTAGCATCTTATGACCCGAAACCCGAAGGGAATCCTCCGATAAATTTGGAACGATACACAGAAGATTAGCATGGCCCCTGCGCAAGGATGACACGCACAAATCGAGAAGTGTACCAAGTAAATCCCCGCTTCTCTGAACCTCCGGAGCCCCCCAAAATGGGAGTTTCCGAAAATAGGGGACCCTAATATAGTACCATACATAGTAGGATCCTTATTATAAGGACCCAAAAATAAGGTAGCCCCTAATTTTTGGAAACTCCCCAGAATGCCTCCGAAAGCGCAGGCAAAGCCGCAGCCCAAAGCACAGCCGCCTTTGGGGCCTCCGCCGAGGCCCCAGGAATTCTTTCTTCGGATCCTGTCTGCAGGTCCTAAACTATAGTATCCTTAAGAAGTCTTTTGTTTTATTGTCTGCAGGTCTAAACTGTAGTCTCCTTAGGGTTCTTGTAGTTTTTGTTCATATAAAGCCCAAGAGAATATTAAAAGTATTATTTGTTATTGTGGTTCTAAGGGGGGTATAGCAAACACTAAGAGTGAAACGAAGGAACAACATGAGCCCCAAGCTGTTTCAACCCTGAAGCTTTGCTTTCGAAGCGTGCCTAGTCTGTGCTTGCGAAGACTAGGGACTCCTGCAAGGGTGTTTGGATGTTTGAAGCCTTACGACTCACAAGCTGCAGACCTTCTGTTCACTCTTCGCGAGTTTCAGAGATTGGTCTAGGCAGCACCCTACACCCTCAACCCTAAACCGCCAGAGTAAAACTGCCCATATTGTGTTCCGTGTAAGAGCATCTCCCACCACATCCCTGGGAGTCGAATCAAAATATTGGTCCCTTTTGGGGTACCCTAAGCATTAGGGGCCGTATGAGAATAAGGACCCAGAAAGGGACCCCAATATTCACAACCACCTACTAGTATTTGTGCTCTTGGGGAGTGGCAGGCGCGATGGTTTAGGAGTTCAAGGCATGCCGTCAGGGGCATTGCGATCGAAGTTTTCGACGTCGCAGGCTCGCCTCAGTACTGTGCGGGCCTTCATAGAATTGACAGTATACTATCCCCCAACACCCCGTTCTCAGTATTAAGGCCCCTACATCATATACTTGGGTGGCAGTCAAAATTAAGGTCCCTTTCTGGGGTCCCTAATATAGTACGGCACCTAGTATTTAGGGTTCCCAAACAAGGACCATGATATTTTGACGACCACCCACATGCATTTCAGCCAGGATCGGCTCCAGGCTTGTGTGCCGAGGGGTCGTTTGAGCACATCGTTTGTGATGCTTTAGCCTCGACCTTTGTTTAGGGACTTATATAAAGAAATCATATTAGGAAAAAGGTAGGTTCCGTAGGGTCCAGGGAAGCTATACTTAGTACGGGCTTTCATAGTAACTAGCTAGCTACCTGCACGACTGTAAGCGAACAAAGCATGGTGTACTCAGAACTTCATGCCCCAGATCAAGTCGCGTGCTTCACCGGCAACTTGTGCTTTCAAAGGTCTGTTCGGTGCCTTGGGCCTCTTGCAATTCTTTTCGAGTTCCATACCATAGTATATTGCAGCATATGGTTCCATGTAGCAACTAGTATACTACACCATATTATATGTATGATCATTTCCTGTGAGTCTAAGGCCGCGACATCTCATCCAGGCGAAGGTAGACAGTGCTGCTGCAGATGTTGCTTGGCTCATAAGACGGGCTTTCACAATCTCTCGTGTCAGGTGTGGAATGCACGGGAGGCTGGCAACAGAGCTGGAGAATTTCCTAAATCTTGTATAAACTAACCAACCCGTGGCACCTTGATGCCGCGTGAATAAACTCTATGAGCCTGATAAAAACTTCCCGTAAAATCCACGACCCCTGTAGATATTCGTTTTTGTGCAGCCCTGAACCCTACACCCTAATACAGGGGCCTAAATAATTACCCGTACTATTTTGGGGGTTCCTCATTATAGCCATGGTATAACGGGCACCGAAACCCAATTCTAATTAGTAAGGCCCTTAAATTAGACCTTAAACCCAACCCTCACCCTCTGGAAGCCCTGAGGTTAATATAGTAGGAGCCTTAATACTTACCTTTACTATTTTTATTTTGCGGGGGGGGCTCCTTACAATAACTATAATATGTTGGGCCCCAAAATCCTAGTCTAATGATTCAGGCCCCTATAGTACAGCCATGTTATGGGGGGATTCGATAAGGTTATAAGGCTTTAGAGATGTAGCGCTGCTTGGCATCATTGTGGGTCCCGGCTACAAAAGGGGCTTCCGGGCTCAGGGATTTAGGGTTGAAGAGCCACTGTTTAGGGTTTAGGGTTCAGGGGTTTAGGGTTTAGGATTTAGGGTTTCGGGTATTTGTGACGGTTTTGTGAGTATCAATGAGGATTTCATACTTGGAGGTTTATGGGCATGGGTAGTTATAAGTGCGGCTATAAGTTCCCTAATAAGGGTTATCAGCATAGTTACCGTATTTATAACTTCAATTGTAATAACTACCCCTGATCCTCCAAGTAACCCCGTCTCCACGGGGTGTAGGTGATCTTCTGAAGCTGAGAACATCCGTAAGGAACGGAATGTTGCAGCACAATGGTGCTAAGGTCACAGTACTCCATTGAAGCAAGACCGGCGTGGATATTTCACGGATTCAGTAAACTCCAGTGTGTTTCTGAAGCCGGGTGCAGCCTTGGATATTTCGGCAGCCATTGTTTGAAGCAGACGGTTCGGCGCTGTGTTGGACTGCATTTTAGTAGCAAGAGAGTACAGACATGCAGCTTCGCATGAGCCCCGTGCGAAAGATGCGGACGGTACCACCTTGCCCAAGGTAGAGTTCATCCCAGCGCCCTCCTGTATTGTTTTTGCAGTACTTACCGGTCCCGTTGAGTAATCAAAGTGCACCCTCATAAGGCCAGTCTTTTCAGGCAGAATTTCTGGCGCAGCGCACGCGGTACACACGTGACCTGCGCCTTGACGACAAGGCCGGTGTGTTTTGAGGGCAGAATTATGCCAGGGTTTGGTGAATCGATGTCATCAGCACTTGTGCTCAGAATGTCAGGCTTGTTCCCACACATCTCTAAGCAATGAAAGCCGGCCCAAATTGCAGGACCAACTGTTGACCCCAAACCCCGACTGATGAGCACACATTTGACTGATGACTGATGCTGCCTGAAGAATCGTGGGACGTAGTAACCCCGGTTAAAAAGCAAGGTAACTACAGTTGTAGGTTGTCAGCATTTCTAACACCAGTTGATAAAGGGACTTATTAAGATGTAACATTACTAGGTACCATGATCCTCCAAGTAGGAGTACAGTTTGCTAAACCATTGCTAAACCATTTCCAAGCCCCGATGCCAGTAGAACGCCGCGGCAAACGCTATTCTCATCATTCAGGTTCCTCTGTACAGATCCCGGGGCATGTTCAAACCCGGGTCGTCGTCCCTTATCACGCGCTTCCTGTACAGTTGCGGATGTCTCAGTGGTACAACGTGCACATCGCATCGACTTAGTGCAGATGCGAAGAGAATCGAGGGTCGACAAAGTGCCATTTGTTTTGGCTGAGGCGTGCTTTCATTGAAATGCTTCCCGGACATGCGCTGCAAATCCCTACAGAATTGAGTTGACATATCTAATGTCTTGAAACCCCTCCGCAAGTTCCGAAGCTCACAGCAACCACGGGTTGAGTAGAAGGGTTACAATTACAAGATCAGATAGGGTCGATGCTCACGAAGATAATCTGAAAGCTCCTCTGCTCCGGGTCCTACGGTTGATGAAGTACATCCTGCATTACCCACAATAAGGAATATGCCATAATTCCCAATAGTTTAGTGTCCTTGACGTAATGGAGGGTTTATATGATCAACAGTAGTATAGAGGGGTTACGGATTTTTGCAGGTTGACGATTGTTGTTGAAGTCTCTTTGAGGCTCGGTAGATGACTCAATGGCTTTCAGGTGGTATAGGTCAGAGGAGGTACAAGTATGGCAAGGTCACCGAATCTCCGCTGTGCAGCCTTAAACCTTGCTTAAACGTGTGTAGAATGATGAACTTATGAAGTTTAGTTTTAGGCGGTTGTGGTGAAAGCTTCTCGGGTTTGTCAGGGCGCGTCAGTACTTTCGAAAGGCCCAGGCAGGTAAGCGTTCCTGGGTTAAGCGTCATGCCACCCCAAATTCATCGCGGTATCATCTTGTTCAAGCTGCACTGGCCGCCTGCCGACGCATCTTGCCAGGATGCAGAATCGCTACGGAAGCTGACGCGGGAGGTGCGCTTAGCCCAAACTCTGCAACCGAAATCCTTCATGAGGGCCAGGGACTCCGGTGGCGTTCTTGAGTTCATGTAAGCTGCAACGATCAGCTATTTCGGAGCTTGAGCGCCTTGCTTGCCCTTTTGGGTCCCCAAAACAGTGCGACACTTTCGTAGAACAGAACGTACAAGGGACCTTAATCTAGAAAGCTACACACATGGATAAACTGTAGTCTGTTCTTAGGTTCATGGAAGCGTCATGTCAACCGCACGTAATGGGCCTACAGGTAGGACTTGGACCCAGGCCGCGGAGCTTCTGATGACCGAGCTGCCACCTCTCGGGTGCCTCGGCTTCTGAAGCCAGACAGAGTTTTTAGGGGTTTCGGGCTTAGGGGTTTAGGGTTTGGGGGTTTAGGGCTGGGGGTTTAGGGTGTAGGGGTTTAGGGTTTATTTTGGGAACGCAATCCCTGCAAAAATAAGCGTGTCTGCTGTTAGAACCTAGGTCTCGCTCGGGGCTTGTTGGGTTTGAACCCTAGGTCAGGTTTATACGCAGACCCCATATTTACAACCAAAGGCTTGAGATCCATCAGATGATGAGCTTTCTTCAAGAATGTAGAACCTTCGAAGGGCATCTTGAAAGCCCCGAAGGCCTTAAACCTGAGCCAAGTATATCAGTATGAGGCCTGAAACTTATGCAAATCAAGATATGCCCGAATCCCTATACTATATAGGGGCTTAAATAATTGCCAATTCTATCATAGGTTTTTTGTATAAGGTCCCCCCAAAACCCCATTCTAATTACTGACACTCTCTTATCTACGCCAAGTACCCACCATGAAAGTGAGGGGGGGAATCCTACAAGCCGCTTCCAAGGCAAGAGGCGAGCACGGGGAATATAGTATTTTGCCCTTATAGATCCCTCATAGTAGCCCAGGCGGCCGACAGTTTGAGTACAGTGCGTGCTTCACAGTTGGTGCGTCCTTGTGATGGTGTAGCCAATGATTGGGTTGACGGGCGAGTTGAGAAGCTCCTGACCTTCCAAGTTGCAGTGTTAGAGGCTCTTCACGGCCAGTTGCCCCAAACCTCCGGCCAGAACCGACTTACATCGTCGGCTCCTTGGGAGCCGCATGGCGGACATGCTTGGGCGTCTTGTGAGGGCGGGGTCGCTTGTGGTAATTGCGGTCTCCGATTGTCTAGGGCGCTCACCTTGCTTAAAGCTAGCCACCTCAGTGAGAGGAGCTGCTTGGCGTGGGGTGATGCGAGGGCGCTTGCAGACTGGCACGTCCATCCCTTGCACGATTTTGTTTTCGACGGGCGACGGTGGTGCTGTAGGCGCTGCCGTAGGCGAGGCCCGCTAAACTTTAGCCGACGTCGGCAAGGACTTTGCAAGGCTTAGGCCTAGCGCTACAGCTCCGTTGAGGTTGTTAGGAAAAAGACCCCTCTAAAGAGAAATGCTATTTAACTGCTAAGGGCCCTGCATTATGTTCCAACCGAGACATGCAGCCTAGCCCTCTCCAGGTTCAGGTCTTCGAAGCAGTATTATTACTACTATTAATATTATTATGACCCTTAGTTTTTTGTTGTTACTACAAATAATAAAGGGTGGAGTAGGGCTTTATTTTGGGCCTTAGTTTTTGAGGTTTCGGGCCCTGTGGTCTCCGGCACGGATCGGTAGCATTGAGGCACACAAGAGGCCACTTCAGATTCGTATGTACTTGTAGGATGTTTTTCGGTTTTAGTTTAGGTTTGTATTTAGGGTATGTTAGTGTTTACGGGTTTAGTGTTTTGGGTCTAGGCTTAGGGTTTAGGTTTGTGTTGGTATGTTAGGGTTTAGGAGTTTGTGGTTTAGGGCTTAGAGTTCAGGTTTGTATCTAGCATATCTTAGGATCCTGACATCAATAGGATTGAGTAGGTGTCTTGGAAATGCGTCGATCTTTCAGGGCTCTGGGTGGAGCTGCCTATTTGTCCAATGCGTAAGCATGCATGGCAGTTTATATTACGATGTTACTTGATATCCCAGTCAAACCAACCCGTGCAATGGCATGGCATCGACCGCTTTTTCAAGACTGTGGCCCTAAAACCCTAAACCCTAAACCGTGGCCCTAAAACCCGATACCTTAGAAGGGGCCCCCACCCTGTCATAGTGGTTTGATAGGAATATAATTGGAATATAATAGGGCCCTAATATAGTCGTTTTTGTCACTATGACAGGGTGGGGGCAGCTTCTAACCGATACCGCAAAAAGACCTGGCAACTTCCAGGCCGCCGGAGGAGATGCGGCGCCGCGTCTCCGAATGCCTCAGCAGCTTCGACGGCGCTTGTTTTTCGAGCAGTGTGTGACGGTTTAGGGCTTAGGGTTTAGGGTGTGTGTGTGTGTGTGTGTGTGTTTGTGTTTGTGTCTTGGTTTTGGTCTTAAGCGGGGTGTAGGTTTTAGGGTTTAGGGTCTTGCTTTTGTTGGGAAGCGGGGCTGGAGAAGGGATTCGTATCGGGTTTGTGGGGTGTTAAAGGGTTTAGCAGTCTTTCAGGTTTTGTGGGTTTCGATTTCGCTTGTCTTGGTCTTGGAGGGGACTTAACTGAACTAGAGGGGTTGTCGTGTCGCTTTTCCACACGCTGGCTATGGGGTTCAGGGAAATGGTCTTAGGCACGAGTGTAGCATCCCCGAGATGGCATGCATAGACTTGAGCTACCCAACGAATTCGTTCACCCAGACCCGAGTTGCGCCAGAATCCCGGCCTGGGCGTAATCCCGGACCGAACCCTAAACCCTAAACCCTGACTGTTTCAGTATCCCAGCGTTCCACACGGTTTACGACGTGAAGCTGTCCCAAGGCTTCAAGGTTTTCAAGGTCCCGGAACCCCTAAATCCTAAACCCTATAAACCCTTAAACCATAAACCCCTGAACCCTAAACCCTAAACCTCTAAACCCTAAACCCTAAACCGCTAAACCCCTAAACCCCTAAACCCCTAAACCCTGAACCCTGAACCCCTAAACCATAAACCCTGAACCCTGTTTTTGGCTTACGCGTGTTTCAAGAGTGCGGTCTCGAAGTCTGCAGGGCCCGAAGTAAGTAATTATACTATTTGGGGGGCTTCCTTATTATAACTAGTCTATAATGGCCCCAAAGCCCTCTTCTAGTTATTGAGGCCCCGATATTAGATTTTGTGATCTGTTTTCAACTGTACGGTTGTCGGTTCCTTGTTCGGGCTTTGGGCTGGGTCTTTGGCGGCTGCTGAGGTGACCCATTCCTTCTTGATTTTCTCAAGGGCCTCAAGGACACGCGGGAATGATGTTGCACCATAATTCTGATTAGATCATTTCCGCCCTCTTTTACACCTTATAAGAGATTTCAATCGGCATCCGAGAATGGCGTGAAAGATGTGTTCTTTACTGATCCTGGGCTGTAATTACATCATCCCACAGGATGGGTTCCTTAGTTTGAGATGAACCCCGATAGCCACCTCCTAACTAACCAAAGGCCCCAAAGTAGGTCCATTTAGGGGTTCATATTTAGATTTCTATAAGGTAATCCCAAAAAGGAACTACTATGGGGCCTATGGGTAACCCTAAAGCCGATAAACTGATCGCTTAGTGGCCGTTCCTTCGTAGTATCTCTCCGGCGTACCGACTGTGAAGGCTCTGATGCCTCGCTTGTCTTCCCCATGATCGGGTTCTGATAATCTGGTCCCGTAGAGGAAGCGCAGTTACGCAAAGAACACTGCTGTCAACTGAAACTCTTAGTAGCTGAATGGATACACTTTACACTTTTCGGGTGAATATTCCCTGCTATAAATCTAAAAGCGTATACTCTTGGGGGCTTATGAACTCAGCAACTGAGAATTGAATGCCCCATATGCAGACAACAGCCGTAAGCCAGAAGCTCCGCCCAGAGAAGATGATATACGTAGAAGTTTGAACAGTTACTTCTGCAATTCCTTAGGGTTTTTCAGAGCCGCAAGATCAGCTTCGTGGAGTTTCCCCCTCCATGAGGTCCCGCCTTACTTGCCAAAGCACCAGCCATCCTCGTAGACCTTCGCTTCGAAAAGTCCAGAAAAGAGTCTCCGAAAATAGGGGGCCCTAACATAGTACCCTAAATAGTGGGATCCTTAGTATAAATACTCCAAAGTAACGTACCCCAATTTTGCGGAAACCCTAAACCCTCACTATATGGAGCCTTGCCTGCCTCGAGCGAGTGTGAGCTCGAAACCCTCATAGAGACCCTTTAAAGGAACCCTTATAGTACCCGTATAATAACCCTTTAAAGGAACCTTCAGGTACCCCAAGTTTTCGGAAACTAGTCCAGCTCAAGGTCTCAGGGCTTCCAGTTTCGAGTCGGGACTCCAAAGACGAAGCACCCGCCCTCTCTGCGGAACGACAATCCCTGGAACCGTCATCTCTAATTAGTATCCGGGTAGTTGTCAAAATTAGGGTCGATTTTTGGATACCTTAAATATTAGGTGCCGTATTATAATAAGGGTTCAAAAAGGGAGCATAATTTTGACAACCACCCGTCTGGCCTTTAAGGGGTCCTTTAAGGGGTTGGGGCCTCCAGTGTTGGGGGTTCCCTGGTTGTAGTTAAATGGGCCCCAAAACCCTAGTGTAATTACGGTTGACGATACAAGTCCTGCATTACCCATAATAAGGAATATGCCATAACTCCCATAGTTTACGGTCCTTAATCCAATGCAGGAGTTTTATCATCAACAGTATTAAGGGCCCTTACATTACACGCGAGGCCCGGACTCCTTCAGGCACCAACGTGAAAGACTACTTCGAGGGTCGGGGGACTTTGTAAGTAGGTAGTAAGTAGACTTACAAGTACCCTACAAGGGACCTTAATTGGGGTTATGGTACTTACGAGTCCCTAAAATGATCAGTTACTAAGTCCCCCGACTCTCCAAGTAGGAGTTCCATTTTGCCTAGAGGCTCCGTAGTAGTTCCTTTTCGGGGCTCGTATTTAGAATCCAAAAGGGTAATCCCAAAAAGGAACTACTATGGAGCCTTTGGGTACAGCACCGAAAGGGTTTAGAAGAAGGGTTAAACGATTGTGGGATTGACAGGTGGATCTGCAAACCTTGGGGTGGAGGAGGAGTAAAATAAGGGGCAACAGCGAAGTTATCACTTCCCTACCTCCCTGCTCCCTGCCCCCCACCCTAGCCTTCGGGCGAGTTTCTGTTCTGTAAGCTGTTATACTAACATCAACACCATATACCAATTCAGCTTAAACCCTACACCCCAAACCCTAAATTCACTGTTGGGGGCAGATGAACGCCACAGATAAGTTGGGTTTGTGCTCTGGACCTTTGAACCCTGAGCCCCACGTTTGGAGGACCCTACGAATTTTACCGCTATAAAAACCCAGTAGAGGCCTGTGAAACCCTTATCCTACACTTTTTCCCAGTATACAAACCCTATAAAAGCCTAAAACTTTTGAAACCCCACGAAACCCATTAAGCAAATGCTTCTTGCAGAGTTTGTTTCCCCTATAATTAAGCCTCAAACCTTACAAAACTAGAGAAAGCCTTTTGTTGAGCCTTTGTTAGGAGCTGATAGCGAGTTGCCACCTCGAGCCGAACTTGGTGTCAATGATCCGCATGCTGCCCCACCATGCCGTGCAGGCTTCCTTCTGATGTTTGTGCTTTGCGTTTCGGCTTTCAGCGTGTAGGGTTTAGGCCTTTTTTGCTGGTGTCTTGTGAAGACCTAAGTTTCCAGCTTGCAGGCTGTGTATATATATATATATAGAATTATATAGACACATAGATGAATACGGTATTCAGCTTACTGCCCGCACTACTCGGGGCTGTGGGTGTAGGGTATATCGTCTCAGCCGGGTGTTAGGGTTTACTTACCTTGGGTTAGTAGGGAATGGAGGTATGGGGTGCAATTATATACTATTACTACCATTCTTCCATTCCCTACTAACCAAAGGTAAGTTTAGGCTGCAGGGTGTGGAGGGTTTTCGGGTTTCCGGGGTTTGTGCAGCTTTCCGGCAATCGGAGTCATGTAGGTTTTATGGTTTGGGTCTTATATTCGGGCTTGAACCAAAGGGTCCAAGTAGTCTCTTATTTATGGTTTTCGATACCGAAAAAGGCCCTACAGTCTTGCATTCATAGCGGAGCACATAAGCTCAGGGCTTGTCAAGGCCTCCTTCTATGTAGGCCTGTACGCGTTGAAGTTTCCATCATGAATCGTGCGAAAGATTTGCAAGGGGCCGGGGATCTATCGGGAGTCGGTTCCCAAATCTTTCAAGAGCTCCCAAATCAGGACCAAATCATTTCACGATCCATGGATGCGTTCAGGCTTAACGTGAGTGAGGATCTGAAGTCTGTACCTCCACACCGACAGTACCCGATCGTGAAGCCGAAAGCGGGTCAAGGCTGCATCCGTATTGTTGACGTTTCAACAATGTCTCAATCATGTGTGTGCATGCATGTTTATGCATTTGTACACGTGTGTGTGTGTGTATGTGTGTGTATATATATTTTTGTACACATGGTGCCGCATCGCAGGCCCCCCCCCCCTCCCCCCAAAGCCAGGCCTCTCGTCCCATCAAACAAACAGTCACACGCCATCCGCGTAACTCCCCCCAAGCCAAGCCTCGCCTTTCGCCTTGGGAAACGGGGGGGTACCCATGGAACCACAAGACAGCGAACCACAGGGGCGGGGTGGGGAAGGATAGTCCACACAGGGAACCACAGGGCTCCTTCGACACACAAATGAGAATGATGGGGATGATGTTGTGCACAATGATGTTGATGTGCTAATTCCCGTGCGGCTGTTGGTGGTACTTTTGCTCTTATGTTGCTCTGGGCTTCCGCACCGCATGTTCATTGCTTTATCTAGTTGGAAACCGCGCTTGGCTTCTGATGTTCCTGCGACAACTGTTTCGACCGTTGTCATTCCAAGCCAAGTTTCGGTTGGGTTCGTTACGAAGTAAGCTCAAGCACGTGTTTGAGTGATTTTCATTCGGGACTCTTGAGCAAGCGACCGGAGGAGAGTGCAGATGGGGATCATGCCCACAATCTTCGTCATCAACATCATCACCCTAATATTCATCACTGTCATTGGCTTTGGAGCTCAGAGCAGGTCGGAGTTCAATGGAACTGCATCACATCCTACAGTCCAAACCCTTAGCAACCGGACGCCCAACCAGCAATAGCCATGGAAGGGGGCACAGCCCACGGCAACCACAGGGGGGAGGGGCAGGGGGAACCCACACCACAGGGAACCACAGGGGAGGGGGGGCCTAGCAGCGCTGCACCATATATACATATACTATGTGTGTGTGTATATTCAGGCCCCAGTATAGGATACCTTCGACTCTGCGCGGGGCCGCCAGGAGATCCTGTCGCAGCATCAGCGGCTGAGTTGCATTCACGGGGGCTTCGGTTTCCCTAGGGCCTCGGTTTGGTTCTACAATCAAAGGTTCCTTGAAAGGTTCCATAAGGGTTCGACACTGGGTTTGTTTTACAAACATTTGTGACTGTTCTAAAGGGGTTTAGGGTACTTGCCCTTGGGGTTGGGTGTGTAGACTTTGCGGCGCTTTTTACATTTAAGGTTTGGGCTTTTATAAGCAGTATGAGGTTTGGTGCGGGTTTGGGATCGAACAGTCTCCTCATAATCTAACGATCAACGCTGGGTTTTGGGCCTACACGGTCGGGTAGGGAAAGGAGCGGTGTGCTACCGTGTTTAAGTATCCGGATCTATGAAAATCATTCCTCCTGGGGTCAGGCAAGTAGCAGACAAGCTCCAAAACCTCTTTCTCTGTGACATGCTACCTTGAGATCATCCTCGTGGTTCAGGCTTGAGTTTAGGGTTCAGAAGGTTGGAAACCTACTGATTACTGGCAGCTCCGAGTTCGTGCATGTGGAGACTCGAGGGGCACACGAGCTCCGCGACCTCCAGACAAGAGCGACAATGTGCAAGGCGCAGGCACGCTTTCATGGCGAAGCTGGCGTCGAGCAGTAAATCCGGAAGGTGAAGCCCTAGAAGCTCCGGCTAATACAGGGGCCTTATGGGGCCGTAATAATTACTTATGCTTTTTGTTGGGGGTCTTATTTAAAAAAACTTGTAGTATAATACCTTATATATGTTATAGTATAATACGATCTAATTATTAAGACCCCTGCAATAAGGCGTAGCGTTAAACCCGAAACCCTCAAGGCAAGGGCGGCGAGGCCCATTAAACGGCGACCAGCCAAGTCCGGCCGATTTGGCTGGTCGTAATTTAGGGGCCTTGATGGTTAGAATAGGGTTTGGGGGTATAGTAGCTATAGTATACTGTGCTTACAAGGAGCCGCCACAATAGTATTGGCAATTAGCTGTTTTGGCCCTTCTATTGCTATCGATATTGCGAATTTTGCACGTATAGGCAGGTCGGGACAATTATAAGTGTCAAGGTTGATGTTTTTAAGCCCTAAATCCGTTCAGTTCTTAACCCTTTAACTAAACCACAAGCATTAAATCCTTAAGCCTAACCGTGCCTACTGCAAGGTGCCTGGGCTTATGAGACCTTATGAGATCAGATCCCTGGTGGAGCGAGGCGTTAATATGAACCTAAACAACACCTGTAACCTCAAGCCCGAAATTGTAGACTTATAACAAATCCTACCCAGACCCCCCCCCAACTATACTCTCTAATATGCCCCAAATAATTACCCACTATTAAGGAGCATAAGTAGGGCTTCATTAAAGGGTCATTAAAAGGTCTTGGCACACCTTCAACTCCCAGGCAAGCTGCGAGAAGTTTTCCTTACGACGCTTCCAAGTTCGCCATGCGCGCCTCTTGCCTTGGGATCGGCTCGTGGGGTCTGCCTGGATCCTCTATAACCTTCCTTTTTAGGGTTCCTTGTTATACTTTGCTTTATGTAGATCCTTAAAAAAAGTAGGTTGGAGGGGTTAAGGATGGTTAAGGGTTTAAGGTGTCGGTTTGATGGTAGAAAAGGGGTATAGAGGTTTTACAGGGTGTTATGAGTTTTTCCAGGGTTTCTGAAGGGTTGACCTTCATGGGAGTTTGCGGGTGGCTTCACTGCATTTGAAACATAGGGACCTTAGTTTTTAGAATAGGGTTTGGGGGCATGATACTGTAACTAAAACCCTAAACCCTAAATAGTATAGGTAATTATTGAGGCCCCTATGGAATTGTGGTGGTCGCCACCACCGGATGCGACTTCACCAGAAATCCTACACCGGCTTTGAGCCCTTTAATGGAGCCCTTCTGGTCCTTAATAGTGGGTATTTGGGGTATATTCGAGGGTAGTTCGGGGGTTTAGGATACGATCCTTTTGAAAAAAGCGGCTCGCGGATCTTTGGTACTGGCTGGGAGTCGGAATTTGGGGCTTCGAGGCTGTTTATCGGGATAATTGAGGTTTGGCAAGCCGGCCAAACCCTAAGCCCCAACTCCAAGCTACACGCCTGAATCCCTACAAACTCTGAACGCCTGAATGTGCTCCAATAGGTTCGAAGTCTCGTGGAGAGCTGGCACACTTCTCTGAAGGAGGAGGCTTCGCGTTTAGAGCTTTCCGGGTGGAAGTGGCCAGAAAAGCCCTTTAGGCTTCTTGGGCTTCACAGCCTGGCTCTGAGATTTCGCCTCGCTGATGGTTAAAAATGGGAGGTCATTTGTTGAGTCGTGGGAGCATGCAATGTCACAGCATTATTCCCAGCAAGACTCTGCAAACGCATGCAGAGACACGCCAAGGCATCTAGCTGAATCTAGCTACTATCTACCTATGTATCTGTCTATCTATCCACATCTAGAGTGCCAGCGTAGCCCCTCAACAGTGCATCCCTAAGGGAGCAAATGTACCCATATAGAGATACATGAGCCCCAAAGTACTTTGTAGGGAGTACAGTCAGGCCATTGAAGGCCATTGTATATACTATACGAGTACATGGACCCTTAGGGCATGGAAACTTAGTGGTCCGAGTATTACATGCCCCAGAGCATATCCAGCGGGAGCACTCTTCAGGCCCCCGAGACCACCACCGGAGTCCAGAATCGAATAAGGGAGTTTCCGAAAATTAAGGGTACCATATTTTGGAATCCTGATAATAAGGATCCTACTATTCAGGGGACTGTTTGAGGATCCCCTATTTTCGGAAACCGCCATATCGGAACAGGGTTTAGGGGTTAGGGGCGTGACTTGAGTCCAGCAGCAAAGAGGGTTAGTGGAGTTGCACCCCAAAATGCGACCGATTGTTGCCGCCAGATGTTTATTCTGTTTATGTTCCGAGCAGCATGGGACTGGCTAAACCGTGTTGTTGTGTGCTGCCTAAGTTAGTGTTACTGTTGTATAATGCTGACCCATGGCGACCGACAGTCGCGCAGAAGCTTTAGTGGGCTTCTGAGATCTTGTGCAAATGCTGTTCTCCCCTTGATGCAGCGTTGTTCCTTTTTCAGACTTCATGCGGACGTGTAGTGTAGATATATCACCGAGCCGTCACAGCTGCCATGTTTGTCCGAAGTTTGTTGTCCCGCAATGCAGCAGGCTGTGGCGGGAGGCGCAGCCGCAAAGCAGGAGGAGCAGAAGGTAGTAGGTACTCGTGGGGTGATGCAACGGGAAGAGTTGGTAAGCGCTGGATTAATGCCGCATATTTCTGGGTGCCCATTGATTTGTGGCACCACCTTTTCTGTTTGCCATAGCCTCAGGACGACGTGACCTCACAAAACAATCTCATGCTGTTTGCTGGAGCCAGCCTGCGCTTGTTTATCCTTTGTACAACCATGTTCTCTGTGTCGCAGGGACTCTTTATCAGACTTTATCATCTTCAGCAGCCTGACGAACTGAACTGGGCCCCGTCCCCTGCACGACGCAAGGTCAAAGGCCCCACCCAACTCCCAAGCCTATGGATGATGCAGTTTGTTTGGCCTCATGTATATACATCGCTGGTGTATGAATTTTCGAGATGGCCTATATTGCAATGATATATGCATTTTGTTGGGCCCCCTTTTGGCAGGCTTCATAGCGACACCACAACAGCACGCCCCGGACCAGCTACATCCCAAGATCCTAAACCCACCCCCTACAGTGAATCCATTAATACTTACATCTGAGCTGGAACTCCAATCATTGAGACGCACACACATCACAAAGCCTTGTCCTGAGAATCTTGAACTGCAAAAGTTTGAAAGGAGAAGGAAAAGCCGGCCAAGCCGGCAGAACCCAGCGAGACCCCCGCCCGGGAGGCAACGCAAAGCATTCATGCCTGAGGAGAGCTTGGGCTCTCGGGTTTAGGGGTGTGTAGGCTTGAGGGTTCGTAGATTCCGAGTGAAGCGCTGGGAAGCATACATTGCATGCTCGACGTTGTTATTGGTTGTTGCGGTCCTTCCTACCTACCACAAGCTGCCACTGTGTTGGGTACTTAAAGGAAATTGGCGAGTTCAGAAGAGCTTCCCCCGCGCGTTTCGACTTTTGGAATCGTAAACGGTCTTAGGTGTAAGTTCGCAGTGTTTGGAGATTGGGAAGCCCAAGAACTGCTACATATGCGATACCGTAGTTGTATCTACATGCTGTGCCAATTTCTGGGTGAGTTGCTTGGACTTAGCACCCAAGTCAATCCCTGGATTTCACCCTGAAAGCCAAACCCCAGCTCCACAACCCTACCTGGACCCCAAAAGTGTTGGGCCATTGTTTCACCTACTTTCGGGGGGTTTCGGTAGACCCCAGGGAGCGAGGTAGACCCTTGACGTCCCCAGCCCCTAACGCTAGCCTGAGGATTGTCAGTTCTCAACACGCGTTAAGCAGAAAGACCTCTACCCCCGAGGTGCTCAACTGCTAAACCCTGAGCACTGAATCCTTAAATCATTCTTGATTTTTATGGATGCCGACGGGACCGCCCTTCCAAACATCGTTGATGCAGGGACGGAACGGACGAGCCCCCAAACGGGTACTTCCAATCGCTCTGCTGGCTAGCCCTTTAAGTGACCGATTATAACCCCGACATGAGTTCCAGGGAAGAGAAGCAAGCCTGCATGCTTGGTGCCCCCCGCAATTTTCTTTCGCGACTTTCTTGCCTGCTGCACACCCTGACCCATGCTTGCGAGGCGGAGGTCGTGGAACCGCCGGCCTTCGCCAAGAAGGACGGGCCTGTGTGGGGATCACGCTGTGTTATTTCCCATCTGTTCGGGTCCCTCAAAACCGCTATAGGAGCTCTACGAAGACGAGTATAAGCTCGAGTGAAAAAGAGGTTGTAAGGTAGAATAGGCCGCCGCCAAGGAGCCATGGGCCACGGATGCACTTCATGAGCAGGCTTTCCATTTGTGAAGCGTAGTAACAGCAGCCTGGGCAATATAGAAGTCTGAGAAACACCGATACGATTCCTTTTCTACGCATGAAGGCCCCCATCTTAGACATAGCAACAATTTGGGTGCTGTGTGCTAGCTGCTACCAGCACAGTTACTTTAGTTTTGATCGAGTGGCATCAGCAGTAAGAGGCAACGGTGGAAGAGAGCAAGAAAACCGGCAGTGTCAGCCTGAGTTTGATAGCCAAAAAACCGGCAGTGTCAGCTGAGTTTGATAGGCAAACACCCGAAGATATTGGAGCACTTATGATATATGGATATGCATAGATATATCCGCGACAAGGCACAGGGCGACAACGATGGCAGTTGTAGTGCGTGCAGAAAGCTGCGGGGGCGGGGGATAAGGAGTAACAACATCGAGATTGCTTGCAAGCATGTCCTCACTTCTGTAGACCAGAAAGGAAAACTTGCTGTTGGCCCTGTTCGCGCCTGTTCATGAAGTCTGTGTAGTGCTTTCAGTTGTGAGCAAAGTGTGTTGCTGCGCCAGAAGATGGAGGATATGGAGCTTATTTAGGGCTTTGACGGATAGATACTTTGAGGCTTTGCTGTCGGTGCCAGATTAGGGTGGTCTAAGGGGTTCTTGAATACCGCTGCAGAAAGTCCGAGAGGTCGTGCTGCCGCGAGCCGTGTCGCTACTTGGTCAGGAATGGCATGGGCAGAGCCGGCACAAATCAGCAGTAGAGGAACGTGGGCGGTAGAGGGTGTAAAAGCGGCGGTAGCCGTAGCAGCAAAGTTTGCCGCCAAAGACAGGACTCAGGGGTTCTTGTTTAAGGTTAAGGGTTCGACCCAGATCACCTTAAGCAAGCAAGCCGAATCAGGACTGCGCCGGCAACCGCCTGGGGAATGACCCCAGGGTGGCCGCCGTCCTATCCGCAGTGGCCCTACGGAGGCAAGTGGGCCTCTACACTTGGCTAGGTCATACTCCTTTGGGACATGCAGTATTTTCCCTTATTGGGCCCACGAGGATCTTATTTACAATAATTGTTCAGAGGCTTCAATTATGTAGGGCCAACGTAGCTTGGGTTTTACGGATGAATGCTTCGAAGGTTGCGGGCTTTAGGGTTTAATGCTTTTGGTCTGCAGCTTTAAACCGCTTTTCCGTCTCAGGCATGTTCGGACGAGACTGTGTCAGGATTTTCAGTCCTATAATCTGTTTGGGCTGCACCGGCACTTTGTTTCCGTAGGGCCAGCTTTGTGCCGAGATGCGCAAGGCAGTTAGGAATCATAGGAGGCAGAAGAATCAGCTTGGCTATTACATTGTTTCAGAGCAATCATACACTTGCAACAATGGTTTTTTGAATCAAAATCAATGACAAGTGCAAGCACTCGCAAGCATAGTGGGCGTCTAAACCCTAGATCACAAGAGTCCTGGGCCGACTCATGTACATTTCCGTCTTCACATACTCAACCTTGGAGTTACAGGGAACTCCAGAAAGTTGGAATATGGATTAATGGTAGGACCCCCTATAATTTACCTTAAAGGGGTTAGGATAATGATATTCCAACTTTCTGGCTTCTACTGTAGGCTACAGAACTCTCCAACCCGACTCTTGGGCTTTTGCGGGCGGAAGGATTTTGGGTTTAGCGGAATGGTTCGGTATGCAACCTTACATCCACGAAGTGCAAGAACGGGCACTGCCGAAAACATACTAGTGATACACATCACGACAGAGCGAGCATAGCTCCTTCTAGCATACTTCAGTCTTAGACCTGATGCAAAATCTTGCTGCATTCTTCCGAAGACCTGCATAGCTTATCTTGGCAGCCTGCAGTATCAAGACCATGACTTTGAATAAGAGGTGCTGCCAATTACAACTACTGGGCTGCCTGGGCAGCGCAGCTTGTCTCAACTTTTGAACTGCAAGTCGAGCGTCTTGTGGTTGAGATCGTTTCAGAGTTTTGCGATAGCTCTTGGGCGGATGACTGAGTTCAGGTCCCAACACGACACCCAATCCATGTGTTCAGAACCTACAACCAGTTCATTCCATACCAGTGACCGTTGATTGGGCGAAGGTTGTAACATTGACGTCTCAACTTAGTGTTAGTCGCACAGACCGCGTTACTAGATTACTCCTTTATGCTAGTAGTTGTTATATTATTACGGCCACAAACTGAGACGTAGAGCTAACCTTGAGCTTACATAGTTCCTTCATAGATGTTGTTGGGTCGTAGTCGTTGCTTTTGTCTGTCCTGGCCGCTTTTGCTGTTGTGATCGGAGCAATTAGGAAGCGCGACAACCTTTAACTTTGCAACCACAACTATTGTTCCGCTGTTGCAGTGCTGACACGGTTGCGTTCGCTCGCTGTTCCCGTGCATCCGCATTGCGTGGTTGCCCGCAGTTCATTCCGTGCTGATTCAATGTAGCCAAGTTTCGTATAAGGACACCTGCACTGAACTGCGGGCTGTAGTGGCTCGCTTCCCTGTACATATACATATACATATATATATATATATATATATAGACATCTGTATATATATATATATATATACATATATATATATATATAAACAATTTGCACTTCCACTTCTTGGCAGACCATCCTCGAGCTGCAACACATGCCATCTTCAACCTCTTCCATCATGCTACTGTTGCTCTTGCTTTTGGTCGTCCTTCCGCCGTCATTTCTGAAGCCTCTACGTAAGCCGAAATTGGTGTGGAAAAGCCCTATAGTCATCCTCATGCCCAAGCAGTTGATGTTGCCCAATGCAGGTCGGCGGCACAGCGGCAGGCATCTCGAAAGCAAACTGATCATTCTGGAGGTTCATTTGGGTGGTTGTCAAAATTAGGGTCCCTTTTTGGGCACCTTAAATATTAGGTGCCGTATTATATTAGGGACCCAAAAGGGGCCATCATTTTGACAACCACCCATTTGGCACTTGTATTTTGCGTTGGGCATCTTTTGCATCATCAGAGCGTCCGATGTGCCCGCCAAGTTGTTGAGCAGCTTCACTTGCACATGCCTGCCTCGAGATGCTAAACCCTGAACCACAACATGTGCGAATTCCGGCAGCCTGCATCCCTTTCCACACAGGCCATAAACTCTGAAAGCAAATCCGCAAGCCCCGTCGTACCGACGCCTACCGCCCTGATCTGAGGAAAAGAGGGTATGATCATCCCGAAATTATCTCGTTGGGCAACCTTATGTAAATCCCAAGACGTTAGTAACCCAAAAATGCCCAGAAGGTTTGAACTCCATGTCCTTCACACCCCAAAAACATCCCAAAAGCTAGGTGATTCTACAGTATGGCAACTGTAGGTATGAGCCACATTAGACTTTTAACCCCACTTGTAGCTACGTCTTGAATTCATAAAGCCCCGCTCATCACTACCGATGAACCTCCCAGTTCCGCTCTGATTGTACAGTCATTGGGGAAGTCGCAAAGGCGAAGAAGTCCAAAAGGCGAAGGTCCAAGAAGGACAAGATCCTTGGCCTCCCTTTACTATAAGGGTACCGCAAGGATTCCTTGAAAGGGCTCTATGAGGGTTTAGAGTTTCCGAAAATCTGGGGGGTGCCTTATTTGTAGTATAATAAGGATCCTACTATTTAGGGTATTTTATTAGGGTCCCTTATTTTCGGAAACTCCTACATTTATACAAATAAACAATTACATATATATATATATATATATATATATATGTATATATGTATATTATATATATATATATATATATATATATATTCATATATGTATATATATATATATATATATATATATAGATCAGTATACAATAGTATACAACTAGGAAAACATATACAGATAGATAGATCTTCTGGTATTGTAGTTCGTCACGTTGATGATTCATCTTGTTTGCACGAGAGATTTGCGAGTTTGGGCTTGGTGGCGTTTGACGCGACTTTCGCCGATATTAGATCCCAAAGGGCCCGAAGTGCCTCTCTCTTTTTGTATCTATCCATATAGGTATATTATATTCATGTGTATATGTATATATATATATATATATGTATATGTAGATAGATAGATAGCATTTCCTAGGCTCTGTAATCTTTGGACCTAAGCGCTTTTGATGACCTTTGGGCTTGGGATTCTCGCTTCACTGGCGCCATGTTCAAGAGAGCAGCTGTTGAAGACCCCTTTTGCGATTGCAACCACGGGACGCCGAATTCACATTTCGTGGAGTACTAAACCCTATAGATCCCTTTACAGGCACCCCTGTAGAACCTTTTAAAGGGACGTCATCTACTAGGGGCAAGGTTTGTTCTTGACCTCGCATTTGGATGCTTCCCCTCGAGCAGCCGGCCCCCTTTGGAACTTAAGGAAAGACAAGGACGACAACGTCAAAAGCAAGAAAAGGAGAAGAAAGGCCCATAGGGTTTCGGGTACTTGCTTGAGTCGAAAAGAGGAGGGGAGATTTTGTTCTGCTTCCGTCGTCTTCCATCACAAGCTTTTCATAGAAGAGACCCCTCTGGTTGATCCCTTTGATTGGTCATCTTGATCTCATTGATATTTTTGTGGCCAGCATGCAGAGTCCTATCTAAGTCAAGCCAGAATCCTGCCTCAGAGAATAGCGATCCCGGACCCTTGACTGCAACACTTCGACATTTTGAAAGTCTCGGCCTCCAAGATTTGAAAAAAAACATGAAAACCGTAGCAGCAGGTAGCGGAAGTTGCTGGGTTAGGGGTTTAGGGTTTAGAGGTAAGGACTTAGGATGTTGTTGGGTTTGTTTTCCACAGCAAGGCTTGGGTTGAAGGGCTTTGGCCAGCATGACTATGTAGCAGTAACCTAGTATCAAACGCACTACCTCTTCAGCCGTTGCTGCCACCACAACTGAATCGGCCGGGCAATACCACGACGGCTGCTACCACCGATTCTTCTACTACGACTGCTGCTACTGGTACCACCACTAGTACTCACTTTTTCTCCTACTACCGTTACCACTACCACCACAACCCCCACATCTACTACTACTACTACTACTACTACGACGACGACGACGACTACTACTCCTGCCACTGCTGCTGCTACTGCTACTGCTACTACTATGACTACGACGACGACTACTACTGTACCACCACCACTACTTCTGCGAGGGCCGCCTGCACCCGGTGCTAGATGTCATGGGTTGGCGGTTTGAGGTTGTACATTCAGATATTTGCAGGTACATGCCTCACTGACAATGCATGTCAATGCATCTCATTGCTATGAGTGATGCTGCTGCTGCCGCCGCTGCCAATGCTTTTCTTGTGGTGGTATTGAACCCCATTCCGTGCATACACACGTACATACATGTGTTTTTCAGCCGAGATGCAAATGACATTCTGATTGCAGGCAACGGCAGCCACAACACCGAAGTAAGCACAGACTTTTTCGTGTTGCTACAGCTACCTAATCTGGTCTGGCTTTGACAACGATACTGCGACGAGCAGCTTTACCCAACTCGAAACCCTAAAACCCCAGAGCCTGACCCTTTAGGAAGTTAACCCTGCATCCTTTACTTAACCCTAACCCCTGGGGGAGTTATTCACGGGTATAGAACTTATCTCCCTGCTTCGCATACCAGCCCATGCAGGAGGCAAAAAACCCTACAACCCTAAAACCCTAAACCTTACAACCCTAAACCCTCAACATTTCTCCTTACGAGTGCCGCAGGTGCAAAAGAAAAAGTCCACGTCCAGCAGATCTTCGGCCGCCACAGTGATCCAAGCACTACCTTAACCTACCAAAACCTACAAAAAAGCAGGGCCCCTATAAATTTCATAGGGTTTATAATTGGAACCTACAAAAAGGGTAGGGTTTGGTAGGGTATGGTATACCTTGGGATCCGAAAACCTACCGTTTCAAGGGTTCTACCTTCTGACTAAGGGGTCATAACCTACTACTTTGTAGTGTTTGGGGATACAGGTAGAGCTTAAATAAGTATAGTATAATAGGCCCCCAAACCCTATTCTAGTTATGAAGGCCCCTATAGTAGCTCCTGTCGATCTAGGATTTCTAGCAGTTTTGGGTTTAGGGTTTGTAGGGGTTTGGGGTTTCGGTTCCATTAAATAGCCTTTCAAGGCCTCTATGAGGGTACTATAATACTATAACGGGTTTGGGTTTCAGGGTTTTTAGGGCTCATGCAAAAAAGGGTTTAGGGTTTGTAGGGGTTTCGGGGTTTAGGCTTTAGCCTAAACCCTAAATCCTCTGTCTCAGAAGTAGCTTCGGTCGATTTAGCGCTTCAGGATTCAGGCGGTATATGGGAGTTTCCAAAAATTAGGGTACATGATTTTGGGGTCCTTGTAATTAGGATCCCACTATTTAGGCTATATGAGGGTCCCCTATTTTCGGAAACTACCATGTGGTTTCTGTGTGGGGTATATTGGTACCTTGAGTTGATTCGGATGGTAGAAGCCAGGGCTGCAGCAGGGCTCCGAGACATGAGTTTCCCCAAAGCTGCCACGCGCAAGACCATAAGGGGTTTAGGGTTTAGGGTTTAGGGATTTAGGGTTTAGGGTTTAGGGGTTTAGGGTTTAGGGTTTAGGGTTTAGGGTTTAGGGGTTTAGGGGTTTAGGGTTTAGGGGTTTAGGGGTTTAGGGTTTAGGGTCTTGAACTAGCGTGCTCCTGATTTCTGGACTTTGAAGAATACTGGAAGTCATTGAGGATGTGGAAAATCATGATCTTCGGCAACTGAAGCATCACACGTGTCTGCATGTCCCTGACATCTGGCTTTTGGTCAACCAGATTATGTATGTCATACGAGCACACCGTACACCTCCATTCATAGCTGTATCCCTTGAGCTTTAGCTAGGCACGCCCTGCCGTCGAAAAAGCTCGTTGGCAAAGGCTCCTCTTCAAGTTCGGAAGATGGAGACGAGGGGATTCTTGGCTAGATCCAGCCTGCACAGAGCTTCGGGTCTAAGAGGTTTAAGGTTCGGGTTGAGGATTTAGGGTAAGTGGTTCTGAAGCGATACGAGATGGTTTAGTGTTTAGAGACCAGAAGAGGATGTTGCGAAATATGCGGAAATATGAAAGGCCTTCTAGGTTTTGCATTGGGTTGAGACAGGTTGGTATAGATAGATACTGTGGAGATCTATAAAGCACTTGAATGGTCTCACAAGGTCGCGTGTCGGCTTTCAGAGTTTGCACTTCCACTTCCTGCCCACAAAGACGGGATAAAGGGAACTCCAGAAAGTTGGAATATGGTTTCATGGTAGGATACCCTATAATTTAGCATAGAAGGGTTAGGATATTCATATTCCAACTTTCTGGCTTTTACCGTCAAGGAGTGGCGCCGCCGCCGCAGTGCCTGCAGTACCGCGGGTGTCTGCAGCGCAAGCGAAGCAGCGCAGCTTGGATCCAACTATATGGGAGTTTCCGTAAATTAGGGGTACCGTATTTTGGGTCCTCATTATAAGGATCCTACTATTTAGGGTAGTATATTAGGTTCCAAAAAGCTTCTGTGCGGATCCAGGTTTAGAGGAGCAGGCACCGGCAGCAAATGCCACGGCACTTACTAGAGGGACCTTAATACTTACTTCTACTATTTTGGGGGTTCCGTTTTTTGTAAATACAGTACAATATACACCAAAACCCTAGTCTAATTATTGAGGCCCCTATACTACACCCCCACAATACCCCTTATAGTAATCCTTATGGACCCTAGTCTAATTATGAAGGCCCCTATACTACACCCCCAATATTACCCCTTGTAGAAATCCTTACAGACCCCTTAAAAGCAAACCCTTTAAAGCGACCCAGATTCTAATTGCACAGGCCCTCAGATCACCAGTTTTAGTATCCTGAAGTTTGGATTCCAACAAGGATAAGCCGATGTCTATCTCGGACTGAGTACGAGCAGGAAGGGTTTGGTCTTTGTGTACTTCAGGCTTGAGGGTAGGGTTTAGGGTTTAGGCTATGTCGGACCTGTAGCATCATCAACCCTGACCGGCGAAGATGGAAGGCTGGCAGGAGCATAGCCCCAATCGTAGCCATGGTGTTTATGATAATTTGCATTTAGGCCTCTCAAAACCACGACCACATTCAAACAAAAGCTAAAGTTATCACTCGGGTATATACATGTACTTTGTCGGCGGCAGTCGTAGTGAGCTAGCTATCATTTGTTTTTTCTGACACGGAAAAGTGTATTGATGTCATATTCCTGGAGAAACAATCAGCCCCAGGTAGGTACGACTTATCAAGACCGAAGCAGGCCCCCAATCACTAAACCTTGGCGTACTTGTTTGTCGACTTGGAGCTGTAGAGTCTAAGAGGGCTTAATTCCCTATACTATTTTGGTTGGTTCCTTATTCTAATTACAGAGTTATGGGCCCCCAAAACCTTATTCTAATTATTAAGGACCCTATATTACAGTACCCTTTTGATCCCTTATAGTAACCCTTATAGACCCCTTTAAAGGAACACCATTATCAGAGTTGTAAGATTTACAAAGCCCGTCCTGGCCTGCTTGAAGGGTTTAGGGTTTAGGGCTCTAAGATTATAAGTGCGGTATTAAGTATTGTAAACTACAGCGTAAATAACCCATATTGGAGCACTGATATCCCCACATATAAATATAACTACCTGTGAACCTGCAAGTAGAGAACCCCACTTGTGATCTTCTGGCTCAAGGTCTAATCCCTACTTAAGAGCACCTACATAGGAATGCAGACTATATGGGCACACGTACCCCTAAGGCTCCATGTGCCCATATGGTATAAACATTCGGCCTACAGGAAACCCTTTAAGGCCGAGGTATATTATATGGGTCCATGGAGCCTTAAAAGTACCCTTTAAAGGGACCTTATGGGTCCCCTAAACCCAAAAGCTTTTATCCTTTGAAGGAACCTAATATGGGTAGGAGCCCTTTACTTGGACTGTCGGGGGGCAAAGTAGGTAGCAAGTAGACATAGAAGTACCTTGCAAAGGACCTTGATGGGGGTTATGATGGTTACTTATAAGTCCATAAAATAACCAGTTACTAAGTCCCCCGACCCTCCAAGTAGGGTTAAAAGTCCCCTAATATGGGCTATAGTTATAGCTACCCTTCTTTTCACCGTATTATAACCCACTTATAACTACCCATGAACCTCCGAGATAGGCCCTAAACCCTATACCCTTATAGAATCCCTATAGATCCCTTTAAAAAGGGACCCTTACCGGAACCCTATAGAATCCCTATAGATCCCTTTAAAAAGGCCCTGAAAGGAACCCTTATAGAATCCTTATAGATCCCTTTAAAAGGGACCCTTAGAGGAACCCTGAAAGAATCCCGATAGATCCCTTTAAAAGGGTCCCTTTTAAAGCGATCTTTAGGATTCTATAAGGGCTCCTTTAAGGGTCCCTTTTTAAAGGGAAAGGTCTACGCCCTCTAGCCCCCAGTCAGGCGCCTCTGCGCCCGGGGTCAGCGAGCGCTTTAGCGACCTGATGCTGGGAATCGAGGCGGGCTTTTAGGTAGAGACTCGTTTAGGGTTTAGGGCCTAAGTTTAGGGCTTAGGGGCACCTCAGTCTGTGATGAAACAAGGGCTTAGGGTTTTGGGTTTAAGGTTTAGGGTTCATGGGATTTGGGGTTTTAGGCTTTAGGGGTTTAGGGGTTCGGGGTTCAGGGGTTTAGGGGTTAGGGGTTTAGGGTTGAGGGGTTTAAGGGTGTAGGGTTTTGGGTTTAAGGTTTAGGGTTTAGGGTTCAGGACGGTAGAGACCCGAACAAAGGAATGTCGCCTCATTTGTCAGTGCCTTCTCAAACAGCGAGAGAGAGAGAGAGAGAGAGATTCACATAGAACATGTGTGTATGTATGTATATATATACTATATTTCCTTCATAGCTTTTATATATATATATATATATATATATGTATATGTATACATATGTATGTATATATATATATATATATATATATATATATATATATATATATATATATATATATATATATACATATATATATATATGTGTGTGTGACATAATATTACAACCAAAAGTGGAGGGTAGAGGTTTGTGGTTGTCAGGTTTCGAGTTTCGGAGCTGTTTGTTTTCTGTTTTTAAGTTTCAGGTTAAGGGTATGGCCCGTGTAGCTGCCAACGTGGTTATCAGCACGTTCATGCTGAGAAAGACATTGCACTCCTCGTTGATAGTTCCGGCCTACAGTTTTTCAAGCGGTTCCCAAGATTTCCTTATTGTGCCCTTAAAGAGACCACTATGGTACCCTTAAGTTACTTTAAAGGAACCACTATGGCACCCCATAGTTCCTTGAAAGGAACCACTATGGTAAGTACCCTGTAGTTCCTTCAAAGGAGCCACTATGGTACCCTTAAATGAGCCCTTAGACGGGGTTCCTTTAAAGCGAACCCCCCCCCCCCCCCCCTCCAGTCGCGCTAGGAGGAGGACAGCGAGGGTGAGCCGAAAAGCGGCAGCCCAGGTCCGGGTCGGTTTTCGGTTTTTTGAGGGTTTAGGCCGTTGAGGGATTTAGGGGCTTTTGGGGGTTTAGGCCTTTGACGGGGTAACGTCTTCAAGTTTAGGGCCTAGGGCCTGAACAGCAGATGAACGGAGTTTGAGTTTAGGATTGAATTTGTTGTCATACGAAGGTGTCTGAACGATGGAAAGCTAGTCCCCATCGGACGGAAGTAATTCAATGCCTTCATTCTGTAGTATGCTGCAAGACCCTGGTCGTCGAGGTTGTGCTTTCAGATTCGAAGCACAATTCAAAGCGTCATGCAGGTGGTGTAAAAGATGAGATGAAATCGACTCTAGAATATGCGATTTTTTCTGTCCGTCCACGTCACAACTTACTACTATTTAGTAGCGGTTGCTTCAGTGCAAGTCTTTAATTCATGATGCGGCTCGAGGCTGCAGGACAACCACACTGGACGTGTCGACACTCGTAGACGTGTGTTGGATGGATCAGGGAACACCTTCTGAGAAGGTTTTAGAAGCTACTACCACGCCTCAACAGGGCAAGACTCTGTAAGATGTGGTACCGCGCAAGGGGGAACAGCAGGCGTTGTTGTCGGCCCCATGTTTGTTTTGTTTGCTGCTTGTCTTATCAGGAGCTGAGAAAGCCGAGCCTTTCGATCCAGAAGCACCTCCGCAACTGGGCTTCAAGTAGTCGTTGAGGTTTCATGCGGCCGAAAGCAAGGTGTCAAACATTTGGCTGTCATAGATCCCTAAACCCTGAAACCTAAACCCCATGAGCTGAGTGAAAGCACGTCGAACACGAGACTTCGTCCGTCAAGTCCGAGTTGCGAGAGCGTAACCCCCCTAAACCCCTCCACTGTAAGCCCCTCAACCCCTTAACCCTACAAAGCCCAAAAAGAAAGCCCCTCAACCCCTAAACCCCAAACCCGGTTGGCAAGAAGCTAGGAAGAGGTTGGCAAACAGCGAAAAGTCACGGAGCCCTAAACCCTAAACCCTAGAAGCTTGGATTGTCCGAGCGTGAGTGCCGAAACCCTAGAAGCAAAGAAGAAAAGGAGGGACTCTTAATGGGGACCCCTACCCTATAATGGGCTATATAATAGCTATATTAGGATATATACCTAGGGGTCCTCATTAAGGGTCCCTCCTTTTACCCGTGGACCCTAAACCCTAAACGCTTAGAAACAAAGAAGATATCCCTTTTGGCGAGGCAGGAGGAGCCGCCGAAAGCCCAGGCAGGTCGCGGGGACAGGGCTGTTCATAGGCACCGCATCCTGCAGAGCCTCAATGTAGGGCCTTAACAAGTATATACATATATATATATATATATATATATATGAACGACGGCTTTTATTTGCGTTTATACTACAGTACTTTGAAACGAGATACCTCCGTGCAGTATTTTTGTTGTCGGAACTAGCCCTACTAGGGAACGAGATAGGGTCACCGCTTCAAACGAGATCAAGTATATCTAGTACTAACGATATTTGAACGAGATCGACTTTTTCTGCCAGTACTTAACATGATGAAACGAGATGGGGGCACCGCTTCGAGATAGCGTAATTAGCCCAAGCAACAAATAAACGCAGTGGCTCATATGACCATATATATATATACATACATATATACATACATACATACATACATACACACACACACACACACACACACACTCTTTTGGGGGTTCCACGAGTGCCATGCGCTGGCCGGGCGAGCTGCAATGAAGCCTGCGTAAAGAAGGGCAACTCAAAAGGCCAAGTCGCCTAAACACCCTTAAGGAAGAAATCCGGGAAAGGCTGGTTTGCGGAGCGCCCGGCATGTGGCATTCGGGGTTCAAGGTCGTCAGGTTTTGGAACAGCTTATCATCGGTTTCGGAAGGTCGAGCAGAGTCAAGTTTTGTGATGCAATATGCTTAGGGCCTAGAGCCCCAGAGTACTGAGATTTTCCCAGGTGTTTTTTTTGATACGGCTTCCGATATGAACGCAACTTGTGTGGTCGATACACTGGTTGGGTCAATACAGAAGGCAGAGACGCTTTTCGGGCTCGATGCCTAAAGCCTGAAGTACTCCCGCAGTTTCAGGATTCATAAACATCAACCCTGAACCCTCAACCTGGTAGAGTCAGAGCATCGAAACCTCTCATGCAGGCGGCTCCTGAGGAGCCCTTGAGACCGAAATCGCCAGAGGCAGCGTCGTCGGAGGAGGAGCTGGGTTTATGGTTTAGGGTTGTCTTGGGCGTATCCTCAGACCTTGGGATCTTTGTGGCCGTGCTGGCTGACACAAACCTATAAACTCCCGAACCCAATTCGTTAATTCTCCATTCCTTGCACATGGTCCTCTTCTGGATCCTAAAGCCGTAAGCCTAAACCTTGAACGACCTCTTTTGGGATGCTCAAGCAGTTAAACAACCCCGAGATATCAACAACAATCGAAACAGCAACAGCAATAATTTCAACATGAGCGTTCATTCATGTTAATGGACTTCATAAGCATGCGTATATGAACATACATGTCCATTGTATAAACACATACATCACACACGGTAGCAGCTCTTGATCGATAATTCTTGTCGCTGTCGCGACAGCCAAGGCACATGCCTATAAGCCCTAAACCCTCGCATGAGAAGAACCCTTTAGTAATTTTCAATCTTTCAAAGGGGACCTATATGATAGAACCCTAAACCCTAAACCCCTAAACTCTAAACCCCTAAACCCTAAACCCCTAAACCCTAAGCCCTTTAAAGCCTTCGGCGCTGCCCTAGGAGCCTCTGAAGCCTCCGGCGCCTTCGCAGACGCCCCAGCCAGGCTGGCCCTTAGAGAGCATCTTGTTTTGGCTACTACGTTGTAAAGTTTTAAGGGAGTTTCGGACTACCATGGAAAGGTTTTGTTCGGATGTTGGGCTGGGTACTTTGCGTGTCATCAGCATTTCTGTTCTCAACGGTGGCTTGAGCTTCAGAGCCTGCACGATCAATAGGCACCCGCGACTGCAGTTTTCCAAAACCAGCAGCTGCCAATACACATGCTGACAGCAGCAATGAGAAGCCGATCAACACCGCACATGTGTGCACACATCCTGACGGACCTATCAACAATCTGAAGGCCAGTTCCCCATGCAAACTTGAAGTGGTATTTTGACCAATGTGAGTGCCCTCCTTTTCAACTGTGTTGTTATTACTAGTTTCCTGCAGGACAAGTACTGGTAGTAATTATTATGATTACGGTTAGCTCGGGGCTCTGGTTGACTCTTGTTGTCGTAAATACACTTGCATCTCTTCGATAGCGTTCACGTCAACAACATGAACATAGATATAAACTCGAGATTGGCGTGCCATCATCTCTTATTCTCTTGTTGTGAGGGTTTTTGACGGCTCTTGGTTTGGTTGACGGAAGGTCTCCGCGATGTTGCGGTCTGCTACTCGTAGTTGGTTTGGTCGTAATCTCAACTGCAGGGATAGGTCTACGAACAGTACATAGAGGGCTTTGTTTGTATAGGGGTAGGAAGTACTCGAAAGCCACTCCCCAATAGTCCCAGTACGATTGTGAAAAGTATAGTATAGTTTACCCCAGAAGCTCAAAAGACCATATTCAGAAGTATTGTTGTAATACCCCAAAAGCCTATTCTAATTATTCAGGCCCAATATTTGGAGATCCAGGGCTTTAGAGTCAAGCAAACCTCGATGAAACCATCGGAAGACCTGATTCCGCAGGTGTACGAGAAAGCCTCTTTCAGCGTTTGGCGGGGGAACGAAGGGCTCATAATACCCTTTTGCAAGACGCTTTCCACTTCGCCCGGAGCTGGAGCAAGCAGCCCTAGCGGCTTTACGACATTCTCCCACATGACGTCCAGCGTACACATCAGATGATTCATGATAAGTTCGGAAAGGTCATCCTGTTGAACATAGTTTCAGATGCCGTTGATCGGCGGATGCGAAAGCTCAGAATACCCTAAACCCCAAACCCAATTTTGTGTCCGATTGCAACCTTGAAACCTCCAGGACATAAACCCTCAGCCCACTCTGAAACCTCCTAGAGACCCCGAGCCCTGCACCATGCTCTGCCACAGGAGCCGCAGTGGATCCTGGTGATGCGGAGAAGGCCGGGCGAGCTGCAAGCATTGCGCTTAAGGTATTTTTGCGGTTAGGTTGTGCAGTTCTGGGGGCAGTCGCTCTGAATTCGACGAGTGTGAAGGGCAATTTACTGCGCGAGGAATGACGCGTCTAAGGGATGGGGCATTCATGTACTCTCTTAATGTAAAGTAAAGATATCCTGATAAGCCTCTCTTAAGTAATGAGGATTGAAATCCGCATCCCAGTTCTCAGGCCTTGAAAGAGGAGGTTCGAATTGTGGGGTTATAAGCCTTACCCAGAGGCCCCAAAGTAGTTCCTTTTTGGGACTCATATATAGAAGCCTATAAGACTCTGAGATGCAACTTTGCATCGGAAGAACCTGGATGTTGAAGTAGATGTGGGAGTTTCCGAGAATAGGGGACCTTATTATAGTATATATCCTAAAGAGTAGCATCCTTATTACAAGGACCCCACAATAAGGTACCCCTGATTTCCGAGATTTGGTGGGTACCGTGTTTTGGGGTGCTTATAAACAGGATCCTACTATTTAGGGAACGTCTTAGGGTCCCCTACTTTCGGAAACTCCCATGTTGAGTCGTGTGACGAACGGCGCAGTAGCTAGGCAGCTCAGTAACTCCATACGTGAAGCCTCCAGCAACTAGCCAGCATAGGAAACTAAGCAACGAACAGAAATCACAGACGGGAAAGAACACGTACAGTACGACAGGAGACCAAGATGCTGGGATGGCTGAAGAGTCTGGATGGAGGCAGAGGCTGGCCTCAGTTCCCGACTTGCTGAGAGAACACGGTTTGGTATGGGCTTGCGGTGTCGCAACGACTGTTTCGAATCATGCGCCTCTGTAGAGTGGCCGTATGTATATATATATATATATGCATATATATATATATAAACACAGAAGTCTATGTACATGTATAATAGTAGACACATATAGTACACATACAGTTAGATGGTTGTTGTTTCTACGTATACCGATTAGACCGATTCACTTTCTTTCCTGAACCTTTTGCGGTGTCTGACCACACATTCAACGGCTCGTCTCACTGTAGCCCAAAATAAGCGACTCTGTCGCAGACCCCCGACGCAACGTCTCTCGAGGCATGATTCTCAAGCAATTATCGACAGTCGTCCTTAGCGGCTTGAGGTGTGCTCGCCTTCCTTCGACAAAGGTTTCTGTAGTGGATGCAATAGAAAGGAACTGACACGGACTGCTTTGGAATTCTTTGCCCTCACCCAAGTACATAGTTTCAATGATTCTCAGGTTGCAAAGCGGATCCTTCATCAAGGGCACCTGAAAACATCGCAGCATCAACGGCAAATCAGCCATCAAACCCCGGAGGACAACATGGAGCAAAGACACCATGTGCCAGAGAATTACCGAAAGACAGGTGGCTCGCTGTTTCTGCACACCGTCTTCCACAGCACCAGGCTATTCAAAGCAACTTCCAATCTCCCACCCTTTGTTTGACACACCTGTTGCAGGTGCCCTTGTGCAGCCTCTCAGTTGCACTAGATATGCCTGGGCGTTGGCATTCGGAGTGGGTCGGCAGAGTGGAGGGTATTTTTTATATAACCATGAACTCCAGAACCCTTATACCCTAAACTCTAAACCTTAAACCCTTAAAACAAAATCGACCTGTACACCGAACCCGAGATCGGCTGTAGCAGGGCTCTGCAGGGGTTCGTGCCACCGGCTGAGGTATTTCTCCAAGCTGAAGGAAGAGCTTCCTGGCAACATTTGTATTGAATTGTGTCGAGTTTGGGATATCGGCCCGATAGTATAGCCTGGTCTGAGGTAGCATGGTTTAGTGTAGCATCTATCTAGCATAGTAGTATAATGTAGTATAATCTGGCGGCATAGCAGCAGCTAAACCCCTATAATGTTCTTTCCAGCCCTTAGAGTAAGACCCCAGGTGTAGGCTTGCTTCTGCGTCTCGGGGTGGCGCTGTTTTGGTCTGACGGTGTGGGGCAGATGGCCTTTACCACCGAACGCAATCTCCCGAACCCCTTTAGCCCCAAAGCCCATGTTCCCTAAATCTTTCAACCCGTTCTGAGTTCAGACGAAACCTCGAATCTCAACAGTTCGCGCGTCCTAAAGACCTAAAGCCCAACAAAGCCCTTGTCGAATTTGTCGGATCCCTTTGTTTGTATAAATAACAACCCTCAGATGACCCTAAACCCTAAACCCGACGTTCTGGGCGTTGCCCGAAGGTTTGACTTAGACTTCGAGCAGCTGGTCTCGGTCCGGCTGAAAGATCAGGCCACTCTGAGGGTTTTAGGGTTTAGGCGGCTTTTGGGCTTCGGGTTTCTAGGGTTTACAACAGGATGTAATAATGCAACAACGGCGTCGGACTAATTCGTAGTGCGGCTCGCCCGTAGGGCTCCTTATTAACGTAGTTTCTAGTAAATATATGATGTCGGCAAATTGTCTTTATCATTGTGAACGCACGACCGCAATTGGCGGAAATCTATTGGGTTCAGGGTGGAACGGCTGTGTCATCTTCAGCCATGGGTGTCTGGCCCCGCGAAACGTGTGCATGGCAACTATGAGAAACGGACCAGCAGCGGTGCAACGCAGCCAAGAGCGCTGCGGACAAGACTCTTCGGTTGTTTCAGAGCTGGAGAGGACTGTTCTGGTGCGGCTCTGCACACTTGCCAACCACGGCTGGCCCGCGCGACAACGTTTCCGCACAGACTCGCAACCACCAATGTTTGCGGCCCTGAAACTGAAACTACACCTTAGACCATTAGGTTCCTCTTCTGGAACCCAGGTCACAGTTGTGAGAGCGTCGTAAACGATCCCGAATCCTTGGTCCCGAAACCATAACTCCGAAATCTATGAACCCTAAACCTTAACCCCTAAACCTTACCTATAGGGTCATACCTTACCCCTTGTCTTAAGGAACCTACTTTTCTATATAAGAGAGCCTAACCATAAAACTAGGTATCCAAAAAAGGGGTAGGGTATGACCCTCTAGGTAATCCCTAAACCCTAACTACAGCCCCGCAGCCCCGAGCTAACAGTTCCCACGATGAAGCCCGAAGCTTTGCTCCAGGAAGAACGGCTTTGTAGAAAATTGGGCACATTGTGCCCTGAAGCCTATAAGCCCTAAGATTCTAAAGCCCTAAAAGGTGTAGGGTTTTAGAACGGAAGTTTTTTTTAAAGCTGTTTAACCGTCTTGTGCCCCTAAAGGCTGCTGCCCTAAACCCTAAAGAGTGAGCACGAGGCACCGGCACAGGGCGTGCTGGGCACCATCGATCCTCTCTTCTGGGAGGCGGGGCTTACATTGTCAGGTTTGGGGTTGAGATTTCACCTAAGACCGAAACGGCTCAGGGTTTATAGGGTTTAGGGTTTAGTGTCATTGTGCTTTAGTAAACCGACCTGAGAGTTCACCTCAGATCGGATGATTTTCCTTATACAATATAATGTGCAAACAGAACCCTAGTGTTCTTCAGGCCCCTATACTACGGTTTTGGGTGTAGGGTGCACCGGGGTGCGGACCCAGCTTACCGTGGATCAGAGTCTGAGTTCAGAGAGGGTCCACCGGTAGATCCGAAGCATCCTCAAATGAAGGTTGTATGCATAAACATATACACACATATGTAGCGAGATAGAGAGGGAGAGATATGCACGACGCCTACACGCATACATACATACATACATACACTACATACATACATACATACATACATACATACATACATACATACACTACATACATTACATACACACACATATATATATATATATATATATATATATGTATATATATACATGTATGTACATATGAATATGTGTATGTGTACCCACCTACCGATATGGACATAGTAAGTGCTAAGAACGGATGGAGAATGACAACAGTGATGAAAATGCCAATGCCAAAGATGCGAATATCAATGGTAACCGTGGTAGTGCTGAGAGTGGCAATAGTACTTTGATATATTTACATAGAGGGGGAGGGAGGGAGGGAGGGAGGGAGGGAGGGAGGGAGAGGGAGAGAGAGAGAGAGAGAGAGAGAGAGAGACGAGAGCGAGAGAGTGTGTGTGTCTGTTCGCGTGCGTGTGTACTTCCGTTAAACTCAAAGGTCCGACACGAAGGGTTCTTTCGGAGTACACGTGCCACTTAAATACCTGGATGCTGCCGCAATCCTATACCCTAAGCACACACACACACACTCACACCCTAACACCCTCAGAGTAGAGCGGCGATCCCTGGAGATGGAAGATGTAGCCACAAAACCTAAATTTCAAAGTCATACTTGTAGTATAATACAACCAGAACCCTAGTGTCATTATTACTCTTATTATGATGATACAGGCCCCTATGTGATGTACCGATCGGATTATACAGTTTTTTCTTGCCAAGGTTTGTGGTGTGAAGCAGCTTGGGCACCGGCTGCTGTTCGCCAAAGGGCTGCGGGCCCTGCCGCCCGGGCCCCAGCGGGCCTTCTCTTTCAAACCGGAGCCAGCCACTCAAAAACTTGGAGCCTGGATCCGGTGCAAGGTTGCTACCTGGACCCCCAAAGTATGTAGAATAATAGCCTTTCATAGGTATTGGGCACTTTTTTTACTCAGTTTGGGGGGTTTAGGTAGAATTTCTTGAGTTTTGTGTCTGAAGTCGAACTTGCGTTGCTGCAGGTGAACAGCCATGTCGCTTTGCAGGCGCCAGACGAAAAGAAAGGGACTGCTGTGCATAGTGCGCTACCTAATTTACTCACTTCCATGCGTGTGCTCACCCTCTTGTCCTCGCAGCGTGTAAGACATGCAGAGCTACAAGGCTGCAAGCGCAAGCAGCCAAACCCCCCAGACTCTGCAATCTCTTGATCCTTACTTTGCCTAGTCAAGCCCCTTGGCCCGAGACCTCACAGCGTTACAGCAACACCTGACTGCATGTTCAGCGTCAAGCTGCTGCGAGCTTGCATGTCGTTGCAGAAACGCGTAGATGCCAAATTCTACACCCTTAGGCCCTATACACTCAAGTCCTAAATCGTAAGCCGCGTTTATAAGTAGTAGTAGTAGTAGTAGTAGTAGTAGTAGTAGTAGTAGTAGTAGTAGTAGTAGTAGTAGTAGTAGTAGTAGTTAGTAGTAGTAGTAGTAGTAGTAGTAGTAGTAGTAGTAGTAGTAGTAGTAGTAGGAGTAGTAGTAGAAGTAGTAGTAGTAGTAGTAGCAGCAGCAGCAGCAGTAGTAGTAGTAGTAGCTTCCCTGGCAAACCCACCTACAAGCCTTTATGGAACAGCTCTACGCAAGGCCGCTTTAGGGGCGACCGCCGAATGCCTGCGATGGACTACGGCACGCTAAACCCTGCCCAGACCCTTTGAAGACAGTACGTTTTGCACATGACTTATTTTATCGTTAAGGTCCCATAATAGCGAAACTTATAAGGTGAACAACGAAAGTACTACATTTCAGAGTCTAGCTAGGTGAGCTCCAGATGCTGCATCTCAAGCCCTGAACATTGAAAGCCCAAACCCTGACCCTAAACCCCAGACTAAAAGCCCTAAACCCGAAGCCAAAATCCCTAAAGCCCACTTAAACAAACAAAGATGGATTATGAGCTTGGGGCCGCGTCTGCGGCGACACATCGCGTGCCGGCCCCAGTATGCAGCCGTTCCTAAGAGCCTCCGGGGTTTAGCGTTGAGACGGTTCTACAGGGTTCTACAAGGGTTCTGGGTAGGGTTCCAAGAGGCTTTCTTTGCCGTTTCGTAAAGGCCTGTCTTGGTACAGTTTATGGGGTTCTAGCGAAGTTTATAGCGTACTAGGGCGTCTGGCTTTTGGAGTGCTGTGTTGAAGCTTGGGGAAGGCTCGGTTCTATGGCAGGAGTTCCCAGAGGGTCCGGAATGAGTCTTGTTTGATAGGCTCCTATAAGTGGGTCGAGGGTTTGGGCTCCATTTCAGCTGCTTCTGCAGGTCAAAACCTAAAGCGAAACCAGACAAAAAAAACCCTAAGGCCCTTCCCATAGGCCCCATAGTAGTTCCTTTTCGGGTTCATATTTAGACTTCTTTAAGGTAATCTCAAAAAGGAACTACTAGGGGGCCTAAGGGTAAACCCTTCCCCCCCGTCTCGGCGAGGTCTCGGCTCGACTCCCTTCGCTGCCCGGCGCCCAGTAGCCTCGGACTCCTGGGATCGACCTGGTTCAGTTTAGGGTTTAAGGTCTTGGGTTTAGGGTTTGGGGGTTTAGGGTTTGGAGTTTAGGGTTTTGGGTTGAGGGTTTGGGGTACATGGAACAGTCAGAAGTGGCCTGCACAGAACCCACACCTTCGCTGGCAACCTGGTGTTTCAGTTTGGGTTGCTGGCTTGTGGGATGTTTTGCAGGGCTATGGGCATTCATAAAGGGGTTGTAGAGCGACTTTAGAGCATAGAGGCAGAATTCCAAGCTGGCATTGCTCACGGGTGGGGGACCCGACTTAACCAATTCCGAACCCAGAGACCAAGCCTGCAAGGCCCAAAACTGTTTGCCATATCTTGGCCAGTGTAGTTCAGCACAGCACGCACTAGGGAATCCTATCGAGTGGAGCTTCTGTGTAGGCAGACGAAGTACTGTTCCTTGTTGGAACCTTGTTGGTCGTTTATGGCCTTTGATACCCACAAAGGCCCTAAAGTCCTTTCATACCTTGCATAGGGAGTGGCCCTTTGCCCTAAATGCAAACTAACCCTACTCCTTCTAGGATCTTACTTGTTTCATGTTGCTCCACAGTCATGTGAGATCCCGTGTAGGAAGCAGTCGGCGGAAGTACAGTCACTTTGTTTGTTAATGTAACCGTTGTTGCTTGTCATCTTGACTACTTCCTTTAGGTCGTTTCACTTTGCCAGACTCCGAACCACATGCCTCCCCTGGATTGTCCGAATGTGAGTGCCGAAACCCAAACTCAAGTCCTATGAATGGGAGTACTTGAACCCGCTGGGTCTTGTTTCAGCAGAGAGGTGAACCCATTCTTCGCCTGCATGGTGCGAGTTGCGAGCGGCGAAGAGCATGTTAGAGCCTTTGTACCCAAGCTCTCAAGGTTTTGCATCGCCAGCCTTGCCACGGCCAGACGAGGTGGACAGTGCATGTGTATGTGTATATGTATGTATACATAGATACATACATACGTACATACATACATACATACACACATACACAACAACAGCAACAACAACAACAACAACAACAGCAACAACAACAACAACAACAACGACAACAACAACAACTTCAGCTGTAACTTCAGCAACTTAGCAGCAACAGCAGCAGCAACAACAACAACAGAAGCAACAGCAACCACAACGACAACCAATACAACATCCACCACAACGACAATAACGACAATCACGCTAACGACAACAACGACCACAACCACGACAACGATAACGACGACGACAACGACAACAACAAGGGCCACCACCAACAACATCAAGAACATCCGATAACAGCAACAACAGCAGCAGCAACAGCAACAGCAACGGCAGCAGCAACCGCAGCAACAACAGCAACAACAAGCACCAGCCACAAGAACATCACAGCAACAGCAGCAAACAACAGCAAGAACAGGACCAAGAAACAACAGCAACAGCAACAACAACAACAACGACACCCACAACAAACAGTGCCAACCATGCAAACACACGACACTAAGCAGCGTGTCTATCTGTCAAAAAGCACATCAGACAAACCGATAAACACATAAGCACCCATCCATCCCTCCGTCAGTCCATCCATACATCGATGCATGCATGCATGCGTGCGTGCAGGCATGAGTGCATACATGGTCTTAGTCTTCGAATGGGAGCATTATGCATCTACGACTCTTTCGTTTTTATCCCAATATGTCCAAACATGCGTAGATTATTACGTAAATACGCACGTACATACCATACATACACAGACGCATACATAATCACATACACACACACAGGTGAACACACGTGATATGTATACACATAACATACATACACAAGTTCTCTCACACACACATGCACATGTCAGCATACCTAGATACCGACATGCTTACATACCTACCTAATACCTACATGTATACATACCCAAATGCACGCATACATCTACGGTGAGAATTTTAAAACATGTGGGGGGCGGGCAACCCAAGATCCAAACAGAGGTAGTATGAGACACCTGTTTTAATCCGTATGTTTTAGCTCCGGGTGTTTACTTCCAGCCCTCCAGCCTTCCAGCCCTCCAGCCTTCCCAGCCTCCAGCCTTCCAGCCTTCCAACCTTCCAGCCTTCCAGCCTTCCAGCCTTCCAGCCCTCCAGCCTTCCAGCCTTCCAGCCTTCCAGCCTTGCAGCCTTGCAGCCCTCCAGCCTTCCAGCCTTCCAGCCTTCCAGCCTTCCAGCCTTCCAGCCTTCCAGCCTTCCAGCCTTCCAGCCTTCCAGCCCTCCAGCCTTCCAGCCTTCCAGCCTTCCAGCCTTCCAGCCTTCCAGCCTTCCAGCCTTCAGCCTTCCAACCCTCCAGCCTTCCAGCCTTCCCAGCCCTCCAGCCTTCCAGCCTTCCAACCTTCCAGCCTTCCAGCCTTCCAGCCTTCCAGCCTTCCAGCCTTCCAGCCCTCCAGCCTTCCAGCCTTCCAACCTTCCAACCTTCCAGCCTTCCAGCCTTCCAGCCTTCTAGCCTTCAGCCTTCCAACCCTCCAGCCTTCCAGCCTTCCCAGCCCTCCAGCCTTCCAGCCTTCAAACCTTCCAGCCTTCCAGCCTTCCAGCCTTGCAGCCTTCCAGCCCTCCAGCCTTCCAGCTTCCAGCCTTCCAGCCTTCCAGCCTTCCAGCCTTCCAGCTTTCCAGCCTTCAGCCTTCCAGCCTTCCAGCCTTCCAGCGTTCCAGCCCTCCAGCCTTCCAGCCTTCCAGCCTTCCAGCCTTCCAGCCTTCCAGCCTTCCAGCCTTCCAGCCTTCCAGCCTTCCAGCCTTCAGCCTTCCAGCCTTCCAGCCTTCCAGCCTTCCAGCCTTCCAGCCCTCCAGCCTTCCAGCCTTGCAGCCTTCCAGCCTTCCAGCCTTCAGCCTTCCAACCCTCCAGCCTTCCAGCCTTCCCAGTCTCCAGCCTTCCAGCCTTCAAACCTTCCAGCCTTCCAGCCTTCCAGCCTTCCAGCCTTCCAGCCTTCCAGCCCTCCAGCCTTCCAGCCTTCCAGCCTTCCAGCCTTCCAGCCTTCCAGCCTTCCAGCCCTCCAGCCTTCCAGCCTTCCAGCCTTCCAGCCTTCCAGCCTTCCAGCCTTCCAACCTTCCAACCCTCCAGCCTTCCAGCCTTCCCGGCCCTCCAGCCTTCCAGCCTTCCAACCTTCCAGCCTTCCAGCCTTCCAGCCTTCCAGCCCTCCAGCCTTCCAGCCTTCCAGCCTTCCAGCCTTGCAGCCTTCCAGCCCTCCAGCCTTCCAGCCTTCCAGCCTTCCAGCCTTCCGCCTTCAGCCTTCCAACCCTCCAGCCTTCCAGCCTTCCCAGCCCTCCAGCCTTCCAGCCTTCAAACCTTCCAGCCTTCCAGCCTTCCAGCCTTCCAACCTTCCAGCCCTCCAGCCTTCCAGCCCTCCAGCCTTCCAGCCTTCCAGCCTTCCAGCCTTCCAGCCTTCCAGCCTTCCAACCTTCCAACCCTCCAGCCTTCCAGCCTTCCCGGCCCTCCAGCCCTCCAGCCCTCCAGCCTTCCAGCCTTCCAGCCTTCCAGCCTTCCAGTCTTCAGCCTTCCAACCCTCCAGCCTTCCAGCCTTCCCAGTCTCCAGCCTTCCAGCCTTCAAACCTTCCAGCCTTCCAGCTTTCCAGCCTTCCAGCCTTCCAGCCTTCCAGCCCTCCAGCCTTCCAGCCTTCCAGCCTTCCAGCCTTCCAGCCTTCCAGCCTTCCAGCCTTCCAGCCTTCAGCCTTCCAGCCTTCCAGCCCCGCCAGCCTTCCAGCCTTCCAGCCTTCCAGCCTTCCAGCCCTCCCTCCTTCCAGCCTTCCAGCCCCGCCAGCCTTCCAGCCTTCCAACCTTCTAGCTTTCCAGCCCTCCAGCCTTCCAGCCCCTCCAGCCCCTCCAGCCTTCAAGCCGGAGGGGCTGAAAGGCTTGAAGGCTGGAGGGGCTGGAGGGGCTGGAAGGCCGGCCCTCCAGCCTTCCAGCCCCTCCAGCCCCTCCAGCCTTCAAGCCGGAGGGGCTGAAAGGCTTGAAGGCTGGAGGGGCTGGAGGGGCTGGAAGGCTGGAGGGCTGGAAAGCTAGAAGGTTGGAAGGCTGGAAGGCTGGCGGGGCTGGAAGGCTGGAAGGAGGGAGGGCTGGAAGGCTGGAAGGCTGGAAGGCTGGCTGGATGGCAGGAGGGGTTGGAAGGCTGGAGGGCTGAAGGGCTGGGAAGAGGGCTGGCGAGGCGAAGGTTGGAGGACGGAGTCTGCGGACTGGAGTCTCGTGGTGTTGTCTTTCCGTGTGTTTTAAAATTGGGCGGCCCAGAGACAATGCCCACGGAAGTAGTATGACACACCTGTTTAACTTGTTTAGATGTCCGGGTATTTAAAAATCATCGCCGTATGCATACAAACACATACATATGTGTATACATATGTATATACATATATATATATATATATATATATATATATATCAGCTTCAATACGCGGCGTGAAACTCCGTCGTTGGCTCACGGGTATTGTGTGTGTGGTCGTCTGAGGATCAGTTTCCCTGTGCATCTGCTGCAGAATCGTGACAGGCATTGAACAATCGACAGCTGACCCTTGCCGGACTCTCAGTGATGCAGAGCAAGAGGACACATGTTGCAGCCATAAGCCTTTTGTCGCAAGTGCTACCAGCATCCTTATTAGCAGAGTTATATACAGTCGTTGATATACATGCTGAGTGCCATTGTTTCCATAAGTATGTAGCATGGTCACAACCGGAACTGCTACTCCAAGACTTTGCTTCCTGCCGTATAGCCCAAGCCATTCACGCTAGATTCAACCATCTCTCTCGTAAGACCTTAACCCCCAGCCCATTGACTCCAGTACACCTTCAGTCAGGGTACCTATGGTTTCTTGGGAGGACAGCGGAGTCTCAGGGCACTGAACCATGCATCTACATGTAACCCAAACCGTAAACTGCAACTTAACGTCGAAAGCCTGAAGCCCTGAACCTCCGAAATCACCTAAACCCAAAGCCGTAGCGGTCCCCAAAGGTAGGAATCATGGCTCAACACCTATAAAAGGGCAATACTATACCTACTCTTGAGGCTCCAGGTTAGCCCCGAAGCATGCCCTCTGCAACTCCCTAAACTCCTAAACCCCTAAGTTATTCCCAAAGCCCCTAAACAACCCCCTGAACCCCTAAACTCCTAAACCACCCCTGAACCCCTAAACCCCTGAACCACCCCTGAACCCCTAAACCACCCTTGAACCCCTAAACCCGAAACCCTAAACTCTACCTAAACCCCTAAACCCTAAACTCTAAACCCTTAAACCACCCCTAAACCCCTAAAATCCCCGCAA